TTATGAAAATGTCAGTGAGATAACCTATGAAGATGTATCTTAGATGAGTTACTACAGGTTACCACAAAAGTACCTGACACAGCATTTTTACACAAGGTTTTCATACTAAAGAAAAACATATAAGTAAATCTAGAAAGACCTTACACATTTGTATATAAAATTAAGTCATTTTCAATTTAGGAGTAAACACCTTAAATATTAATGCTTTATTTTCTACAAAAAAGAAAAGGATTAATTTCATATAGAGATTATATCTATAAAAATTGCCAAAAGCACTTAAGGAATTTATTCAATGCATTTTATTAGGAGAATTCTATTGACTGGTAGCTTCAAGGTCATCAAAGATTTAATTCTATCTTTTAAATATAGAATTTTATATCTGAAGTTTATGAATACTTTAAAAATTATGTGGTTACTTATAAATTTAAAATATTACTGAATTTGGATGCACAATATGCACTGAGTCACTAGGAAATAATATAATCAAACACACTTTTTAGAGGTGAATGTTACTTACAATTTTCAAGTGTGAAAGATGTGAAGAGAAATCGCAACAAAGAATAATGCATCTGGGACCAGAGCAATGGTATAGTGGGTAAGGTGCTTGTCTTGTACCCAAGCAACTTTGGTTCAATCCCCGGTACCACATATAGTCACCTGAGCACAGAACCAGGAATAAGCCCCAAAAAACAAAAATAAAAGAATAATGCAATGAAAAAGGAATTTGCTTCTACAGCATGCAAATCAATTAAGAAAAAACAAATTTTAGACAAATGCCTCTGATAGTGATTACTTCTATTTTCAAATAAACGTATGACTATTAGGTCTGATTAATAAAATTGAATGAATACAGCGATAGCACAGCGGGTAGGGCGTTCGCCTTACAAGCGGCCAACATGGCCGACCCGAGTTCGATTCCTCCGCCCCTCTCGGAGAGCCCGGCAAGCTACCGAGAGTATTCGATATGCCAGACACAGTAACAACAAAGTCTCCAATGGAGACGTTACTGGGCCCGCTCGAGCAAATCGACGATCAACGGGAGGGCCTTTACCTTTACCTTACCTTTATTAATATAATACAATTTTTTTATACCAAGAATATCAAGTGAGAAGATTCAGCAAGTCTAAACTCCCAAGTATTTATAATTTATAAAACTTTAAGAACACATATAGTCTCTTTATATAGTTACACTTTGTAGAGCTGGAGAAACACTCTGGGTAGTTTTCAGGGAACCATGTGGTGGCATGGACTGAATCTGAGACTCTATACGAAGAGCCTCCATCTAGGACTTAATTATCTCCCCAGCTCCTGATCTGTAATCTTGATTATTTAACCACTGGTATGAAGTCGCTAAACTCAAAATGAAGTAGTAAAGTTACGGGGCCAGAAAGATAGAAAGCACAAGGGTTGATGCACTTACTTGCATGCAGCCACTTAGTTTGATCACTGACCCAATATAGTCCCCTGAGCATCACAAGTATGGGTCCAATAAAGTTAAGGCTAACATTTCAATTATAGTTAATAAGATATAGTTCAATGGCACTACATTGTTATCTCGTATTAGAAAAAGCACCACCAAGATTCAAGAAAACTACAAAAAAATAATCTTCTAGATGGGGTCTTCTTCATGGTTTGGATAGGTCACAGTTAAAAGACATCAAATGGTAAATATATTATCATATATGAACTAGGCAAAAAAACACAGAAAAATGAGGTAATAAGTTTAAAAAATACAGAGAATGTGCATTTGTTGAGTTTGGTTAAAATATTTAAGATAGTATTTAATATAGATTTTTAAATATTTAAATAGTAAAAAATATTTAAGAATGATCAATAGCCAGGACAAGAAGTTTCAGTTGCTGAGAGAACGGAGTCTAATTATTAGGCACGCAAGGAGACACTTAAAGAAAAACAACAGATTAAATTTAGAAAGGAAAAATTGTTTCATTTCTTTTATCAGGCAAAATCTATAATCTAAAGATGGACTTGAGAATTATCTGTAGAAGACAAACTTAATGATGCATTTTGAGGATATCAATCTTCACATAAATTATTTATGTAGTTTTATACTTAATACAGTTTATGCAGTTGCATTATTTCATTGGAAAACTGACAGATGCTATTCATTTTAAAATATAATTTGTAAAAGGAACTGAAAATTTTCATTAATAATTTACTTAGAAACACTAATATAAATATATAACCAAAGGTTGTATGCTTTTATATATATATATATATATACACATATACATATATATATTCTTTTGCTTTTTTTTTGGTCACACCTGGTGATGCACAGGAGTTACTCCTGACTCTGCACTCAGGAATTACTCCTGGCAGTGCTCGAGGGACCATATGGGATGCTGGGGCCCGGGACAGCCTCCCTTTTAGAAGCATAAAGCTTCCTTTCAATACTGGTTCTTTAGGAATAATTTTGTTTGTTTTGGGGTCACACCCTGCTGTTCTCAGGGATCACTCCTGGCAGTACTCAGGGGGCCACAAGTGTTGCTAAGGATCAAACATGGGTCAGCTGTGCAACGTAAGCGCCCTGCTCACTGTACTATTACTCCAGCTCCCCAAAGTGATTTTTATATGCCTACTATGGAGAAAAGAGGAAGCCTTTCTGATGCTACTGTTTTCTTGATTAATAACAAATAAAAACTAGACATTTTTCCTCTCCTACTAAGGTGTTTTGACCTAAAAAAAGGCATAGTGACCTAAAAGAAATTAATAGAAACTTTTCTGTACCTGACATGCGTTTTCCAAGCATAAAGCATTTTAAGCCACGGGGCCAAACTTCACTTTTATATACATTTTTTTTTTCCATGTTGGGTCACATGTAGCGATGCTCAGGGGTACTCTTAGCTCTGCACTCAGGAATTACTCCTGGCGGTGCTTGGAGGGCCAGATAAAGGGAACAGACAGAATGCCAGGAATCAAACTCATGTCAGTCCTGTGCAAGGCAAATGTCCTAACCACTGCATTATTGTTCCAGACTCAACTGTTATATGTTTTTAAAATGTTCATACCCTGATATGTTTTTCTTCTTCAATTTATATAAGCTATGTCAAACACTGCTGACTAGCAGAGTTGAAAATCTTTTGCATTCTCTAAGTGAGCAAAACTATGTGTTTTATATAAACTGAAACATATTTGACAAATAACACTGTACATTTATGTTTTAAAACTTGATCTCACTAGTTTCTAAAAGAAAATTTATAACTATCCATTACCAGATTGCTGTGATTTATAAATTTCTATTATGAGCAGTATCAAGAAACAAAAGCAGATGAAAAGTTATGCAAAGACAACAGTCAAGTCAAAATATTTTTTTCAACTGAAATATCTACCTGTTGTACCACTCTGATGACATTGCTAATTTATACTATTATACAATATGGAAACAGTTTTAATGATAACAACAATTTAACACAATCCCCTAAAGTAAATATTTCCAATGATTTTATCTGCTGAATCTTAATTTGGTGGCCAAATTAAAATTCAAAGAATATATTATTCTGTGAATAGTTCAAAACTATTTATTTAATAGACAAACTAATTTCTTCTTGACTGCTCTAGCATCCTCAAATATTTTTCTAAAAATTATCCATAATTAATTTTTTACTTTCTGGAAAAATATAAGAAATCAATCCTCTAACATGTAGTGTTAGGCTATTTAAGTCTATAAAAATCTTATCATTTGTGTTATAAAATACTGCTTGTTCAATTTTTCATCAAAAAAGCAACACAGTAAAATACCACAAATTTCCTAATGAGTTTAACTTTTAAAAATAATGTATAAATATTAAAAATAATATTGATAAACAATATTAAGTGACCTTAAAGATAAAGAAGATACCATAATTGAAAAGTCTCTGGACAAGGACCAGGAAGATGGTCTGGTGGTTTAAAGCACTGGCCTACAGTTCAAACCTCAATACTTCCAGCATACTCTGAGGATATTCCTGATAGTAAGTGATTCTGAGGAGAAAGGGCCTAGAAGATGGTGAGTGGTTTAGGAAACTCTAGAGCAAGAATGAGATTCTATGTTTAATCCCTGGAGTCATAGATGTGCCAAGGTGATCCTGACTGACCCCACTGTCAGGAGTCCCTGGAGAGGGTGTGATTTAAAACAAACAAACAAAAATCAACTCTGGGTAAACAAAGAAAAATATCCAAAATTTTGATAAAGAAACAATCCTCCAGGAAAATCAACATAGAAAATATTAAAAAAATCAGTTGAATTGTTTGGTTCACTTGAAACCTCCAATAAAGTGTAATCTATAGTGGTTTGTTTGGGGGTATTTTATTGCAAATTTCTTAAGTACTCAAAAAAGGAAATATTCAATTTATATATTTGTATATGTTTATACATATATCTGTATATTTATATATAGTACATGAAAATATAATACACATGTCTATTTTGCACTTGTTGGACCAATTTATTTCATGGCTAATTACCTAAAACATAATTGGTTGGTTTATTAAGAGTTTTAAATAACAGGAAAGAAAATTCTCCTGCAACTTTCATTTGGCGATGGCAGGAAGGTATACACAGCAATGCTCAGGGTTTACTCCTGGCTCTGTGTTCAGGGGTCACTCCTGACAGGCTTGGGGGGACCATGGGGTGCCGGGGATAGAAACCAGGTTAGCCACACACAAGGCAAGCATTACCCACTATATTATCTTTCTGACCCTGTAACTTTTAATTTGTCCTAACACAAATATTACTATTTTCTTTTTAGCTTTTTGGCCACACCCAGCAGTGATCAGGACATGCTCTGGCTCTGTACTCAGGGATCATTCCTGGCAGGGGTCAGGGGATCATATGGGGTGGTGAGGATCAAACCTGGGTCAACTGTGTGCAATACAAGTGCACTACTATCTTTTCAGCCCCAGATTAAATCTTTTGAAAGCTTTTCAGGATGATATCCTCTCCTTATAAATGTTTAACTCATTCACAGATTATAAAGAAAATATGAGAATTAAATAAAAGCTGCAGAAGAAAAATTTATTAAATATTGAACTAAAAGACAACTGGATATAAATAAATCTATGATTTGTGGAATCAAAAAGAATATTATGAAGATATTATAAAAACATTTTTCCCTGGCGACATTTTCTCTGGCGACAGAAACCTTATTAAATATCTAGCTATTCAGTCCTTAAAAAAAAAGTGCAGTTAACATAATGAATTTCTACATAATTTCAGAGGATTCATGAATTTTCCAAACCTATGCAATCTCAGATTAAGAACAGATGAAAGTATTTAAGCTCTCTGACTAACTCATATGATGACCTAGTAAAAACCTTGCAAAAACAATTTTGCTAACCGTCTTTTGAATTCTAAAAAATAATCAGTGGCTCAGTGATAGAACACTTGCCTTCCATGTGTGAGACCCTGGGTTTGATTCCCAGCACTGGCAAAAATCAGTGTCTTCTCAATCTGACATTCTAAATTACCGAAACAACTCTATCAGGCTTCCACTTTAATAACCTGAATAATTAATCATTTAACATAACAATAAAATATGCATAATAAAGTAAAAACCTAAAATTTATATGTAACATATAACAGAAATATATACTTCTCCTAAAATTAATATAACTAAGTGACTAGTTGCATGCGTTTTTAATTCACTCATCACAAAGAAATCCCAGGTAAAAATGTAATACATTTGGGTACCATTTCTAATTCTTCAAATTATTGGGGGTAAACAATATTTACTTAGTGCAAAACAAGTGAAAAAATTTTAAACTTTCAAGATACAAATTGTGCTGCAATACTATTTAAAGGATCCAAGTGTAGAAATCATAATAAGCATTTTATTTTTGTATAATAATAAAGAAACACATCTGTATGGTTTATATCTAGTTACTTATTTTCACTCAACCATTATTTTAAAATAATAAATATATTTCAGTAAATTCTCATTAGTAATGATCTATGTAGTAGCAGAACAAGCCAATGTACCAGTTTCAATAGTCCTAAATACAAAAATGTATGCAACAGATGCCTTTAAAATACTATCTTCAATCAAACTTCCACATAAATAAACATATTTTAATAAGGTAGTCAATAAATAGTAAAGCAATGAACTAAATATGATTTACTAGCTATGTCTCTTAACATTTATCTTATTTGTACCTTTATTAGAAATATCTTAAATTTTGTTATATAGAAAAATAAGCTGGTTTAATAAAATTTCTTTTTCTGAGAAGTTTGCTATTAAAAATGGATCGAATCATTAGTAATATGTGTCTTCTCATATTCACCTTTGTATAAACCAAAAATTGCTTCATCAAATTCAATAATGTAAACAAGGATTTTTTTTGCTTTAAGAACACACCCAGAAGTGCTTCAGGTGCTATTTGCAGAACCTGGGGATGCCAGAATCTAAACTGGGTTTCCTACATGCAAAGCATATGCATACCCATTGAATTATTAATTCAGCCCTACCTAGAATTTTTTCATGAAGAATAATATAACCAAAGCAAACACGTCAAGAAGTTAAGAGATGTGGTTAAAGTGACAAAGCAAGTTTAAGTTATTTAAAAACTTCTACTCAGTTAAACAGAAGATGAACAATCACTTGAAATCTTGAGTATTATATTCAGTTTCTCCAGCTGAAATCTGGCTGAGACGCTTGCTAGAGCCCCACAATTTTCGAGATAGCTGACCTGTTCGTACCTGTTAAAATAATTCAGAGAAATGAACTATCAGAGTTATTCATAAGAAGGGAAAAAGGAAATTGACACATAAGATAAAGACTTTATGAACTGCACCATAAATATTGATTACAGCCTGTGAGATAACTCAAAGAGCACACTTTGCATGCAGGAACTCATCTGATACCCCATGTCACATGGGCTCCCAGGTAAGATTACATGGACTCCTGTTAAATACCATACCAGGATTGGCTCCCAGATCATCACTGGGTATGGTATTCCCAGAAACAAAACCAACAAAAAATTAAAATCACAATTTTACATTATTAAATTGGAACCACTTAACACACTTCTCAGCATGTAAGAAATATTATTCGCTAACTGAACAGTGAATAAATAATTCTTTAAAAGTGCTCTGGTTAAAAAAAAACTATGTGAAAATAATTTTTCCATATAATCATACTGTTGAAATAACTTCCTCAAGCAGAATAAATTTTATAATGGTGATTCATCAGATACCACTTCCGTGTGTGTAGGAAGGGGTCAACATCCAGCGGTGCTCCTTGCTATGTTCTAGGAGGTTGCTCACTGCAATGCTTGGCAGACAGGTGCTTAGTAATGGTCAAAATGTATTGTAGGGGTCAAAATAATTTGAAACCTATACCTTTTATTATAGTCCCTGTCCAGGGTACATTTGCTGGAGTTAACAAAAGATAAGCCTCATGCACAGACATTGTGACAAATTTGTTCTGTAGTTTCACATCCAGAAAGATTATTTCCATTAGTCTATGCCACTTGAACATCTGATTTATAAATACAATTTTATACTGATAGTATAACATACAAAACCAATAAAAATTCAAAATCACACATCAATCAGAATGTTGATCTTTTAGATAAAACAGATCTTCAAATAAGTATTTTCCTAACTAAATATTATGAATGTATTTGATTTCTACACTACCACAGAAAATTATATTTCATACAAGGTTCCAGATGTTCAATTAGACTATTTACTCCAGTAGATCTGCAATTCAACAAATATGTACAAAAAAATCTAAAAATATTAAAATTAATGGGCCAGAGAGAGAGTGCAGAGGGAGGTCAAGGTGCTTGCCTTGCATGTGGCTGATCCCAGTACCTCCTATGGTCCTCTCTATGCCCTGCCATGAGAACGGAACCAAGGTGCTGTCACATAATGCCAATACTATCTTTTCAGTTCATAATACCAATTTTTTAAAGAAATCATATATAACAGTTGTTAATTTTTTAGAGTTCAGTCAGAACAGAAACTGACTGCTGGGAGACAATTCAAGAGGTTGAAGTGCACACTTTTTATGTGGGAGTTCTGAGCTGTGATTTCTGGCACCTTCTTGGTACCCCAGCAGTGCTAGGAGCAACATGCAAGCACCAAAACAGGAACCTCTCAGCACCACCAAATGTGGCCCAAGAAAACAAAACAAAAACAACAACAAATACAAGCCAGAAACTTATAGATTACCTAAGGTAGGGGGAAGTCAGACAAAGTCAAAAGACATCCGAGTAAACCACAGAAACTGAATCATACTCAGGATAAAGGAAAAGCAGAGTTTTAAAGTAATAACCAAATTATCAAAGAAGAGGAGGGCAATATTTATATGGGATACTTACTAATATATCATATAAATGGAATATTATGGGAGGGAAACTCGAGATATTCGTGGTGGGAAATGTACACTGGTGGAGGGATAGGTGCTGGAACACTGTACAACTGAGACCCAATCACGAACAGCTTTATAATGGTCTATCTCATGGTGACTCAATTAAAAAAAAAATAGCTAAGGGACAAGGTACCTATGATCTATTATGAGTTAGTAACCACTGTTTCTCTTATTATTTAATACTGTTTTCTCTGAAATAATTCTTAGAGATGTCATACTTTGTATTTCTCAGAAGAGAAACTAATAATGTTTAACAAATTTAAACAAAAATATTTAATGCATAATATGATTCTAATAGAACACATTTTCTAGAATTACTAAATTACTGGAAGCATAGTCATTAAATTTTGCTAGAAAGAATGTTAGATTTATAACATCTGAATTTTTAGTAATGGATAAACCACTGGTAACTTATTTAGAATTAGCACATTATATGGGATATTTAATTAGATAACTTATTTAGAATTAGCACATTATATGAGATATTTGCAAGGTAAGGCATCCCATATGGCGCTTTCAAAAAAGATAAATGACATACACATACTGGGCAGTTAATTAAACTAAGAAATTTTATTATGTAACTATTTTGCGTGTGCATATTGCTGATGATCAAACCCACCATATACTTAATCATTGAGCAACATTTCCAGTTCTATTATTTAATTTTTTAATAATGGCCTTTATGGGGACGAAGACATAGTACAGTGGGTAGGCACTTGCATTCATGTGGCTGACCTGGGTTCGATCCCTGGCATCTCATTTGGTCCCCTGAACCCCACCAGGAGTAATCCCTGAGTAACAAAGCCAGGAGTAACCTCTGAGCACTGCCAGGTGTGGCCCCCTCAACCCCATCTTAAAAAAAAAATGGTCTTTATGTATTAAAAATCCAAGTAGCAGTCTTAAGTCTATATTTGAAAATAGAACAAAAGAACTTTGTTATTCATATAGAGAAACAGAAATTATCAAATATGTGCTTTCAGTTATAAACATCATTCATGATAACTAATTTGACCTCCAATGAATTTTCACACCTTTAAAAAAATATTTTAATGTTTATCCTTAATAAGCTGAAATGGAGGCCAAAAATCCATCGTAGCTTTTACCTCAGCTGGTTTGCCAACCCCGACTACAATCAATTTGCCATCTTCTAATCCAACAAGAATATGGCTGTACTCTTTGGTTACACAAATACAGTGGATAGGCACTCGCATGAATAATGGGTTGATGCTGAGATTCAAGCTAGAAGAGAAAATACATATGATTACATAAACACACATGTATTAATTGAATTTATAGCAAGAATAATTTCCTAATGTTAATTTAATGATCACCTAGTTTTTCAGAATTAGAACTTAAGATTCAGAAATTTTGACTCACACAAGAGTCGACATTTATAGCATTACTAAAATATTCAATATATCTTATCTTTATTTCCAACATGTTTTTCTTCTAACCATATAAAAGAGTTATTTTCACCTTGGTGATTGGTAAGTGAAAACTGGATAAAAAGGGCAAAAATCAAGTGTGTGTGTGTGTGTGTGTGTGTGTGTGTGTGTGAATGTGTAGAGAAGGTGAGTGTAAGACTGGTCTATTTGCTTTCTTAAAGTAGCAATATTAAAAAAATCAATATAAAATATACAATAAAATAGTAGCATTGAGCACTATCCTCCCGTTCATTGATTTGCTTGAGCAGGCACCAGTAACGTCTCACAACAAACTGTGAGAGTTGTTGTTACTGTTTTTGGCATATTGAATATGTCACGGGGAGCTTGCCAGGCTTTGCCAGGTGGCTTGCCAGGTGCTCTGAGAGGGGCGTAGAAATTGAACCCAGGTCAGCGATGAATAAAATAGTAAATATTAAATATATAATAATATATAAACACACTAACCCATTACAAAAAAGGTCTGTGACTAACATTCATTTATTTTTATGGAAGTCACTTCTAGCAGCTGTAGGCTCAGGGAGAATAGGTCTAACAGTTTGGTGTTCTGACCCGTAAAAACTCAGGGACCAACAGGACCTCATGTGGTGGGATTTAGCAGTCATGTAGTACCAGAAATAGAACTCAGGGCCTTGTGTATGACCAGCATGCAATCACTTGACCTACTCCCCCAACCCCCTACTCCAGCTTTTATAGTTTTTATGGTTAAAAAAGCAAGAATCCTACTATATAGATATAACATTCTAGATCAGTATTTTCTAAGTCACCAATATTTGAAAGAAAAAGTTCTGAAAAATTAAAAACAAAGGGTCCAGAGAGATAGTTCAGCTGGTAAGAAGCTTGCTCTAGCACTGTTTATAATAGCCAGAATCTGGAAACAACTTGAGTTCCTGAGAACAAACAACTGGCTAAAGAAACTTTGGTACATCTAAACAATGGAATACTATGCAGCTGTTAGGAATGATGAAGTCATGAAATTTGCTTTTAAGTGGATGGTCATGGAGAGTATCATGCTAAGTGAAGTGAGTCAGAAAGAAAGGGAAAAACATAGAATAACTGCATTCATTTGTGGAATATAAAATATCATAATAAAAGACTAACATCCAAGGACAGTATAGACAGAACCAGGAAGATTGCTCCACAGTTGGAAGCTTGCCTTGTGAGGTGGGGGGAGAAGGCAGCTGGGACAGAGAAGGAATCACTAAGTTAATGATGGTTGCAGGGATCCCTTGGGGTGGGAGATGTGTGCTGAAAGTAGGTAATGGTCCAAACATGATGGCCTATCATTATCTGTACTGCAAACCATAATGCCCATATGGAGAAAGAGAGTAATCAGGAAACCATCTGCCATAGAGGCAAGGGGCAGGGTGGGATGAGGGCGGGTGGTGGTGGTGGGGGGGATACTGGGGACACTTTTAGTGGAAAATGTACACTAGTGGAGGATGGGTATTCAATCATTGTATAACAAAAAACAAACATGAAAGCTTTGTAAGTGTTGCTCACAGTGATTCAATTAAAAACAAAAAAAAAAAAGAAAAGAAGAAGAAATTTGCTCTATATAAAGAATAAAGACTTCTAGAACATATATACAAATTCTAGGTCAGTGTTTTCCTAAGTATAAAATATCTAAATTTTTTTTTCTTAAAAATATAGGGATCACTCAATGCCTCTTTTGGAAACCACAACACCCAAAAGAAGAGAGAGAGAGAGAGAGAACAAAAGGGAATGCCCTGCCACAGAGGCAGGGTGGAATGGGGGAGTGGGGGATGGGAGAGATACTGGGACCCGTGGTGGTGGGAAATGGGCATTGGTGGAGGGATGGGTATTTGATCATTGTATAATTGAAACCCAAGCACAAAAATTTGTAGTCTACAACTGTACCTCATGGTGTCTCACTAATAAAAATTAAAAAAAATATATATATATAGGGATCAGAAGCTAGGGCTATAGCACGGTGGGTAGGGCATTTGCTTTGTATGCAGCCGGCCAGAGTTTAATTCCCAGCATCCTATATGGTCCCCCGAGCACTGCCAGGAGTAATTCCTGAGTACAGAGTCAGGAGTAACCCCTGAGCATCACTGGGTGTGACCCAATAAGAAAAAAGAAAAAAAATATATACATAAGGGATCAGAGAAATATTTCAGCAGGTAAGAAGCTTGCTTTGCATGTGGGTGACCTGGATTTGATTCCTGATAGCACATATGGCTCCCATCACATGATGTGAAAACAGGGCTAAAAGTAAGCCCTGAGCACAGCTAGGTGTGGCCCCCAAACCAAAATAATAAATGAATAAAATAAAAGGTCAAAGAAGGAAATCACATACAAAGGAGCACCCCTTAGATTCACAACAGACCTATCAGAGGAAACCCTCCAAGCCCGAAAGCAATGGTGGGATATAGTGAAAAAAGTCACTGAAATGAACACTTCACCAAGAATACTCTATCCGGATAAACTCACTCAAACTCGAAGGAACGGTACACTATTTTGTGGATAAACAACGGCTCAGGAACTTCATAGACTCAAAACCAAACCTAAAAGAAGGGCTAAAGGGGCTTCTATAAGACAAGACAAACCCTACAAGCACAACAGACCCCTACAGAAAGGTGATACAAAACCCCATAACAATAATCTTTCTCAATGTCAACGGTCTAAATTCACCAATTAAGAGACACGGTCACAGTCACGGCCGTCCTGTTGTTCACTGATTTGCTCAAGCAGGCCCAGTAACGTCTCTATTTTGAGACTTGTTGTTACCGTATTTGGCATATTGAATACATCAAGGGTAGCTCGCCAGGCTTTGCCGTGCAGGTGAAATACTCTCAGTAGCTAGCCGGGCTCTCCAAGAGGGGCAGAGGAATCAAACCCGGCTTGGCCGGGCTGGTTGTGTGCAATGCAAACGACCTACCACTGTGCTATCTCTCCAGCCCCAATTAAGAACACAGATTTGCAAAATGGATTCAGAGACAGAACCCAACACTCTGCTGTCTACAAGAAACTCATCTGAACAGTCAGAGCAAACACAGACTCAAAGTTAAAGGATGGAAAACAATTCTGCAAGCAAACAGCTCCCTCTAAAAAGCTGGGCTGGCCATACTAGTGTCCAACAACAACAATTTCAGGTTGAAAAAGATTAGGAGGGACAGCGAAGGCCATTTTCTATTCATCAAGGGATACATACAACAGGAAGAAATCGCACTCTCAAATGTATACACACCTAATGAGAGAACTGCTAAATATGTAAAACAACTGCTAACAGATTTTAAGGAGGACATTGCTAGCAACACAATAGTACACAATGGAGTACTATGTAGCTGTTAGAAAAGATGAAGTCATGAAATTTACATACAAGTGGTACTACATGGAAAGTATCATGCTAAGTGAAAGGAGCAGAAAGAGAGGGACAGACATAGAAAGATTGCATTCATCTGGGGAACATAAAGTAACAAAATAGGAGATTAACACCCAAGAATAGTCAAGATAAGTACCAGGAGGTTCACTCCATGGCTTGGAGGCCAGTTGCACATGCTAGGGGAAAAGGCAGCTCAGATAGAGAAAGCAGCACCAAGTAAAGGGTGTTGGGAAGATCCTCCCAGGATGGGAGATGCATGCTGAAAGACTATAGACCGAATATGACTGCCACTCAATGTCTCTTTTGCAAAACTCAGCACCCAAAAGGAGAGAGAACAAAAAGGAATGCCCTGCCACAGAGGCTGGGTGGGATGTGGGGGATGGAGGGGGTGAGAGGGATACTGGGATCATTGGTGGTAGAGAATGGGCACTGGTGGAGGGATGGGTACTCGATCATTGTATAACTGAAACCCAAGCATAAAAATTTGTAAGTCTACAACTGTACCTCATGATGTTTCACTAATAAAAATTAAAAAACAAAAAACTATACTTACAAAGTGGTAGTATTTAAAACAATGTGGTACTGGAATAAAGACAGATCTTCAGATCAATGGAATAGAACTGAAAACTAAAAGACAGATCCTTTGGTCAGTTGTTCTTCAATACAAGAGCAAAAATATGAAGTGGAGCAAGCAAGGAAAGCCTCTTGAATAGGAGGTGTTGGGAAAACTGAGCCACGTGCAAAAAAAAAATTGCAGGCCTTTTTCTAATGCCATTCATAAAAGTCAAATCAAAAATAAAACCAGATATAAATATTGGATACAAATCCTTAAAATACATAGAGGAAAAGATATGAACTCTCTGTGACACTGAATCTAGAACCATCTCTAAGCATGAAATACCACTGGCCAAGCAAGTGGACACAAAGATAAACAAAGGGAACAACGTTAAAAAAAGAGAAGCTCTTGTACTTAAAAGGAAACAATGACCAGAATATAAAAACAGCTCACAATTGTAATACCATTCACGACAGACAAAATCTGTAAACAACCAAGTGCCGGAGGACAGACAAATGGATAAAGAAGCTATGGTACATAAGTACAGTGGAATACTACTTGGCTGAAAGAAAAGATGAAATAATGCAATATGCTGATACATGGATGGAGCTGAGGTATCATACTGAGTGAAATGACATGAAATGAGAAGGGAGAGGGACAGATACAAAATAATCTCACTCATATGTGGGATATAAAGAAATATAGTAGGGAAATAACTAAAGCCCAAGACAACAGAAACAAAGAGCAGAAGAACAGGTCCTCAGTAGGAAGTTTGCCACCAGGGAGAAGTGGGGCAGTAGGCCAGGGAAGGACCACAGTGACAATGACAGAGGGAAGTGTTCACTCTGGATGAGGACTGCGTGTTGGAAAGAGGTAAAGTGATGTGCATGGTAGTCTATCAGTAACAGCATCATAAACCACAATGCCTAAAAGGAAAAAAAAAACAACAAGTGTATGTCATAGAGGCAGGATGTGTGGTGAGAAGGAAACTGAAGACATCGTTGGTGGAGTAAAGTGGTAAAGGGACTGGTGTTGGAACATTATACATCTGAGATTCAATCGTGAATAAATTCGTAATTTGGTGATTCATGGTGATTCAATAATAAAAAGTCATGTATGCATTTTTTTATTCATCCAAAAAGACTTTGGCTACTCTGATTTTTTTTTTTACAGTACCTATAAATGTTCACAAAAAACAACCCAAAAGATTTTAAGTCTATTAGCTAACGTTTAGTCTCAGTGCTTCCCTTTTCTTTAGTATAACTTCAGTAATTCTCATTTACCTGTAGAGATCTCTGATGGACAGGAACCCTTGTAAGCTGCCCATGACAATGTGTTCTCCAATTATGCATAAGTCTGATAGTTGTTCTGTCAGGACTTGAGACCCTAGATATTTGCCATTTATTGAAAACAGATGTAATGCATTCTTATCCTGTAAAGTTTAAATGAAGACATTTTAATAACCACAAATTAAAACTGAATTAAAACAATAGCACAGCAGGTAGGGCATTTGCCTTGCACGCAGCCAACATGGCCGACCCGAGTTCGATACCTCTGCCCCTCTCGGAGAGCCCGGCAAGCTACAGAGAGTATCTCGCCCGCATGGCAGAGCCTGGCAAGCTCCCCGTGACGTATTCGATATGCCAAACACAGTAACAACAAAGTCTCCAATGGAGATGTTACTGGGCCTGCTCGAGCAAATCGATGAACAGCGGGAGGACAGTGACAGGACAGTGACAGAATGAGAATTAAAACCATGAAGACAGAATGATTACAGGGCTTAAAATTTTAGAATAAATATCAGATATATTGAAAGAGAAGATGTGTCAACAACATTATGAATATGACTCAAAATCAGATTACTACGTAAATAAGCGCTAAGAATTCTCACACATCCAAAATAACTGAAACCTCATTCAGTTGCAAACAACTCCGCGTTCTTAAAATACATACAACATTTTCTTCATCTTTTACCACCGGAAGGAAAATAAACATGTAAAAGTTTAGCTGTATACTTATACCAGGTTTTATTTCAAATCATTTAAATTTATAATTTCCACTTCAGCTTAATAAAGCTCCCCCCCAAAAAAGAAATTATTTTGAAACAATGTATTATATAGGTCAACAAAAATCTCCTTAAATACTAAGATGAGCCCCAAATGGTGGTGAGGGGTCCATCTAATGGTAAAGGGTAATAATGAAAAGATGTTTTATTCCCAAGTTTCAGCAACAAAAAAGCAAGGAAGGAGGGGCTGGAGCAATAGCACAGCGGGTAGGGCGTTTGCCTTGCACGCGGCCAACCCAGGTTCGATTCCCAGCATCCCATATGGTCCCCCGAGCAACGCCAGGAGTAATTCCTGAGTGCATGAGCCAGGACTAACCCCTGTGCATAGCTGGGTGTGACTCAAAAAGAAAAAAAAAAGGAAGGAAAGGAGGGAGGGAAGGAAGGAGGGAGAACCAATTTAAAATATGATAAATACAGTGTTCTTGGATTGGAAAGCTAGTACAGGGCAGTCCTTGTCAAGCAAGAAACCAATCCCAGTTGGGCAGTTCTGAAAACAATTCTTGAACAAAGAGCCAGGAGTAAGAGAGCAAGAGAGCAAGCGAGAATGGAAAAGCACCTGCCATAGAGGCAAGGTGAGGGCATGGGTTGGTCTGAGGGAAACTGGGGAGACTGGGTGGGAAATGTACACAAGTGAAGGGAGGGGTGTTAGAATCTTGTATGACCTAAACCCAATCATGAACAACTTTGTAACTGTGTATCTCAACGTGATTTAATTAAAAAACATTGTAGCACTGTCCTCCCATTGTTCATCCACTTGCTCGAGCAGACACAAGCAACGTCTCCATTATGAGACTTCTTGTTACTGTTTTTGGCATATCGAATATGCCATGAGGAACTTGCCAGGCTCTATTGTTCAGGTGGGATACTCTCGGTAGCTTGCTGGGCTTTCTGAGAGGGACTGAGGAATCGAACCCAGGTAAACCGAATGCAAGGCAGACTCTCTACCCGCTGTGCTATCGCTTAATTAAAAAAAAAAAAAAAGACCAATAGTAGCCTCTGAATGCAGCTGGTAAGACCCAACCTCTACCCACTAAATAAACAAATAAATATGGTGTTCTTTGCTTCTTAAAAATGCTTTAATTGGGGCCAAAAAAGATAATCCAGTTGGCTAAGGGGCTTGCCTTGCATGTAGCTGACCTGAGTTTCATCCCCATATTGTCCCCTGTGGCCACCAAGAATGATTCCTATGTGCAGAGCCAGAAGTAACCCCTGAGTATTGATGGCCTCACTGATCTCACCCTCCCTCCTCACAATCCCCACCAAAAAAAAAAAAAGACTCATATGTGGGAAAGAAACAAGAAGGTTATAATCTATGTCCACCTCATGAAAATGGTATAAGTATACCTTTAGTGTATTCTTTTCTTCAATGCTCGAGTAGATGACAATATGTCCTTCCAAAGATATAGCCAAATTTGGAATGGTTAGGAGGAGAGAACTCTCACAAGGTGGCCGTAAAGTCCTCATATATTGACCTTTTTGAATGCTGTGTATTATCACAGTGCCATCCTACAGAAAAAAAAATATATTAGAAAACAAATAGAACAAAGGAAAAAAAAAAAGAGAAAATAAAGTGAGTCAAATAAAAGAAAATGTTGGAAAGGAACCGAGAGAATTATTATCCTACTAACGACACATGTAGTTTAGGAACAAATCCAACCTTGAAATCTCAAATAGTATTTTAGTTTGTCAAATGTCATCTTGCTCATATGGGTCTCTAAGCCCACCAAGAATGACCCCTAAGCAGAGAGCCAGGAGTGAATCCTGAGCACAGCCATGTACGGCCCCCAAATGCCCTCTTTCTTAAACAAAACCAATAGAAATAACAAAACAGAATCCAGCCCAAGTTTTCTTCCTTTTGTTCTGATCTACTTTTGCAAAGTTTTACACCAACAATATGCAGAAAAAAATTATTATTTCCCTTTTTTTTTCTTTTTGCTTTTTGGGTCATACCCGGTGATGCACAAGGATTACTCCTGGCTCTTCCACTCAGGAATTATTTCTGGCGGTGCTCAGGGGACCATATGGGATTCTGGGAATCGAACCCAGACCAGCCACATGCAAGGTAAACCTGCCCTACCCACTATGCTATTGCTCCAGCCCCTAAATTGTTATTTCTTAAAAGTGCAGTCTTACCCTTGATCCTGACACTGCCATGTCTAGCTCAGTGCTGATGCCGACACTCAATACTTCATCAGTATGTCCATAAAGAATCTGAAAGGGTTTCGATGCTAAGCCCACAGGAACACCTCCCTAATATTGAAATAGAAAAGCAGAGTCTTGTAAGTCTTTTTTTGGTTATTGTTACAAAAAAAAATTCTACTGCATTTAATTGTCTAAGTACTTAACTTCACAACTAGTTATTATAAAGTCTATTCATAATAGATTTATTCTTGTGTTTCTCCTTGGATTCTCTATTCAAAAGTCAAAAATCTTAACTTGAATGATTAAAAGTTGCTAGTTTTGCCATAATACCCAAAAGGAGAGAGTAAAAGAGAACGTGTCTGTCACAGAGGTGGGGGTGGGGGGTGGGGGGGTGGCAGGAAGGATATGGGAACATTGGTGGTGGAGAATGGGTACTCGATCATTGTATAACTAGAATGTAATCACAAAAGTTTTTAAGTCTGTAACTGTACCTCACTGTGATTCATTAAAAATAAAAATAAATAAAATAAATGTTTGCTAGTTTTGAATTAAGAGGTACATCATTTGCCCTTTTAACCTATAAACTTATTTTTTTTTTTCCAAAGACACTTTTGTATTAGAGGGGATGTGGGGAGAGGAAAAAAGGAAAACATTTGTATTTTGTCTCTCAATATTTTCACTTTTCTATTTATTATTCACTATAAATTTAGCTTTCCAGCCACTTGGGCCGAACTTCACGCAGGAGTAAAGTCCCATGAAACTCAGGTAATGTGGAACTTTGTGACCTTGGATTCTGGACTCAGTGGGACCCGGGAGCAGAGATCCTCTGCCTGCTTCCCCTAGTCTCCAGTGATGCAGGGGTCACACCCATAAGCCACACCCTGCCAGCACCAGATAACTTTCTCATCAACCACCCTTCAGAACTCATGGCTGCTCCTCCCAGACGGCAGTATAAAATGAGACCCCCATAGCCATGCCACAGCACTCTGCGCCGGGCTGTTTTCACTCGGAGCACCCCAAAGGTAGGCAAGCAAGAGCCCTCCCCGCCACAAGGGACCTAGCCCCAGCAGCCCACCTCCACTACCCAACTGCTGCCATGCTACAGGTCGCTTTCTGGACCACACTGCTGAGACACATCTTAAGATACTTTCTATCCATTTTCCATGATTACCACACCAAGTTTGATGGAGTTTAAACAGTAGGCAACAAATCAGAGAGAGAAATATATATATATATATATATATATATATATACACATATATATATATATATATATATACACGCCCTCTCAAAGAGCCCGGCAAGCTACCCAGAGTATCCCGCCCACACGGGTACAGCCTGACAAGTTCCCCGTAGCACTATTCTATATGCCAAAACCAGTAACTATAACAGGTCTCATTCCCCTGACCCTAAAAGAGCCTCCAATCGTTGGGAAAGACGAGTAAGGAGAGGCTGCTAAAATCTCAGGGCTGGGATGAATAGATGTTACTTGCGTCCAGTAAAGTAAATTGACGAACAATGGGATGACAATTATACAGTGAAATTTAGCGCTGTTCTAACTCATCCTTTATTACTTTATTTTTGTTTGTTTGTTTTTTCTTTATTACTTTAATGATAAAAAAAAAGTGTACCTGAGCTCAGTTCAGATGATCCCAATCTTGTTGGCGACATTAAAGGAACTATAGCCAGGAACCCATCAAACAACCCTTCTTTCTTTCAGGTCTGATCAAGGTATTGATCTTGACCACATCAAATTCACAGAAATTCTCAAAACAACTGATCTAAACTAGAGTATTTAAATATGATTACCTGTTGCATTATTTGCCATATCATACATGTAGTGTCTCTGGATCCAGATATCAAATGTATACCACAGTAATCTATAGCTAAACAAGTAACAATATCTGTAAGAAAAAGAAATTCAAATAAAATAGTTTTGTTTTACTGAAAAGGAACTTTAAAGGCAACTCTAGTTTATAAACAAAATAATACTAAACACATTTGTTGGAGAAAGAAATTCATAATGATGTCTCCCCCGGCCCTCAATGACATCTAACAAGCATCAGGGAAGAATGATGCAGAAACAATGATTTTATCACTTAGGAGAAATTTCTTTGATCACTTTTTTAATTTTTGCTTTTCAGATCACACTCAGCAATGCTCAAGAGTTACTCCTGGCTCTGCACTCAGGAATTACTCCTGGCAATGTCCTGGGACCATACAGAGAGCCAGAAAATGAACTCAGGTTTGCTGCATGCATGGCCAGTGCATTATCTCTCCAGTACTGATAAATGTTTTACTTTTATATTAAAGACTAGGACACTATGAACCAAGTTAAACTATATATTCAATTATTTGATCTCTCTTAGGTTTCACCATTAACAAATAGGGGCTGAAGCAATAGCACAGCGGTAGGGCGTTTGCCTTGCAGGCAGCCAACATGGCCGACCCGAGTTCGATTCCTCTGCCCCTCCTGGAGAACCCGGCAAGCTACCGAGAGTATCTCGCCCGCACGGCAGAGCCTGGCAAGCTACCCTTGACATATTCGATATGCCAAACACAGTAACAAGTCTCATGATGGAGACGTAACTGGGCCCGCTCGAGCAAATCGATGAACGGGAGGACCATGACCGTGACATTAACAAATAAGGCAACTCATGTTACTTAACTATGACAGAGTACAGAGTTACTACCATTTTGTCTTAAAATTCTTATTTCCACCAGGCAATTTGGAGGTAGGATGGTCTGAGAGGCTAGGATCACATGGCAGTGTGTTTAGAGGTCACTTGGGATAATACTTTGTAAAAAAACACAGTGCTGGGGCTGGAGTGATAGCAAAGCGGGTAGGGCATCTGCCTTGCACGAGGCCTACCCGGGTTCAATTCCCAGCATCCCATATGGTCCCCTGAGCACCGCCAGGAGTGATTCCTGAGTGCAGAGACAGGAGTAGCCCCTGAGCATCATCAGGTGTGACCCAAAAAGCAAAAAAACAAAAACAAAAACAAACAAAAAAACCCCACAGTGCTGTAGATCAAACCTGGGTCTCCAACATGTAAACCATGCGTTCAGCACATTGAGCTATCTTTGTAACCCCCAGATAATTAAAAAAAAAAAACTTTTCATAGGGGTCAGAGAAAAAGTAGAGTATAAGGCACTTGCTTTGCATGCAGCTGACCCATGTTCAATCCCTGACACCACATTATGGTCCCCAGAACCCCACCAGGAGTGATCCATGAGTGCAGAGCCAAGAGTAAGCCTTAAGAACCATTGGGTGTGGCCCAAAACCAAAATAATTACTTGGTCTACCATCTTTCAGACATTATTAAGGTATATTTAATTATATGATGCTTTAGTATGCCCAAAATACACTAGCTAGTCTTTTGTTTGTTTTTTGGGCCACACTGAGCAGTGAAAAGAGCTTACTCCTGGCTCTGGTCAGGAAACGCTCCTAATAGCTCAGAATACCAGAAGTGGTGCAGAGACTGAACCCAGGTCAGCCCTGTGCAAGGCAAGTGGCTTACTATTACTCCAATCCCATGTTAGACTTTTGTGGGGAGGGGATTAGTTTTCTGTTTACTTTTGGATCACACTGGGGATAGAGTCTGGGTTGGTTGCATACAAGGCAAGCACCCTACCCACCGTATTTTTTCCAGCTCCACACTAGATATTCTTAGAAAAAGTATATAAAAGTTCCTAAAACTATTATATAAAAAATTTCAATTTGTGGAGTTCATGCCCAATTCAATCAGCTAATCAATGGCTGAATAAATAGCAAATACTACAAAAAATATTGGATGTAATCAAAGTAGAGAGAGAGTAATGAGGAAATCATCTGCCCCACAGGTAGGGGGAGGACGTGGGATGGGGGGTATACTGGGGTGGTGGAAAATGGGTACTGGTGAAGGAACGGGTGTTTCATTGTATGACTGAGACTTAAACCCAAAAGCTTTGTAACTGGTCTCACTGTGATTCAATAAATAAAATTATAAAAAAGGAAAAAAAATTCAATCACAAATTTAATATTCTTATAAATAAAATGTAATAACTATATAAATTAGAAAATATATAGAACTTTTTTCTCTTTTTGAAAGAGAAGTGCTTACCCATATGTCTGATATTGTGTGAAATAATTTTGCCTTTTGTAAGTGACATCACTTGAATGCTATTATCCCAGTGCCCAGCACTGAAAAGCAACTTCGCATCATGTGATACTATAAATAGTTTAGAAGTGATCTCCAATCCTGGAGCAAAAGGATGATTCATACTACGCTGTGTTCTGCAAACACAATAAATTATTAGCCTTTTTATTAAAAACATCACTTACACCAATAACTTCAATCTTTCTAAAAATGATATAAATATTATGCCTATTCAACTACTCAATTTGAAATGTCTACTAATAATGTTAAAGAATTTAAAAATATATTAATGTTACATTAAATATTTTTAACTAAATAATACCACTCAAACTCATAGTCTCAAGGATTATGAACAGTGAAATCAGTATTGGTTAAGGTGTACAAATACTTAAACCTAGCTTTCAAAGCTCATTTATTAGGTTGTCAATTATGTAAATAGTTTCAAAGTTTAAAGACAAGATATACCAAGAACAAAAAGTCAGAAATAAAGTGAAATCAAGGGTCTGCTTTATAGGCAGCTAGAAGTATAACTACTAATACTCATTAAGATTATTATCTGTCTCTGACTGGTTAAAGAAACTTTGGTGCATCTACATAATGGAGTACTATGTAGCTATTAGAAAAGATGAAGTCATGAAATTTACATACAAGATACTACATGGAAAGTATCATGATAAGCGAAATGAGTCAGAAAGAGAGAGACAGACATAGAAAGACTGCATTCATCTGGAGAACATAAAGTAACAAAATAGAAGACTAACACCCAAGAATAGACTAGATAAGTACCAGGAGGCTTACTCCATTGCTGGGAGGCCAGCCGCACATCCTAGGGGAAAAGGCAGCTCAGATAGAAGAGAGCACCAAATAAAGGGTGTTGGGAGGATCCTCCCAGGATGGGAGAAGCATGCTGAAAGTAGACTGTAGACCGAACATGATTGCCACTCAATGCCTCTTTTGCAAACCACAACAACCAAAAGGAGAGAGAGAACAAAAGGGAATGCCCTGCCACAGAGGCTGGGTGGGATGTGGGGGGGGGAGGGGTGAGAGGGATACTGGGATCATTGGTGGTGGAGAATGGGCACTGGTGGAGGGATGGGCACTAGATCACTGTGTAACTGAAACCCAAGCACAAAAATTGTAAGTCTACAACTGTACCTCATGGTGTTTCACTAATAAAAATTAAAAAAAGATTATTATCTGTCTCTCTTATTTATTTACTTGGTTTTGAGGGTACACACCGTGTTGCTCCAGACTTACTCCTGGCCCTGTGCTCAGGGATCGATATGGGGTGCCAGGGATCAAATTTGGGTCAGCCATGTGCAAGGCAAGTGCCCTACCCACTCTATCTCTCCAGCGTCCCTCCCTTCCCCAACTTTTTTTGGGCCAAACCCAGCAATGTTCAGGGTCATTCCTGGCTCTGTACTTAGGAATTGCTCCAGGTGATGCTTGAGAGACCATGGGGGATATGGGTAGGAATTGAACCCCAGTTGGCTACAGCTGAATGCAAAGTACTCTACTATACTATCTCTCCAGCCCCTCTTATCTCTTTTTTAATAGAAACTCAGAGACTGGGGGCAAAGGTGCAAATTGCAATTAGGATCAGGGATTGAACTCAGGGTCAAATGCATACTAGGCATGTGCACGTGAGCTATGTACCTGGTCCAAGATAATTTTCTATTTCAACCAGAGCAAGCATATAAGTTTTATCTGTTTCCCACTGAAATACCTATTGGCTTAGCCAACTTGAATTCTGCAAAAATATACAAAGAAGCAATTACAGTATTTGTGTGGAAAATAAGAAACACTTCAACTCTAGAACTTTATAAATATTATTCAATAGTAATTTATTGAAGGTATGGGCATTTGCCTTGCACACAGCCGATCTGGCCGACCCAGGTTCGATTCCTCCACCCCTCTCAGAAAGCCCGGCAAGCTACCGAGAGTATCTCGCCCACACGGCAAAGCCTGGCAAAGCCACCCATGACGTAGTCAATATGCCAAACACAGTAACAAGTGTCACAATGGAAATGTTGCTGGGCCCGCTCGAGCAAATCAGTGAACAACAGGAGAACAGTGACAGTGACAGTGATGCTTTGAACAAAGCACAAAAGTACTAATTCTATGCAGTATAAGAAGGAAGTATACCGCTGCAGCGATAGCACAGCGGTAGGGCGTTTGCCTTGCACGCAGCCAACATGGTCGACCCGAGTTCGATTCTTCCGCCCCTCTCAGAGAGCCCGGCAAGCTACTGAGAGTATCTCGCCCGCACGGCAAAGCCTGGCAAGCTCCCTGTGACGTATTCGATATGCCAAACACAGTAACAACAAAGTCTCCAATGGAGACGTTACTGGGCCCGCTCGAGCAAATCGACGAACAACAGGAGGGCCTTTACCTTTTTATAAGAAGGAAAAGAGACATCATCCTCCTCATAAACACTATTATTTTTCTTCTACAGATGAAAAACACAGAGTAAAGGTTTACCTTACATGAGAACATGGAGGTCTTTTAAAACTACATTATTTTATTTGAAAAAAAATAATGTAAGGAAATAATATATTCTTTGGGAATAACGTCAGGCAGACTTTGAGCCACACCTAGTGGTACTCAGGGTCTATTCCTGGCTCTGTGCTCAGAAATGACTGCTGGTAGTGCATGAGGATCATATGAGGTACAAGGGGTTGGCTGCAAGGCAAATGCCTTGCCTCCTGTACTCTCTCTCCAGTTCTAATAAGAAGTCTGACTACAAAAAACATTAGATCTTTTAAAAGAATATTTTACAACAAGACTGTACTTATTCCTGGTTCTGTGCTCAGGATAACTCCTGGTGGGTCTTGGGAAACCTTATGTGATGCTGGGGTTAAACCTGGGTTGGCGATTTGCAAGGCAAGCGCTCTACCCACTGTACCTACTCAGACCCCCAAACTGTTTTGCCTATATGCCAATAAATATCAAGTAAGGAAACAGGAAAGAGAGAAGAAAGGAAGAAGAGAATAAAGAAAGGAGAGAGAAAAGAAAACCTTGATATCTATATCTTAAAAAAAAAAAGCAATCAACTAATCTAGTTGTTTTTCTTGGCTATCAGGTACCAAATTTAGCTACTTGGATTTATTTAGGTGTTCCTTTACTTACTTTGGATTTGTCACAGTTTGATCTTTCAAGAATGTAAAATAATTAGAAATGTTTCTATCATATGGCAGCCACCCATGGGTTCCAATAATGTAATTAGTGTTTACTGTTACCTAAAAAAGGGGGGAAAAAAAAGAAAAAAGATAAAAATTAAACAAAAGATTAAGTAGCCTAGAACAACCAAATGCACCCATGATGATGCATCAATGAGCACAGATCATTTAATCAATAATGTAAGATTCTGTACTTAAAATATAAAATTTATAACAATATCTTGAAATACTAGAAGTATGAAAAAATCCTATGTCTAACTGAAAGAACAGTTATCTAGCCTATCTCTTTTATAAATTAAAATTATTTTCCTCAGGGCTGGGGGTGTGATTCTGTGGAAGAGCTCCTGTCTTGCAAGTGAGAGGCTTTGGGTTCAAACTCCATCCCCTAACATGACACTTTTTTTTCTTAATTTATCAACATTTGTTAGTGCTATTTGTTGGCAGTTCGATTTAACCATAGTAAGGTCTTAAAAAAATTGTGTGTGTGATTTAGAACATAAACCAGAAGCAGAACTTTAGATGAATTCTGAAGGAGGGGATTCCATTTCTCCCTTTGTGGAGGGAGTAGTTTGGGTCATATACAAGAGTGCTGGGCCTTCTCCAGGCTCTGTGCTCTGTGTTCAGAAGAGACTCAATGGTGTTCAGTGTGATGCCAAGGAATCTAACCAGGGTGCAAGATAAGTATCTTGCCTCCTGTATTATCTCTCTGGTAAAAAGGGAACCCTCCACCTTTTTGGGTTGTATTATCTCTCTGGTAAAAAAGGGAACCCCCCTTTTTGGGTTTGTATTATCTCTCTGGTAAAAAAGGAACCTCTTCTTTTGGTCGAGTTTTGGGTCACATCTGGTAGTGCTCAGGGCTTAGTCCTGGCTCTGTGCTCAGAGATCACTCTTGATAGGGCCTGGGGACCATACAGGAATAGAACTTGGGTCAGCTGCATACTATCTTTCTAGCTCTGGTCCCCATTTTCTTTTCTTTCTTTTTTTTTCCTTTTTGGGTCACACCCAGCGATGCACAGGGGTTACTCCTGGCTTTGCACTCAGGAATTACTCCTGGCAATGCTCAGTGAACTATATGGGATGCTGGGAATCGAACCCAGGTCAGCCGTGTGCAAGGCAAATGCCCTACCCACTGTGCTATGGCTCCAGCCCCTGGTCCCCATTTTTAATGACTTCACAGTACTTTTTTCTTCAAAATAAAATCCCTTTCCTCTATTCTTATTATATTCTTATTATAAAAGTAACAGATTACCTCTCTATGAACAGATAACTTAAAAATTAAAAACCACAAAAATTCCGCTATTCAACAAGTACTATTATCATTTTTGTGTTTGATTTCTAAAGCTTTTTCCTCCAGCAACTACACATAATTGCATAATCATAAAATTACATCTGGGCTGGAGTGACAGTACAGTTGGTAGGGCACTTGCTTGCATGCAGCTGACCCAGGTTTAATCTCTGGCACCTCACATGGTCCCCTCAGCCTGCCAGGCGTGATCCCTGAGCATTGAGCCAGGAGTAAGCCCTGAGCACTGTTGGGTATGGCCCCAAAAACAAAAACAGCAACAACAAAAAGAAAACAAGAAAAATACATCTAATTCTGGGATCTCAACTGTTTGTTGTTTTCCTTAATTTCTATAGATAATTCTAAAAATTTCTAAGTGACGGAGGTAGGGTGAATAAAACAGAGATTTGGCCCAGGAGTCAAGGTCTACCTCCTTTACTTCCTAACTCTGTGACCTTAAACAAATTATCCCCAAATTTTTATTTCTTAGTGGTAGAAGGCAAATAAGAATAGAGCCTAGCTATACAACAGTTAGGTAATTAACAAAACTCAAGTAAAGCACACTTTGACATGTCCTGATGTCAGTGATCCACTACAATCAGTTCTATTTTATTTTCATTCTTATTATAGGTTTATGGTGACTTTTAATATACAAGAAGTTATATCCAACATCATTGCATGAAATGCTTAAATATTATTCCACATAAATTAAAAAAATATTCCAGTTAACTACTTAAAAGCTGTGCAAATAGAAAATACATTTTAATACTTGAATTAGGCCTATACAAATTTTGTTATTTTTATATGTGGCTTTAAAAACTATATTTCTATTTGTGACATACGTCATGAATACAGATGTGGCAATGTGGAAAAGATGTGCTACTTACCAGTAACTCAGGACTGCCCTGAGACATAAATGAACGAGACTGATTTTTGGGAATAATGGCCTTTATTAGCGGAATACCATCACTAATCCCCTATAAAACAAAAGACAAGTTTAGTTTCTAGTTCTCTCACCTTAATAAAGAAAAAAAGGAAAGAAAATTCTATTTTTGTTTTTGTTAGTTTTGGTTTCACACCCAGTGGAGCTCAGGACTAACGACTAACTCTTGGCTCTGCGCTCAGGGATCACTTCTGGCGGGGCCGGGGAGACCAACTTGGAGACAGAACTTGGATTGGCCACATGCAAAGCAAGAGCCCTACCTGCTGTACTATTGCTTTGGCCTTGAAAATTCTACTTTTTAAATAAGGATAACTCTGACATAATAATTTTAAAAAATTCTCCTATATAATACTTTATTTAAAAAGAGAGAAAAGACGGGCCCGAGCAGCAGTAAAGCAGGTAGGGCACTTGCCTTGCACTTGGCCAACTTGGGTTAGATCCCCAGCACCCCATATGGTCCCTGGAGCCTGCCAGAAATGATCCCTGAGCACAGCACTAGGAAAAAGCCCTAAACACTGCCAATTGTGGCCAAACAAACACAACAACCATCCTAAAAAAAAAAAAAAGAAAGAAAGAAAAAGGGAAGGGGTAAGTGAAATGGGCAGAAAAGTCATTTAGATGAAACATTGAAACACTGGTGGTGGTACAATGGGACTTATACCACATATAGAAGTGTAGAGCTGTGCTTCCAAATTTTATAATACTGAAAATTAACACAATTTTATTTTAAAGTGGCTATTTATGTTTCTACATATCAACTGCCCTCTCCCTTCCTGTCCCCCTCCCTCCCCTTCTAACCCCTTCCCCTCCCTCTCCCTCTCCCTCTCTCATTCCTTGCCAGGAAATGTGAAGTAGAAGAAAATAAAGAGAAATACAGATTAACCAATCAAGGAACAAACAAATCTTTTTAAATAGTCTAAAAACTCAAAAACTGAAATTATACTATGATTAACGTGAATTAAATACTACAAATTCATCCCCAGCAATAGAAGGAACATGGAATTACATGTAACATGTGAGGGATATGTAATTCAAAAAAAAGACTTTTTGATATGGACACGTATGATATTACCAAGTATGGTATTACCTCAATGAAAAATGACTTGAGTTCAAGGAGGTGTTGAAATAAGTTTACGGTCGAAGTGTCTGTTTTGGTTTGCTTCTGCATTGCTTCCTCTGCTGATAACCTAGGAGGGTGAGGTTCCTTCAAAATAATTTAAATAAAAAGAATAATTTAATAATCACATCAAAACATCTCTATATATTCCTTAATATACACTAAACTCTAGCTTTAATGATTATGTATATACTGTGCACTGCTAACAACTCCAGTCATGGGTCAGTCTCTCAACTATTTCTAGCCTCTTCATTTCTACAGAGTTCTAATTTCTACTTCTAAGTTCTCATTAATGATACCTCTCTGGAATTCCAAAGAAAAAAATTAAATGTTCTCCTTTATTATTTTACTTAGCACATTATTCACTACTTTATTTATTACCTGTTTCTATGTTAGATTATGGATAGGACAGCGAGTAGGGCATTTGCCGTGCAAGTGACAGACCCGAGTTCTATTCCTTTGTCCCTCTCGGAGAGCACAGCAAGCTACCTTGAGTATCCCGCCTGCATGGCAGAGCCTGGCATGCTCCCTGTGGAGTATTTCATGTGCCAAAAACAGTAACAACAAGTCTCACAATGAAGACATTACTGGTGCCCACTCGAGCAAATTGATGAACAATGCTACTTATGATCTGTTTTCCCCAACAAAGAAATCTGTATCTTAAAATTCAGAATCAAAACATGATCAACTTATGCTTTTAATACTTAAAGCTATATGTTAAATGTGGCAGATGTTTAACAAATATCTGGCAAAAAATTGGTGTATTATTTAAAATTTATAATATGGGTGAATCTTTAACACTTCAGAGGAGATTAAAAGGTAAAGGCCCTCCCGTTGATCGTCGATTTGCTCGAGCGGGCCCAGTAACGTCTCCATTGGAGACTTGGTTGTTACTGTGTCTGGCATATCGAATACTCTCGGTAGCTTGCCGGGCTCTCCGAGAGGGGCGGAGGAATCGAACTCGGGTCGGCCATGTTGGCCGCTTGTAAGGCGAACGCCCTACCCACTGTGCTATCGCTCCAGCCCTAAAGGTAAAGGCTGTCCCGTTGATCGTCAATTTGCTCGAGCGGGCCCAGTAACGTCTCCATTGGAGACTTTGTTGTTACTGTGTTTGGCATATCAAATACTCTCGGTAGCTTGCCGGGCTCTCCGAGAGGGGCAGAGGAATCGGACTCGGGTCGGCTATGTTGGCCACTTGTAAGGTGAACGCCCTACCACTGATTTAAAATATAGTGTAATGTGGAGGCACAACAAGATGGGGGTGCTGCTGGCCCTTGACCTCCCCCAACTCAACGAGACCCCCAAGTCGTTGCCCACGAATGGTCCTTCCTGCTACTGATCAAGTTGCTTAACGGCCATGATCCCAGAGACACACAAGCGAAACTCAGAAACTAGCAGCTTTGAGCAGAAATCCCTCCAGATTTATTAAAATTTTAGGATTCCAATATCTGATTTTGGAATCAGTTAGCAGCTGCATGACAACATATGCTAGTCATAATCAGCAATAGAAAACAAACTGTCTAATGTTGCCTTTTCAGCAGGTCTGAGTGTTGGAGGGAAATCTCAAATAATAATGGTGGGTCTGGTATCGAGGTATTGAATGTAACCAAAGTAGAGAGAGAGTAATGTGGAAATCATCTCCCAAACAGTTAGGGGGATTAGGTGGGATGGGGGAGACACTGGGGTTTTTGGTGGTGAAAAATATAAACTGGTGAAGGGACAGTTGTTTCATCATTGTATGACCAAGACTTAGACCCAAAAGCGTTGTAATTGCTCTCATGGTGATTCAATAAAGAAATTTATAAAAATAATAATAATAATAAATAAAATATAGTGTAAAACTCACTGGTACTTGAGAGCTAAATTTAGTTATACTATCAGAGGTAAGTTGTCTATATAGCTATTAACTTATCTAAAGTTAGATTATTACCTCTTTCATATAAATCTAATATTTTATAATGGAAAGAAATGAATATTTTTTGGATAACTGTTTTTTGCATTCATAATGTGTCTTTTGAGAGAGCGCCGAATCCTAACCACTAGACCACCAGGGAGTGATCATAATGTGTCTTTTGGCATGTTAAATTTCATTTATCATTTTCTTCTTTATTATCTTTGATATTCAAGCTTAGTAAGCTAGTAATTAGTTTCTCTGAAAAGAGATGCAGGAATATCTACAGTTTATAAACTGAACTTGATTGTGGCATTATTGATCTATATATTTTTTTCTTTTTGGGTCATACCTGGTAATGAACAGGGGTTAATCCTGGTTCATGCACTCAGGTATTACTCCTGGCTGTGCTTGGGGGACTATATGGGATGCTGGGAATTGAACCTAGGTTGGCCTAGGTTCATGTAAGGCAAACGCCCTACCTGCTGTGCTATCACCCTGGCCCTGATTCTGGCATTATTGATGATTTCTGTATCATTTTTAATGGTAATAAAAATAAAACAGCACTACTTCTCTTGTAAAACAAAGCTGGTGCAAAGATATTACAGACTTCTACTCCACAGCCCAATGAAGTGCTATTTTATTTTCTTACCTTAAAAAAATTCTGTTATTTTTGCCAAACTCTGACCCTATTAGATGAAAACTCACACATGGCAGCAGTGGAATTTGGACCCACGCCTCCGAAGAAATTGGAGCCTAAATCCAGTGCCTTAGACTGCTCAGTCATGCTACCTGTGGACTGGAGCGATAGCACAGTGGGTAGGGTGTCTGCCTTGCACGTGGCTGACCCAGGTTTGATTCCTCTGCCCATCTCAGAGAGCCTGGCAAGCTACTGAAAGTAGAGAGTAGCTTTACCAAGCAGCAAAGCCTGGCTAGCTCCCTGTGATGTATTCGATATGCCAAAAGCAGTAACAACAAGTCTCACAATTTGTTGTGAGATGTTACTGATGCCCGCTCGAGCAAATCGATGAACAACAGGATGACAGTGCTACAGTGCTACCTACTCTATTAGAAATAAAGCCTCGGACATGAGAAAATGCTCTACATCATTAATCATCAGGGAGATGCAGATCAAAACAACAATGAGATATCATTTCGCACCACAGATACTGGCTCACATCCAAAAGAACAAAAGCAACTGGTGCTGGCGTGTATGTGGTGAGAAAGAGACCCTCCTTCACTGCTGGTGGGAATGCCGAATGGTTCAGCCCCTTTTGGAAAACAGTATGGACGATTCTCAAAAAATTAGAAATTGAGCTCCCTTTTGACCCAGCAATACCACTTCTGGGAATATATCCCAAAGAGGCAAAAAAGTATAGTCAAAGTGACATCCGCACTTGTTTGTTCATTGCAGCACTCTTTACAATAGCCAGAATCTGGAAAGAACCTGAGTGCCCGAGAACAGATGACTGGTGCAAGAAACTTTGGTACATTTACACAATGGAGTACTATGTAGCTTTTAGAAAAGATGAAGTCATGAAATTCAGATACAAGTGGTACTACATGGCAAATATCATGTTAAGCGAAATGAGTCAGAAAGAGAGGGATAGACATAGAAAGATTTCATCTGGGGAACATAAAGTAACAAAATAGGAGACTAACACCCAAGAGTGGCCGAGATTAGTACTAGGAATTTTGCTCCATGGCTTGGAGGCCAGCCATACATGCTAGGGGGAAAGGGAGCTCAGATAGAGAAGGGAGCACCAAATAAAGGGTGTTGGGAGGATCCTCCCAGGATGGGAGAAGCATGCTGAAAGTAGACTATAGACTGAACATGACTGCCACTCAATGCCTCTTTTGCAAACCACAACACCCCAAAAGAGAGAGAGAACAAAAGGGAATGCCCTGCCACAGAGGCGGGGGGGGGGGGGGGGGAAGGGGGTGGGAGGAATACTGGGACCCGTGGTGGTGAAAAATGGGCATTGGTGAAGGGTACTTGGTCATTATATAACTGAAACCCAAGCACAAAAATTTGTAAGTCCACAACTGTACCTCATGGTGTTTCACTAAAAAAAATTAAAAAAAAAAAAGAAAGCAAGCCTCGGTTTCAAATATGGCTAGTACAGAATTACCAATGGCTTAAGAAAAATCAGTGTTTAAAAAATAATAATTATAATTATATAATTATAACAATTATAATTACTCTGATAATAGAACTACAAGTCAGAGCTCTTCTGTAAATGTAAGACTGGTGACTATCATTCAATTCCAATAAGCTTAAAAAGTCTAAGCCAGGTGAAAGATAGGGCCTAATTAAGTATAATTTAACATATTCTTTACATTTTCACCAAAAGTATCTCAAATTTATTCTTTTGCTGAGAAGGATGACAAGCTTTCCTGTATTTTGACTTAAAAAAATAGAGGGAGTTAACCTTGAACTCAGGCCTTATGCTATCTTTTGAGGCATGAAACTGAAGAAGGAGGTAGAGAGATGTAATTGGCAGATGAGTTTCTTGAGAAGTAAGAAAACCAACATGTGGACTAAAGGAGTATTCTAGTTCCAGTCCTAAAGTTTGAAGGCTAGACCCCCTTTGAAGATGCAGAAATGAAGGCCTAGTACAATTTTAACTGACATCAGCTCCAGAAAAGGCTGGGCCACCGCTATCTGTTACAGCCTTCCCAAGAGAGGGAGAAGCTTCAAAAGAACAAAAGGCTGTCATAAGAACATGGAAGAAAACCACCAAAAGTTCCAAAACCATTCCCTTGACAACACTCTATCAAAGGACACTTGCCTACATAGAAAGTCCCAACTGGACACTTCGGGAAAAACTCTATGAAAAAAACTTTGCAAAGGCAAGTTGTGCACTTACCACTTTGGGGGTCACTTGAATCTCAATATATTTTATGACTGGATGCTGAGGTCTAAGTTTGGGTTCTGGATGGTATGTTTCTGTTTGGGGGATTATTTTTTTAAGATAACTTAAATACACTGGTTACTCTGTATTTATTATGCAGTACTTATAGGATGAGAGCTCTATCTTCTTCTTCATCTCCTTTTTTTTTTTTACTACATGGGCCCCTTTCCCTTTACCATGTTTGTTTGGCCAACATGGCCGACCCAAGTTTGATTCCTCTGCCCCTCTCAGAGAGCCCAGCAAGCTACCGAGAGTATCTTGCCCGCACAGCAAAGCCTGGCAAGCTACCCATAATGTATTCGATATGCCAAACACAGTAACAATTGTCACAATGGAGACGTTACTGGGCCCGCTGGAGACGTTACTGGGCCCACTGGAGCAAATCAATGAACAATGGGAGGACAGTGACAGTGATAACATATTATATAACAACATATAACAATTGTCTACTTGGTCATGGTGCTAAGGCTTGTACTCCACTAGTTATGATGCTCATATGCTAAGAGTTACACTTTTAATTGAAGTACATATGTTACGGCTGTGGTACTCATTAGGGGTTACCGTAATGCTCAGAAATGTGCTTGCCAGGAGCTGCAATTCCTGTCCACTGCACTTGTGAATATTTGTAGTGGTGGTGCTCACTGAGGTCACACCCCATTTTGTGCCACACACATACACACACACACACACACACACACACAGTTGTGGTGTAATTAGAAATCACTTGTGGCACTAAGGAGTGCAGGCAGCAGCATCAGAACTGCAAGGATTGTGTTCCATGCATGTAGGACACAAGAAACTCATGGATCTGCATTCAAGGCAGGTGCTCTAAGCCACTGTACTATACCTCTGGGTATATTAGCAGTCTCACATATGGAATGAGGTCTATTATAGAATATAATTTAACCGCTATTTATTTAAAGGTTCTTGTTATTTTAAAACAGCATAATATTATACCTGACAGGAAAGGTTTTTGACCTTTCCCTTCACAGAAAAAAAAAATACTAGTTTTTTGGTTATTTCCAGAGTAATATAAATCCTGTGACTTGAGACTGTGTGTGTGTGTGTGTGTGTCTGTGTGTGTGTGCGATATTGCAGTTACACCGCTGTAAATTAATCTCAATAGAAGGCTCTGTTTATATAGATTTTGACTGCATTATTTCATTGTTTCAAAATAGGAATAATTGTATAAATTTACTTTTAGGTGAAAGCATAATTTTTCTAAATTGAGATAATTATATATAAGGTAATTAAAGATTTAAAATCCTCAAGAAAACAAGTAGTGCTACTCTTTAGAAACTTATGTTCTAGATTATTTGTGTTATCAGTAACTTACTGATTTACCTTTAACAGCTGACAAGGTGTCTGCCCAAAATTATTAATCATTCCTTCTAAGGCTTTTCTTTCTTTCTCATCAGTTAAGGCATCTAGATCCACAGCTCCTAAAACCAGGATAAGCAGTCAACTCACTATAGAGTGAAAACAAATCAGCAAGCCATACAACTTATTAATATATTAGAAACTTATTACCATATTTTCAACAAAATATTATTATATTTTCCTATTTATAAAAATATTATAGCTACTATTTTTCCAAATCAGTCAAATTTCAGGCCAAAAAGGCAGTACAGGATTTAAGGTACTTTCCTTGCATGCAGCACCATATACAGTCCCCCTGAACAATTCAGGGAGGGATCTCTGAGCAGAGTAAGTTAGTAGAAAGCTCTGAACAATGCCTACTGTGGCTAAAAAATAAAACAAACCAGTTAAGTTTCAAATATTAAATATGTACAAAAATTAATTCTAGCAACAATTTAAAAACAAAATATTTAAATATAAAAAATATTAACTGGCTGTCTTAAAAGCTTTTTTGAAAAAATATAAGTTATACTTCATGATGGTCTAGCTGAAGGAAGTGTAATAACCAATTAAAAATAATGCTCCAAGTTAATAATGATATCAAACAACCACTGGGAAAGGTGAAACTCCGGTTAAATAACTATACTGTCATGGTCCTCCCGTTGTTCATCGATTTGCTCGAGCGGGCCCAGTAACATCTCCATCGTGAGACTTGTTGTTACTGTGTCTGGCATATCGAATACGTCACGGGGAGCTTGCCAGGCTCTGCCGTGCGGGCGAGATACTCTCGGTAGCTTGCCGGGCTCTCCGAGAGGGGCGGAGGAATCGAACTCAGGTCGGCCATGTTGGCTGCTTGGAAGGCAAACGCCCTACCACTGTGCTATCACTCCAGCCCATAACTACACTGTCATTTAATATAAATTAATATGCATTTATATTAATAATTATTTTACATGGTTATTAACTAGCAAAGCTAGGTGTGATTGAAATGTCTACTTTATTAAGCATCGTGCTATACTACCTCTCCACAAAATCATTATCTGAATGAATATGGCACGGTAAAAACATGCAGGTCTATTTACCAAATTGTTTCTGCTCAAATTCACACAACCCAGGTTGGAAGTGTGCAAGGCTGCCTTACCCACTGTACTATCTCTCTGGCACCATCACATATTCTCTTAACAACTTCTTTTTTTACTGTAGCAATCTCTTAAGAAAATAGAAAAAATTGACTAAAATTCTTGAATATATTTTCTTCTATTAGTTTTATCCAAAACACTAAATACAAACACATATTAAAATAATTTTTTAACAATTCAAGGCAAGGACAAAAGCATCTAGTTTATACCTTCATAGCTACAGTAATAGAATACATTAAGTGCCTCCACTGCAGCTGGTCCTCTCTGTTTATAGCCAAAAATCAGATCTATCCATTCATGAAGATGTGCAGAAACATGTTCAGATTCCTGAGGAAAAAAATTAATATTTAATATAGTTATCTTCCATCTGCAACATATGGTCCTTTAGATAAAAGAAAATTAAGCATTTTCACACAAAAATCTTACAACCCTAAATAAAATTCTTTGAAAATTATGCTAATCATTTATCCAATATTTATATGTTTTTTACTGTTGCTGGTTTTTGTTCATTTTGGTGTCACACCTGGCAATGTTCAGGGGTGAGTGCTGTACTCTTGGGGAGCCCTGCGTCTGCCACTGCCACATACAAAGTCTGGCTACAAGACTGGCTGCACTACACAGTCTCCTTAGAACTGCTGGGTATGGTCCTGGCAGACCCTAGCTTCAGTGAGGAGTATCCTCCACCCCCACAAAAAAGAGTTTCTGACTACATAGCTAGAGACCACATGATGAGGAGATATTCTAAGATTACAAAGAGATAAAATAGTCCAGTACCCAATATTTCAATGCAGAGATAATGAACTGGCTGTACTTTTAAACCATGAAATTTTGGGATAATTATTATATAGCAATATGCAATAAAAACAAACTTCTAACATTTTGTAACAAAGAGAATGTCTTAACATTCTGGACACTCGCTTTATGTCATGGAAAATAGAAAAGAAAGCAGATGAGAAGTTCCTAGCTAGCTAATACATAACAAGTTATCTTTCAGAACTGCTTGCTACATTTTCTCACTTCTTCTAACTTTTCCCCCAAATGTGCTTGAGACTCCAGGGGACCACAAACAGAAGTGGACCACAAACAGATGATCGGTATTGGCAATGTAGAAGGTTACCAGGGTCATACCTAGACGATGTGTGATAGCCGCAAGGGCTATATCAGGTTGTACTGGGGGACTAAGCTATGTCGGGGATAAAACTTGGCACCTTGAGAGCGCTCTACTCCCTTGAGCTATTCCTCCAATTCTTTACTCATGTACAGGATTTTAGCTTGTATGTTAAAAATTTGACAAATTAATACTAATGAATTTCATCAAGTATTGGTCTAATTAGTTTCAGAGTCTGCAACACTTCAGATCAAATAGAGAACTACCCAAGCAGGCAAATGGCAAGGCAATCTAGAACAAGTCAGATGTACTTTATCTTCTCAAAAATGCATACATTTATGATATTAAACGATTAACTAAAAACAAAAGACTTACCAGAGCTTTCCTATGCTTGTAGATAAAATCTTCAGATGACTTAGCCCATTTTGGGAGAATGACATCATTTACTAGTTCTTTGGAAACTTGGAGACGACCCAAGTTAAATTCTAAGACATGTAAGAGAGAAATGTAGCAAATCATTTTAGATTTAATAGATCAAAAAAAAAAAAAAAGACAGCACAGTCCTTAGCAAGCTGAGATAACTTTCTTCATTAAGAGTGAAAAACAAGAAATAAGTCCCCTCAATATAAATGAAAGTAATAGTAAAATAGGTAAAAATAGTAAGAAATAGGTAAAAATAATTCTCATCTATTGAAATGTATTTTATCAATTGATAAAATACATAAAAGTATTTTAAAATGCATAAAGGTAGATAAATTTAAATGTTTAAAATTAGTTACATGGTAAATCAAATCAGCAAACAGGAGAAAATTAGGGAAAACTATAATTATCTTAAAACTTATCCAATGGGCTAGAGTGATAGCACAGCAGGTAGGGCGTTTGCCTTGCACACGGCCGACCCAGGTTCGAGTCCCAGCATCCCATATGGTCCCCTGAGCATTGCCAGGAGTGGTTTCTGAGTGCAAAGCCAGGAGTAATCCCTGAGCATCACCAGGTGTGATCCAAAAAGGAAAAAAAAAATCCAAACCAACAACAACACAACAAAACTTATCCAAAAAAAAGTATTTTTTCTACTGTAAAAATAATTATACATTCCAATAGTTAATATACAAATACAGCTCCTTAGTATAATTTGCACCTTAAATTCACTAAATGAAAGTGTTATGTTGTATTACAAAAAAACAACAAATTTATGTAACATTATTAGAAAGATTTCCTAATATGGTCAGACCACAGAATCTGAACAAAATTGCTCCAAAGATGAGATTTTATTATTTATAAGGTATACAGAAAAAAGTATTAATATAAAAGAAGTTGCCTTAAAATATCACTGAGTCCCAAAGGTGCAGAGAAGTTTCAATGTCATACGTTATAATGGGTCTGAGGCTTTGTTAACCCAATCTCCATAGAGCAAATACTATTTGTTGGTCTGAAAGCCATTTCACTTCCTTATTTGTAAGCAAATCCTAGGCTTTATTTAAGTATTCATCCCTGCCCTGTATATCAAGCCCGTTTGCAGGTGACTGTTGGAGGGCTTGGTATAAGACCAAACTCTGAAACAATTAAGGGAAGTTATGACAAAGTATTTCTCACTCAAGACAAAGGAAACTGTTCCATTTCTAAGATACTAGTGTACCTGTGTATGTTGACTAGAAACGCTTTAGTCATTTGTTACCATGAGAGGAACTAAATAAGGATAAAGTCAAAACAAAAGAGCAGAGTGAAAACATGGAAAGAATTTGGCTTTGATCAAAATAGTTAAGCTTGAAGCACCTATCATACTTCAGGATGTTTATTATGGAAATAAATTTTTTTGTTGGCCAACTTGAGTGCTTTTTTGTTAATATTTATTTTATTTTGCTGATATTCTAATATAGTTTGTCTTATCCCACCAACTTCATTTTAAATAAAGAGGAAAACATAGTTTAAAATGGATCCCACCAGACTGTGCAAGATGTCCAGATCAATGAATTCAGAAAACTCATGCTAGAAATATTTTAAAATCTGCATCCAAATTAATTTGTTAATCCTTCGTATTTCTGATACCCAGCTCCAGGAACTCAAGTCCAATGGCTGAGCTGATTAAGATCAGACTGAGTCAACAGACTGAACTGCCTTTCTAGAAGTCACTAATTTTAAAGGCTGGCTCTGAGAATTGATATCCTTCTTTAGGGGTATATAATCAAAAAGGCATAAATAAATAATTCTACTGAGTATACAAAAGGGGAAGGATTAACTTTACATGAGAGAGGAAGAAGAAGCTGTAATGATGCTTTGACACTGAGTTTCCTAAAAGGACACAAGTCATAATAATCTTATCAAGTTCTAATTTTGTGCCTAAAAATACATCAAAAACTAAATCAAAGAAGAAGCATTTGGCTATTCTTAATACTGTAAATAACTTCATGATGTTCCACTTTAAAAACATGCTTTTTAAGGACTGTGGTGTAGCACGCCCTGTCATTATTTCCATCTTGATTCTATTTATGCATTAACTCAGGAATTAGCAAACTGCTTCTACAGTAGAAGAAAATTTGACTATGTGAGTCAAAGGGTCAAATCTGTCATTCTACTATAAAAGTAACCAGAGTATGTGTGTACACGCACACACACACACACACACACACACACACACAAACACATACATATATGTGTGTGTATATATGTATATATGTGTGTGTGTGTGATCGTATATGTTCCAAGATCTCTTTATAAATATAAATTTGCCCACCAATCTGAACAGATTTGCTGAACCCTGGTCTAAATTCTTATCTTATCTATCTCAAACATCTGTTAACATAACTGGACTATCATGGAAAGATCATATACCTACACCTATTTCTGCTCCTCCAGCAAACCCAGTACTCCAACAAACTTTATTATCAATTAAAATTTGATTCAGAGAGAGAGAGAAGAAAAGAAGAAAACTGCCTGCCATAGAAGCAGGGTGTGGGATAGTGAGAGGAAACTGGGGTCACTGGTAGTGGAAAATGTACACTGGTGGAAGGATGGATGTTACAGTATTTTATATTGTAAACCTTATTGAAACCTGATCATGAAATACTTTGTAACTATGTGTCTCATGGTGACTCAATGAAAGAAAGGAAAAAAATGGAAAGAAACAAGAAAGAAAGAAAGAAAGAAAGAAAGAAAGAAAGAAAGAAAGAAAGAAAAAAAGAAAGAAAGAAAGAAAGAAAGAGAAAGAATTTTGACTCTTGTGTCTTAATTTATTACAGTACTTCAGTATCAGTTGAAATTTGTTATTGAGCACAGGATGAACACTAAATCATCTACAGACATGTTTTAGGTTCTTCCACTGGAACTACTGAGTTTAATTTTTTGGTTTGTTTTTGTGTTTGAGTCACACCCAGAAGTGTGTTCATGAGTCACTCCCAGATGTGCTTAGGAATCCATAGACAATGCTGGGATTTGAACCCAGATTTCCTGATGCAAAGCATGCACTCTAGCCCATCAAACTGAGACTCATTTTCAATCTTTGATTTCTTACGATTTTGATTTTCCAGAAATTCTGGAAAATAGAAGAATTCAGGAATAAGTTCCTTCACATCATACGTGTTGTCCATGAGAGTCTGCCATGTAGCAGGGATGGAATGGAACTGTCGATCTGCACAGTCAAACCTGTACATGGAGAGAGAAAGAGAACAGTGAGGATTGATTGAGAGCAAAAATAGATAAAAACCTTCAAATTCTCTTCATAATTCCAAATGACAAAAAATGCTCTTTTCATACTCTATAACATCTAATAAACCAATCTGAGTGCCAGAGAGAGGGCAAAGAGATTAAGATAACTGCCTTGCATGTGTCTCACTCAGGTTCATTCCTGGACACTGAATGGTCCCCAAAGTATCACCCAGAAGCAATCCAGAGCGAAGAAATAGGAGTGGCCCCAGAGAATTACCAGGGTGGCTCTGAGAAACTATCTTTTATATTTTGCTATCATAAACTAAGAAACTACAATTTCAATACTTGGATTGGGGGTAACACCCAATGGTAGTTGGGGAGAATATAGTGCCTGGGACTGAATTCAGACCTCCCACAGGCAAAGTATGTATTCCAGCCCTTTGAGCAATCCTAGCCCCAAGCACTTTTCTTTCTATCGTTTTTCCTCTCTCATTTCCCCCTACTGAGCCTACCCTACTCCATGGAAACTATCAATTTAGTTTCAATTCATATAATTTGGCATATATTGGGCATTTCACATAATATGTGACCTACTGTGTCTGGTTTACTTCACTTAACTTCAATATTCAAGATTTATCCTGTCAAATGGAACAATGCTTCATTCCCTGGATAAACTACAGTAAGTAAAGTTTAGTTTATCCACCCTAAGAATAAACTACACTAATTCATTTATTAGTTGATAGATATTAGGATTATTTCCATTTGGGAGCTAAGTTTAATTATATACAAGCTGCTTTGTTTTCAGGGTAGGGATCAAACCCAGGGTCTCATACATGCAAAGAAAACATTCTACCACTGAATTCAATCTTTGGTTCCTATTTATGAGTTTTTGCATGAACATTTCTTTTCTGTTTTTATGGTTTAACTAAGAAAGGAAAAGCTAGGACATATGGTAATTCTATTTTTAATCACTTTGAAGAACTGCCAGAGTATTTTCCACCGAAACTATATTATTTTATAATAGCAGCAGCAGTATATAAAATTCTGATTACTTGACATGCTTGTTAACAATAGCTGTTTTATTTTATTTTGCTTTGTTTTATTCGGGAAGAGGGGCTAGTCACACCTGGCCATGCTCAAGGCTTACTCCTGGCTCTGTGCTCAGGGATAACTTCTAGTGGGGCTTAGGGGACCATACTGGATGCCAGGATTCAAACCCAAGTTCTGTGTGTGTAACCCTACCCATTGCTGTACTGTCTCTCCAGTCCTACTTTTTTTCTTTTAATTTCTATTGATGTGAAATTTCACGATCACAGTCCTCCTGTTGTTCATCGATTTGCTCGAGCAGGCCCAGTGATGTCTCCATTGTGACACTCGTTACTGTGTTTGGCATATCGAATACATCACGGGGAGCATGAAGGCTTTGCCGTGCTGGTGAGATACTCTCGGTAGCTTGCCGGGCTCTCCAAGAGGGGCGGAGGAATCGAACTCAGGTCAGCCATGTTGGCCGCTTGTAAGGCGAACGCCCTACCGTTGTGCTATCGCTCCAGCTGTATCTCAATTTGCTTCTGATTTGAATTTTTTCTGATTTAAGTATTCCTGATTTGAATTTTCACTAACTAATGATTTGAGCCTCTTTTTCGTGTGTTTAATGATCATTATTTTGTTATTATTATTATTTTGGAGAAATATCAATTCAAATCTATCCATTTGAAAATTTGGGGTAATTCTTCTTTTTACTGTGAGTAGAAAGTATTCTTTATATATCCTATATAAAGTTTCTAATCAGAGCAATAATTTAAAGACACTTTTTCCCCACTGCATAAATTATATCTTTACTTTCTTGATTGTGTCCTCTGAAGCACATTTAGAATCTATTTTTGAAGATTGTAAAAAAAATTATTATAAGTCACTAGAAAATCCAGTTATACTTTACTGAGGGCGTAATAATTTGCTATCACAGTAGAAGTAACATTTGGGAATATGAAATGATTTTGAGACCAAAGTTTCTCTTGTTCATTTGTTTGTTCTCACACGTACACAGTTGTGCTAAAATTCTTTACTCAAAACTTACCTTCCACTCTGAAGCTGGATATGAAGGGTAGTAAATGGTTCTGTACGGATAAGATAGTGCATGACTCCTGCAGGATTTGAGTAGTGAGTACCATAATGAAACTTATCAATAGTTCCCATAGGATCCTCAAAATTTTCATATCTACAAAAAAATCCCCATAGTTTACGACCACAGTAGAACTAAAGCAGAATACATGTTTGTATTACATTGCTACAGTGTTTACCATGCCATTATTATTCTAATATTGCATACTTTATCATAAGAGCATACTGATAAATTTGTATTCACTAAGACTTTTTCTGAGCAATAAAATGACATTAATATTTAATTCCAGTCTCCTGCCCCCGCGCCTGGCTGTCCTCGCCAGGGTCCCTTGGAGTGGAGCGGATTGAGTTTCCCTCCCCGCCCTGACCAGGACTCCGGCAGCTGAAGACCTCTAGAACCAGCCACTACCATGCTGAGACCACTCTCCACATGCATGAAGGTACCGGCAGAGGAACAAAGGCATGCAGGTCCCGGGGCTGAGATCTCCAAGCCTGCTCGGATTGGGGCTGAGCATCCTCCACGGCCACGCGACATCTTATTATCTCATTACTACTTTAGACGAACTGGCAGGCTACCGAATGTAACCTGTCCCCACGGCAGGGTCTGGCAAACTTCCCGTGGCGTACCCAATATGCCAAATACCAGTAACAATGATGGGTCTCATTCTCCTAACCCTGAAAGAGCCTTGAATATGGCACTTTTTAAAAAAATCTGAGCTAGGACGAAGGAGATGTTACTGGGAACTGCTCGAGGCAATCGACGAACAATAGGAGGGTCATGATCGTGATTTAATTCCAGAGTAGTTTTGAATGATGCAATAATTCAAGTTTACTGTAGATAAATTGAAAAATACAGAACAACAACAAAAAAGAATAAACTGAGATAGACAGACAGTATAAGGCCCTTGCCTTATATGTGCGAACATGGGCTCAATTCCCGGCACTGCATATTGTTCTTTGATCACTTGAGTCAGGAAAAATAACTGAATATGGCCAGCTGGGTATACCTCCAATCCAAAATTAAAAAGAAAAAAAAATTCATCACAACTGTACTAACTGTACTTCTGAAAGAAAATTAGTATTGACGCATTAATAAATATCTATTAAAGTTTGGGCTAGAGCAATAGCACAGCAGTAGGACATTTGCCTTGCACGCAGTCAGTACGGCTGAGCTGGGTTCGATTCCTCCACCCCCTTAGAGAGCCCAGCAAGCTACCAAGAGTATCTTGCCTGCACGGCAAAGCCTGGCAAGCTACCCGTGACATATTTATTATGTCAAACACAGTAACAACAAGTCTCATGATGGAGACGTTACTGGGCCTGCTCGAGCAAGTCGATGAACAATGGGAGGACAGTGCTACAGTGCAGTACTATTAAAGCTTAATGTAAAAACTTAATATATTGACAATTAAACTCTAATATAAAAATGCCATTTATCTTATTCTTGTGTAGCACATACTTAAGAACAAAAAATATATACAAACAATGCTGATTTTAATTTGTCAAAAAGGGCCAGAGCAATAATATAGAGAGTAGGGTGCTAGCTTTGCATAGTGGCCGACCCTGGTTTGATCCCTGGCATCCGAAAAGGTCCCTCAAACCTGCCACGGGTGATTTCTGTGCACAGAGCCGGGAGCAAGCCCTGAGCACCACCAGGAGTGGTCCCCAAACAAAAACATTAGTCAAATAGGGTCAAAGAGATAGTACAGCAGGTAAGGCACTTGCCTTGAACATAACTAAGCCGGCTTTGATTCTGGCACCTGATATAGTCCCTGACTATTGCCAGGATTGATCCCTGAGCACAGAGCCAAGAGTACACCCTGAGCACCTTGGTGTGGCCTCAAATGAAACAAAGCAAAATTGTCAAACAGAGCAAATAAATGATTTTAGACCAAAGTCCTATTAAAGGACAACCAATATATTTTCAAGAAAATTTAGTGAAGGAATTATCAGACTGATTTTCAAAAGTAGTTATGTATTCTAAAAATTATCACTTGGTTAGTCATAGTAGAAATAATTATAAATCAAAAAAAGCAACAAGTATTTTTCAAAAGGGATAAAAGGTACTCTTCTAAAAGGTATACTTTATTAAAGGACAACCAATATATTTTCAAGAAAATTTAGTGAAGGAATTATCAGACTGATTTTCAAAAGTAGTTATGTATTCTAAAAATTATCACTTGGTTAGTCATAGTAGAAATAATTATAAATCAAAAAAAGCAACAAGTATTTTTCAAAAGGGATAAAAGGTACTCACTTTTCTCTCATAGCTTGAGCATTTTTATCATTAACAACTCCAATTGGTTTGGAAAGATCTCGAAACACAGCTGGGTTATTAAGGTCCAATTCTTCAGAAGTGTAGTCTTGTAAAATCCAGGGAAACTAAAAGAGACACAATTTTATAATTTTGATATTCATATCTAGAAAAGCATTATTCCTACATCTCATATTAAATGGTTACCTAAAGACTAAAAGAGGTAGTCACTGAAAATGCATTCCCTGTCACAAACATTAAATCATCTTCCATTTAATAACGAGAAGGAATATTTACTGTAATAAAACCATTATAATATTTTCAAAAAAGTAACAGGAAAAAATTTTTATAATTTATTCAGGCTTCATACCTATGTTTTAAAAATAACAGTGTAAAAAATATAATTTAATAAACCAGGGAGATGGATCAAAGAGTTGGGGTACATGCTTTGCATATGCAAGCCCTGTGCTCAATTCCTGGTACTTCAGGTCCCCGAATACCTTTGCAAATACCTAATCACCAAGCTATGATTAACTACCAACTACCCTGCGGGTAGTTCCAAACCGAAACAGTAACAATAATTTAATTAATGCAAAACCAGCTTTTATACCGTTTTATAAACTAGAAAATCTTTAATACATATCTTTTTGTGTTATAAAATTAAAACATAAATTAGATAAATAATTTATTCATTAGATTTATATGACTTACCACAGGGTACTGTGCAAGGTCATTATAGGTTCTTCCTGCTATTGTATTTATTTGAATAAGGTAGTCAAAATTGGATATCTCTCTGTTTACCCATTTCTAGACAGAGCACAAGAAAAAAAACAAAATCAAAATTGATCTTTATCTTCAGAGATCAATAACTATTACTGACAGTACTAACAAAGTCTTTTGAGTATCTCTACAATCTTGATAAATAGAGCTTTTAATAAGGTTTAAAAACAACAAACAAAAAGGCTTTTACAAGGAGATAAAATCAAAGTTTTTACTAAATTCACTTCATTTATAAACTGGTCTTGATATAAGAAACTCAATATAGGGGCCATAGTGATAGTATAACGGGTAGAGCATTTGTCTTGCACAACAGCCGATCTGGGTTCAATCCCCAGCGTCCGATATGGTCCCCCGAGCACTAAAAGGAGTAATTACTGAGTGCAGAGTGCAGAGTCAGGAGTAATTCCTGAGCATCACCAGGTGTGACCCAAAAAGAAAAAAGAAAAAAAAAGAAACTCAATATAAATCTTATATCACAGTTTGAAATGACTTGAATGAATTAAATATACTCTTTAACTAAATCTCTTTTAAAAACTTAAATATTTAATTTCTAAAGACTTATCTAACTGAATATTTTGCTATATTTTAAAATGTTCGCAACTAAGCATATTTTATAAACTAACTTAATATATTAAAACAATCTTTCATTTTGAAACAAATGTTAGTCATCCTTAGAAAACTACCTTTATAGTGCAATGACAGACAGAATTTTGATTCATTATGCACAAAATTTTCTAAAAGAGACATCATAATTATTTTTTTTCGTAAATTCGTTGTACCTTTCCTGCTAATCACATACTGGTAGCTCAAGAATCGAGTTTATACTTACAAGTTTATTGTACACATAAAGCAAAATATATGGAAGACTCAGTACTTTAATTAAAAACCTGGTAGTACTAAGGAGGGACCATAGGTGGTGGGAATCCAATCAAGGCCTCTTCATACCAGGCCAGACATGTGATATAACTCATAGAAGTATCTCCCTGCCCTCCCCCCCCCCCCCCGTGGGATCTTTTCTCTTGTGGTGGGGGCCGGGGAGAAGAGAAGTTTGGGCCACACTCAGTGGGACTGAAGTCTAAGATATAAAATGAACACCAAAACAAAACAATGACTATTAAAATTTCCTACCTGCGTCAATCCTGATGCTTTAAATAACTCCTGTGGTGATCTAGTTCCATAACTATTTGGAGAATGAAGTGACAGCAGTCTGCTATATACTTTATTTCTAACCTATAAGAAAGCATTTTATAGTTTAAAAAAATTTACCAGAACAACCCATGTATAACAGCTTTGCTGAGCTATGATTCATAAACTACCTTCCAAAATTAACTAATAATTTAATTTTGAACTCACCCTCCGAAAGTAAATAATTCAGTGTTTTTTGGGGGGTGTATTCATAGAATCGTTCAATCATGAACATTATCTGACTTCAGAACACTTCTCATCATCACAAAGAATACCGTACTCACCAGTTACCTTTTTCCTATTCCCATTTTGTCTCATTCTACAACAATCTTTTTCTTTTTGGGGGGTAGGGGGAGGTTTGGCCACACCTGGCAATGTTTAGGGGTTACTCCTGGTTCTGCACACAGGAATTTCTCCTGGCTGTACTTGGGGAATCATGTGGAACACCAGGGATTGAACTTAAGTCAGTTAGGTAAAAGGAAAGTACCCTACCTCCTATACTATCTTTCTGGTCCCTCATTCCATAGCTCTCTTTAACCTACTACTTTCCTATGGATTTGCCTACATAAGAAAATGACTTAACTTCTCTGAGTCTTGATTAAGCCAAGCCATGAAATTTGTTAGAAGCTAACTGTATTTGTTGTAATGATTATCCGATACTAAATCAGAAAACTATCTCAAATTAATTCAAATTTGGATCTGTTATTGTAAATTAATTTTGTATGTTAAGCATAATATCATTGACTTTCCATTGTTTTGTAATTATTCAGGGGTATATAAATGTAACATTGCATTGTAGCACTGTCCTCCCATTATTCATCGATTTGCTCGAGCAGGCACCAGTAATGTCTCCTTTGTGAGACTTGTTGTTACTGTTTTTGGCATATCAAATACGCCATGGGGAGCTTGCCAGGCTCTGCGGTGCGGGCGGGATAATCTTGGTAGCTTGCCGGGCTCTCCAAGAGGGATGGAGGAATCTAACCCAGGTTGGCTGCATGCAAGGCAAATGCCCTACCCACTGTGCTCTCAATTATTCTTTAAATCTGTTTCTATTCTAGAAAATAAGGCATAATAAAAACAAAATTACATAGATGTATAATATATGGGCTGAAGCAATAGCACAGCAGGTAGAGCGTTTGCCTTGCATGCAGCCAACATAGCTGACCCAAGTTCAATTCGTCCCCCTCTCTCGGAGAGCCCGGCAAGCTACCGAGAGTATCTCATCCACACGGCAAAGTCTGGGTGACGTATTCGATATGCCAAACACAGTAACAAGTCTCACAATGTTACTGGGCCCACTCAAGCAAATCGATGAACAATGGGAGGACAGTGACAGTGACAATGTTCAACAGGAACATGTTTGGGTTTTTTTTTTTTATTGGGGCCACACCTGGTGGCATTCAGGGCTTATTCCTGGATCTGTTCCCTCCCTTGGAGGGAACCAGGTAACCATATAAGGTGTTAGAGAATGAAACTGGGTCAGCCACATGTGAATGTCTTACTCTCACCCACTGTACTATCTCTCTAGTTCCTCCAGAAACATGATGATTTAATTATATTACATGGCCTTCTAAAAAACACGCTTTGCATTTTCCTATAGGGTAAAAAAAAATTTTTTTTTTCTGTTAGGGGGAGGTTGGGGAGGCCAACACCTGGTGGTGCTCAGAGGTTACTCCTGGTTCTGCACTCAGGAATCACTCCTTGCAGACTTGGGAGACCATATGGGATGTTGGGAATTGAACCCAGGTCAGCCATGTGCAAGGCAAACACTCTACCTGCCATACTATCTCTCCAGCACTATTTTTAATAATAAGATATATTCTTATGTAAAAATAAACACTCTTTAAATAGCCAAGGAAGGGGCTGGAGAGATAGCACAGCGGGTAGGGCGTTTGCCTTGCACGTGGCCGACCTGAGTTCGATTCCTAGCATCCTATATGGTTCCCTGAACACCACCAGGAGTAACTCCTGAGTGCAGAGCCAAGAGTAACCACTGTGCATCGCCAGGTGTGACCCAAAAAGAAAAAAAAAAAGCCAAGGAAAATCTCATAAGTTATTCTTAGATCCCAGAACAAAGAGAAGTTTATTGTTTATGCTAATTCTGGTCATCTGAGAAATAGATGGCAAGACAAAATTGAACATGTAAGGAATTTATTAGGAAAGACAACCGTGAGAGTAAAACAAAAAGAACACTGGGCGAGTTAGGGAGGACTGTTAAAAAGGTGACACAAATCAGACCCCAACTGAATGACAGGGGAAAGTAGGTTGAAGTTAGCGGTCCTTAGTAAAGTACCAAAGATTACACAGCTAATGATGGAGCAGTAGGACCCAGGTAAAACAGATTCAGAGAGGTGTTCTTAACTACTTACACCATTTACTAATGTACTCTGCTCCTAGAATAGATGTCCCATTTTTGGTCAACTGAAACCTATTTCATAAAAATGAGTAAACTGTTTAGGTTCCCACCCCCAAGTTATTTATTTATAAGGCCCTTCCCAGTGGTATAGGTTGTAAGGTTCTGGAGGAAACTCCTAGTTCTACTTGGCCAGAAGGTACTAGGGGCCACCAGGGTCACTCCTATGGCGCTGGGCTGGGGAGGGCACCAAGGAGATCAAACCCTGACTTCTTCGTGCAAGGCATGCGATCCATCCCTTCAAACTATTTTCATGGCCCTTACAATTTTTTGTTTTATTTCGGGTCACAACCAGCAGAGCTCAGTGCTTATACTCTTTGCAAGATTCAATTTTTTTACTTACTAAAAGATACAACAGTATCCAATGTTGCTCCACTTAGAGTTCAATAGCTGCATGTCTTTTCAACCTAGTACTTTGGGGCATTCAGAAAAATAGCATCTTACATACCTCTTTTTTGAAATTGAGAAAGTAGTTGGATTGATCAACATGAAAAATCTCAAGGGCTGACCTCCTTAAATTGTAACGCCGCAGGTGAATCTCTCGAACTTGAGAAAGAGGCCACTTGAAATCAAAGCCTACTCCTGAAAACAAAAGAAATCACTTAACTAAGTGCCACCTAAAGCAGTGGTTCTCAGTGGGCAATATCACTCACAAAGGTGGGATACAGAGTTTGAGATTGATCAAGGGAAGGGGAAGTAATTGTCTGAAGTACAATTGGGAAGCACTTGATATTTGTTCACCTAAAGAAGGTATATTTCTAGGGCGGAGGTAAGTTATTTTTCTCTGAAAGAGGGGTAAGTAGGCCAAATGAATTGGGAGCATCTAATCTAGAGTCAGTCACACCACACAGAAAATGTTCCCTAGTTTCTGACAGAAAGAGCACTTAGGAAAAAGGGATTCAATTTCTGTATCAGAAAAACAATTTCTTGTTTTTTTGTTTTCTGTGTCACATATCCAGTGATTCTCATGTGTTATTTCTGGCTCTGTACTCAGGAATCACTCATGGCAGTGCTTGGAGGACCTTATAAGGATGCTAGGAATCGAACCTGCATGCAAGGCAGGAACTCACCTGCTGTACTATCTATCTCTCTGGCCCAGAGAAACAATTTCTTTTTTTTTTCCCTTTTTTTAATAATTTTATTTATTGAATCACCGTGAGAGCAGTACAAAGCTTTCAGGTCTAAGTCTCGATCATACAATGAAACACCTGTACCTTCACCAGTGCCCATTCTCCACCACCAACAACCCCAGTATACCTCCATCCCACACCCTCCCCCTACCTGTGGGGCAGATGATTTCCACATTACTCTCTCTCTACTTTGATCACATTCAATATTTTGACACCAGACCCACCATTATTATTTGAGATTTTACCCCAACACTCAGATCTGCTGAAAAGGTAACAGTAGACAATTTGTTTTCTATTGCTGGTTATGAATAACATATGATGTCGCGTGGCTGCAGTAGTGGCCGCGTGATTTTGAAATTCTGAAATTTTAACACTTAAATCTGGAGGGATTTCTGCCAAAACCTGCTAGGTTCTGAGATTTGCTCCTCAGTCTCTGGGATCAGGGCCATTAAGCAGCTTGATCAGGAGCCAGAGAGGCCGTTTGTGGGCAATGAATTGGGGTCTCATTGGGGTGGGGAGGACAGGAGAGAAACAATTTCTTAAATTTACTGAAAGTCTGGATTATTTTATTTAAAATTATTAGGTGTTGAGAATGTAATTTAGTGGTAAAGCATATGTCTTGCATGGAAACAAACAGAAGCAAAACAATAACACAACTATAAAATTGGGTTATTCTGCTTCTTTCCATTGAGAACAAAGAAGAATTTTAATTATTTTCTTTTCTTCTTTCTTCCTAAACTCCAAGCTCACTTTTTTCGTTTTGTACAGAGCAAAGGATCAAACCTGGAACCTCATACATGCAAGACTTTATTGCTAAGCCTTATCTTCAGCCCCTGATTATTATGTTTTAGAAACAGTTTTTATATTCTCTTTATGTTAGCATCTTAATTTAAATGAGTCTATTATAAGAAAAAAACTGGGTGAGAAGTTTACAGAAACTTGCGTACATACAAATGAAATTAAGATTGTACTTTATAACAAGTTTATAGCAAATCTTAACAAAAACATTAATAATGAAAAAAGCATTTTTTAACACATTACTGAATAATATAATTAACCCCAAGCTGACTTTTCATTCCTCCTTTATACGACTATTGCATAGTCAAACCTTTTTGCTTTTTTTCTTATAATGATTGATAAACTGGATATTTAACTACTGTACAACAGATTTTACTCCCCCAGAATATCTCACCATCTTCTTTCTCAAAACTGCCATCATGGAAGTAAATGTGCTGAGTAGTGATTTCCAATCTGCCCGGAATTATGTCAATTATTGTAATAAGTTCACAGTCTTCTGACAAAACCAATTTTTCTTTTTGATCCTGTTCTTCTTTCTCATCACTGTAAAAAAAAAATCAACAAGTAAAAATCTTCTAACAATATGTTCTGTGCCAATGTATTAATTAAAATATTCTACTGTAGAGGAAATTAATTAAATGCTGTTCAAATATGCCTGAGTTCTTTGAAACTTGCTTTCAAAGAATAAGTTTTACGTATTTATTTATAACATAAAAAAATACAATGAATCGGGGCTGAAGTGATAGCACAGAGGGTAGGGCGTTTGCCTTGCACACGCGGCCCGGGTTCAATTCCTAGCATCTCATATGGTCCCTTGAGCATGGCCAGGAGAAATTCCTGAGTGCATGAACCAGGAGTGAGCCCTGTGCATTTCTGGGTGTGACCCAAAAAGCAAATAAATAAATAAAATATTAAAAAATACAGTTAATCTTTATACTACAAGCAGAAGAATTCACATGAATCTGTGAATAAAGGGCCACATCACTAGAGGCTATTTGGAAATAATTACTGCAAGTACAAACTGGGCCCACTCGAGCAAACTGATGAACAATGGGAGGACAGCAACACTGACAGTGACTAACTATGATTGTTTTTCATTTTTTTAGTGAAGAGGACTATTCCAAGGCCTCATACATATGCAAAACACATTTTATCCAAATCACGACTGATTCTGATCGAGTCTATAAAATGACACTTTCATTTTAGAACATTTTAGAACTCAGAACTGAGTACCATCATCAAAAAGCTGCAACTAACATGTTTATTTAAAAGCTAAAAATAAAAAATAAAAAGCTAAAAATAGAATATGAAAAAAGCTAAAAAAGAATATGAAGCCATATTCTGTTAGGACAGTTTTTGATTATATTATCAATTAATTTAATTTTTAAACTTTTAGTGCTCAGGCTACAATGGGCAGTAATTGAGCTGTTCCCAGCTTAATGTTCTGTGGTTCATTTCTAAATGTGCTCAAGGATCATATCCAGTGCTGGGATGAACTATCACTCCAACCCTTGTTTTTTATAAAAAAAAAAAAACTGAAGCTACTTCCACTGGTGCTTGGGGGTGACCAGGATGACATTCTGCAATGCTTTTGTGCCATGTGGTACTGGGACCAATTTCAAGGTCTCAACATACTAGGCATGAGTTCTACCACTTGAACTATTTCCCTATCCCCTATGAAGTCTATTTATATATACTGGATAGAGTAACTCTGAAGAGACAGTGTCTGAGCGACATCACATCCTCAGATATTTCCAGTGAACTGCTGGATGGACTGGTTGAGAATTACTGGTGGCAGTCCCCCCAACTGAGCACATCTTGGGAGGTGACCACACCCTATAATAAAGCTAACCAAAAAGAAAAAGCTAAAAATAGAATGATTCCCAAATGGTAAAATTCCAATATTTATGGTAACAAAATGGAGAAAAACCAAAAAGGATAATAATGTTAGTAAAATTACAATAATTAGTATGAATGTTATTTATGTTAAGAAAGTGTTTTCTTTTTTTAACTTAAATGCGTATGATTCAAAATCAAAGGCAGACTAAATAATCTCCCAAAGATCATCTTAATATTTATCTTTACCTAGTTTCCAAAAACAGTCAAGGAAATATTAAACAATTATTAAAACCATATGCTCGGGGGCACCATGGAGAGGGGCAGGTAAGCCTACCACCTGCTCAAACAGAGCCCCGGCAGCCAAAACCCTCCATAACCCCATGTTCATGGCCAGCTCCACAGGCTCAGGATGAGCCTCATCCAGGAATAAATCTGTTGAAAAACTCAGGTATGAGAGTTTTGTGACCAAATCTCTAGGCTTCCACAGAGGCAGGAATGGGCAACCTCCTCTCATTCCCCTGTTCTTCCAGGAGCCTGGCAGTCACGCCCACGAACTGCCTCGGGTACCATATAAGTTCATAAACTGGCCAGGGTCCACAGACTCATAAATAAATCTCAAAAGAGACCAACAAGCTGCAGACATGCTTCCGAACCCAAATTCACCATAAAGTTAACTCCAGCTGTGTCACCTCATTTAAAATTTTAGAATTCCTGGAGCATCTCAAACTGTATCACTGATATACCAGGAGTAGCATACCAGAGGGTGAATGTAAAGTAGAAGACAACCAACCATATGAGGCTTAACCTGTAATAACATGTTAGTAAGCTCTTATGCAAGGGCTTAACTGGGGCAGGCTTGGGTGGTGGTTGGGTAAACTAGAAATAATGATGGTGGGAAGGTGTAAATGGTGGTGGGATTGGTGTTGGAATATTGAATGCAATAAATTGTGAACAAATTATAAAGATAAAAAAAATTTTAAAAAAGCATTGCTCAAAAATCCTGCTTATGCCAAAAAGTATCAAATTGTATATGCATACATAAAAATAAAGAGACAAACTACAGAGGTACATATGTACATATATGTGATAGACTAACACAGCACTAACTGTTGGATTCAACAAGTATGTGTCAAAGTGTGTCAAAGTTTCAAGTAATCATCTTCCACAATTTTACAATACCATTCTTCACAACAAAAATATTTTTAGTTCTTTCAGATCATTATACGTACATATTTGTCCTGGCAGTTAATTCCTCTTCAGGAAGGTCTAATTTATCCTCCTTCATATCATTAACTTTTACTTGTTTCACCACTTCCAAAAGCAAAGAATCACTGGAAGGCTGTGAGTGTTGGATACCTGCTTAATAACAAATTACATATTAAACATAAAATAAATAACATTTCTATAAATTGACTGTTAATTATATTAATTATTATGCGTAAATCTCTTTGATCATACTTTTCTCTATATTAGGACTGACTAATACTGACACACTGCCTATAGAACAAGTAGATACTTATTTCTACTAAATACATTTTTTAATGTGGCTCAAATATAAGCAAAAACTGATCAAACAAAGCACATCAGAATGCAATAAAACTGAAAATCAGGAAGTACTGATTATTTCATGAGAGAAAACTGAATTTTTGGAGATGAAACTACTTGAAAGTTATTAGGAAAGATCTTAAACATTCTCACCATCAAAAAAATTTTTTACCACTTGTGATAAAGGATGTTAAATGGACTTAGTGTGATCATTCTGAAAGATGTTATATATTTTGATACACACATATTAAATATTTTGGTGGGTATGTGTTTGTGGTCAGATGTCATTTGCAGTGACAAAGACTGAACCTTGGTTGATCACGTGCAAAGCAAGCATCTTACCCACTGTACTTACCTCTCCAGCCCTTGAAACAAAATTCTTAAATACTGAAGTATATACTTGACTATTCAAATTATTCCAATTTTGTAACTTACAAGAGTGAATGTTCCAAACCATACTTCAGAAACTGTACTTCAGTAGAAATATCTTCTCCTGACTTTCAAGGTAACAAACTTTTAGAAATTCTCTACAAATTTGCAACTAATGGCTCCACAAAATTACAAACTTAATTGCTGAGGAAAGTAAGTGTAACAAAAATTGAAAAACTAAAACCCATAAAAATCTGGCAGCCTTTACATGAGAATAATGAATATATTTAGATAAAAACAAGGAATACGTGAAACATTTTGCAGTTTTGAAATATAATTCAGGGAATTTTATAGGGTTTGAAAGACTGATGTCTTCAATCAGGGCTTCAGTTACACTTATAATATAGGAAAATGTATTGCCATGTATCCAAAACACAGATTCAACAACATGAAAACATGAGATCTAAGCTGTGACCACTGAAACAAGCTGATAGGCAGGGACGGGGCAGGGGATGGGCAGGGAGTATGAGAACAGTGGTGGAGGGAAATTGACAGAGGGATGTTTCTGGAGTTGAAACATTATATGCTTACAACTCAACTATCAATAACTTTTTATAAATCCTAATTCTTCAATTTAATAAAGAAGGAAAAGAGATTTTTGAAAAAAGTACAATGACTTCACTTTAAAAAGTATGATTTTTTTTGGGCTGGAGCAATAGCACAGCAGGTAGGGCGTTTGCCTTGCATGCAGACGACCTAGGTTCGATTCCCAGCATCCCATATGGTCCCCCAAGCACTGCCAGGAGTAATTCCTGAGTGCATGAGCCAGGAGTAACTCCTGTGCATCACCGGCTGTGACCCAAAAAGCAAAAAAAAAAAAAAAAAAAAAGGATTTTTTTTTCTTCTGTACTATTTTCTTATGATATTTGGAGTATTTTTGAAAACGGTCAAAAAGAAAAACAGAGGGGCTGGAACAATAGCACAGCAGCAGGGCATTTGCCTTGCACACGGCTGACCTGGGTTCGATTCCCAGCATCCCATATAGTCCCCAGAGCACCGCCAAGAGTAATACCTGAATGCATGGGGCAGGAGTAACCCCTGTGCGTCGCCAATGTGACTCAAAAAGCAAGCAAACAAACAAACAAACAAATAAAAAATAGAGGTGAGGAAAAAGAAATGCTCATTTTCTCAGACTTAAAACAACTGTGACAAATTAGAAGGTACATAAAATTATATTTAGGTACTTATGTGAAAGAGAAACAAAATTTTCTGAGGTGGGATTTCCTTATTGGCCCAAAGAGAGAGAGGAAAAAAAGAAGGAAATACTTTTTTTTAAGTCTTACTAGATGAAAATTGGATTAAAATCATTTACCAGATGTGTAATAGACAACTGAGTACAGTCAAATTTTAAAAGTAAAGAAAGTATAATATTTCTGAATATGTACAGGGAGTCCAAATAACCATTCATACATAAGATAGTCTCAAAGTTAATATTTTTAACATTCCAGGGCCCTTATTTTGCATTAAGAATAAATACTGGCTATATCTAAATTATTTTAGAAGATAAAGCTCTAACTGGCAGTCATCATACCTTTTCTGACTAAACTTATGATATAAACTGCATTGTCTAATATACTAAGGCAACTTTAAAAATTAAGAATTAAAAATTGATACTCATTCCATCTGCAATTAAGTAACTGAACACAAGGTGCTCATGTGGGTAAAGCAAAGGAGTTACAATTTAGTATACACAAGACTGTCAATGAATTTTGTGGATATTTCATAGATCTATCTTTAAAATGGTAAAGAAAATAAATGGGCTGGTTACAAAGGAAGAATTTCCTAAGGATTTGTAAGAACTCGAAGACACCAAAGTTTGAGATTTCTATACGAGAACAAAATATTAAAGAAAGCCTAAAGGGCTCCTAATTTTTTCACTTTAGTTTGTCACAATATGCCCAAGAGAAAGGAACAAGAACTATATTTTTAGTATAACATAATGGATATAAGAGGCAATAGATTCTACACTATTATATAATTTCATGACTTACCATACCTTTCTTTAACAATTGTGAACAATCTTATATTGAAGTCAGAGTTAATATACAACCATCTAGATACCAAAGTAAATAACTGTGAAACAATAAAAGCAAAAACTACCCTATTACTATCCTATCCTCACCATCTTCAACAAACTAGCAATCATTGGAACTTACCTAAATTATCTCTAGAAGCACTAGCTTCATCATGGGTTTTGAAGTTATAATTCGGAATCAATTTTAGTCTCATGCGCGAATAATTTTCTACATTTGCTAGTTTCCAGTGCATTTCTCTTTGCTTCCTAAAAACATTAACAAGTAATAAGTCAAATTATGTCACTGAAAGCTACAAAGATCTGTAGACTTAGAGTAAGAAAGCATCAGCAAAATTGCATTTTTTTACCCACTCCTATAAAACATATTCATTATCTTATTTGACCCCCCCCAAAAAAAACCCTAGGAGAAGAACAATGTACATATCACTACAATAAAGTAGAATTTCTTAATTAGCTATACAATGGCTTTATTCCAAATACTATTTTCAAAATCAAATAATTTTACTACAAAGAAATTTGAAATGGAGCAAAGATTTAAATAAGAAAAAAAGACAGACACAAATTTTCATGAACCTGAATTTGGGAATGGTTCCTTAAGATATGACATTGTAAAAAGAAAAGCAATAAAGAACATACTAAATAACTGACTTTAAAATGAAAAATGTTGGGGCTGGAGTGGTAGCACAATGGGTAAGGCATTTGTCTTGAACATGGCCAACCTGGGTTCGATTCCCAGCATCCCATATGGTCCCCTGAGTATCACCAGGAATAATTACTGAGTGCAGAGTGCAGAGCCAGGAGTAACCCCTGTGCATCTCTGGGTGTGATCCAAAAAGAAAAAAAAGAAAGCCTTTATGTACCAAAGGCTATAGTTGTACGAAAAGATAATATGCCTGTTGAGCAATCATCCATGTAATGAAGGCTTATTATAGAGTTAAACAATCTATATACACATATGTGATTCAGAAAAACAGGATTAGAAAAAAGTAAATAAATTATACAATAATCAAATGTATAGTACCATTAAGCCAAGGTCAAAGAAGTACAAATCTTAAAACTTTTGGTCATGTAGTAAAAAGAAAGTAACTCCATCCTGGAAAACACTACACAAAAAATTGAAACATCTTAAGACAACAACTCACAGACACATAAACCAATTAAATTAATGAAAACAATCTTTTATATATTCAACTTTTGGGGGGGGGGAATGACACAACCAGCAGTGCCCAGGGCTTATTCCTGATATGCCCTCATGAATTACTCTTGGCAGGGCTTGGAGGACCCTCCCTATGGGGGTGCCAGGGATTGAGCTCAGTCAGGGGTGTGTAAGGCAAGCATCTCACCTACTGAACCATTTCTACGGCCCCTACATTCAACACTTTAAAAATAAACAAACAAAAAACCTGGGTAGGAAAGGTCATTAGCTAAAAAAAATTCTAGGCCAGAATTCTAAGGAAAAGGACAGTTAAGAAATAATATATTCTTACCTTTCAGCCCATGGTCCCCTTTCACATGTAAGATAGAGCTGTATTGTCTTCCAGTGACTCAGAGCTACTAGGTGTTGACTACTAAGTTGTTTGAGCATATTATTATACCTCAAGTTCTCCTGTCGTGCTTTTCGAGTAAATGGTACCACAAAAAACTCCTGAAATAAACAAGAATAAACAGTAGCACAAAGCATACATAGATACATTCAGTTTTAATACCATAATTTAAAAAATTTTACCGAATAAAAATCACATAGTAAAAAAATGGGGGAAATACTGCACCGCTCTATCTGTAGCTCCAGCTACTGCTTATAAGCTTGTTTAGTGTGAACTGGAGCCTCTTCTGTAAAGTAGAAACTGAGGAGACTCCAGTGGTCCACTCAAGTGGCCAATGGAAAATCAAGGAAGAAGTCAAAAACGAAAATGACCAGGGGGTACAGTGCCATCCAGCAGGTCAACCTGTTGCCTTTGGGGCAAGTGCAACAGCAGCCTGATGGTGCCTTCAGGTCGCCTCTGTGCCTCTGGCTGGACTCCAACAACTTGGGACCAGTTTCCCAAGAAATTAAATGGCCAAAAAAATTAGGTATGTGGCCTCACACCCACAAACCACCTCCGGCTCAGCTTTACAAGATCTTTTATCGGCCTTGCTTCAGAGACCCATAAATAAATCTTGAAAGAGATCAAAATCAGACCATTTAAGCACACTTATGGCCATGATTCAGAGACTCACAAACATCCCGGAAGAGAGCAGCATGCTACAGAGATGTCTCTCCAAGCCACACCAGGCTGCTTTCACCAGGAAACCTCGGAGGGGAGCAGGTATGTCCCTCTGCCTGCCCCCAAATGAATCTGGGCAGTTGCAAACCTCCAGGGCCCAATCACCGCCATGCTCACGGCCGCCCTTCACAGTCTTGTCTTATCCCCCCCACGTAAGAGAATGAATCTGCTGAAAAACCCAGGTATGTAGGACCAGTGACTGGAAACTCCAGCCCTTGGAGTCGGGGATGGGTGACCTCCTCCCATCTCCCTGTATTTCGGATTTTCTGGCAGTCATGCCCAAGAACTGCCTCTGGGCGCCATTTAAGCACAACTGAATCTTAAAACAGAGCAGCACGACACAAAGATGCCTCCAGACCTCAAGTATTTAAACATTTTAGAATTACAGGAGCACGCAGCCACTTTCTCGACCACTTTCACAGCCGTACAACATCTCATACTATTCATAATACGCAATGCAAAATAAACTATTTAGCATCCACCTATGGGGCAGGCCTGGGTGGTGGTGGGAAGGTGTAATGGTGGTGGGACTGGTGTTGATGTTGATATGTTAAATGTAAACAATTACTGTGAAAAACTTTATGAAAATAAAATTAAAAATTACTTTAAAAAAGTAATGAATTCATGCCTGCTTCAGTCTGCTTAATCAGTGGCTGAATAAAGAGCAGTACTTCTACATCAAAAAAGAAAAAGATCATCTTCAAGGTTGTGCGTCAGGATAATTTGTGGTGCACTTTAAGGGTTAATTAAGATCAATCCCTTTTTTCCGATTCATGAAAAAGGGGTCTGTTAGGGAGAAGAAATCCCAATCACTGAACCAGACATATTAGCACAGCTGAAAATGGAGATGAAGACACAACTGATACATTTTATAGCAGGAGAATGGAACTGCCTACTTATGGCAGAACCTATTCCTCCAGACCTGAGGTTCCCAAATTTATTAAATCGATTGTCCCCTTTTCAGTAAAAGTAAAACAAAGTAACTTACTCAGCACCCTCCTAGAAATCTACCTTTTAAAAGAGAGATAGAACTGTGGGTAAGGCACTTGCCTTGAATGTGGCACACCCGGGTTTGATTCCCAGCATCCCATATGATACACTGGCAACCTCAGAGCTGGAAAGGTTGTAGCAACCGAGTACTTTGGGTGTGGTCTCCAAAACCAAAAAATCCTATTATCAATTAGGTTCTTCCTAAGAGATCATGGTTTACAATAACATTAACACTGTTTTGTGTGTACAATGCTACTGTACCATAGTAGAATACATACAAGTCATGAGCCCGAGTAGGGTATGATCGTGGCACCACAGACCACGAAGTGTTATTGAGTGCCTCTGAACACCACCAAAGTGGCCCAGGAGATGCTCAACACCGTAGGGTCTGAGCAGCAGAGCATGCTTGGGTCCTAGCAATAAACTGTCAATCTAAGTAACTTCCAGCAAAGCTTAGGAATCCACCTCCAGAAAAACCACGCCCCAAGCAAAAGCTAGATACTACAAATATTTAATGATTTTTACCTGAAACTGGAGCTTGCTTTCTCCTCCTTCCCGGTCTCGTTTATGCATATTTATCATTAAGGCCTCATAACAGTCTTTCCAATAAAGTGCCATGTTCTCATGACCATCAAAAAGTGTGTGAGTTTCATATTGCTTCATATAAGGTACAATCTTAGAAAAAAAACACAAAGCTCAATAGTTATTTTTTAATAGTTATTTTTACACACTAATAATTTAGTCAAAAATATCTCACTCAAAAGGATAAAACTTACATATTTTTCAATGTAAACTTGCCATTCATTTGAACTGCAATATTCTTGAAAATCTTCAAAAAACGAGGAGCTTCCATTGGTAAAAGGTAAAGATGGCAGGTGTAAGTTCATGAAGAGAAGTTCATAAATTTTGGAAACCAGAGTTCGTACAAGAGGAATCAGAAATGAGTAGATTTCAGTTTGTTCCTTGATTGACTGACTTAGAACATGTTCAAGCTTCCCTAATATATAACATGCTTCATTTTGATTTTCAATCACTTTGGTCTGAAGAAGGGTATTTAGCTTAGCTGATGCCACTGCACAAACCTGGAATAAAATAAGTGAGAATAGCATAATAAAGATGGCACTTAATAATAGCACAAGTTTTCTGGCTCTTTCTGAAGTTTCAGAATTTGTGTTATATTTTTATTTTGGGTACTAGTGACTGAACTCAGGGACTCATATATGTGAAACATGCAAGATACCCCTAAGTTATATCTTTAGACCCCCCCTTTAAAATATTATTAAAATAATATTTAATAATATTATTTAATCTGGATATACAGAAAGTTTGTGATAATCACTCCAACATTTATTCCACTATTTCTTATAGTTTATTTGGGTTGGTGGATGATTCCATTTCTTGTTCTAGCAAAAGATCCTACAAGATATATAAGCCAATAGAATATCACTCCTTGCCACTGTGGATAAGGTAACATCTTTTAATCAATCTAAGCCATTGTCTTTGTCAGAACAATTCATTCAATAATGGTCTTATCAGTGTAAATTCAGAACTTTTACACAATAATGGTAAATAACTTTTAGAGTCTCAGATTTACTTCACTTCCAAGCGAACAAGTTAACCTGACACAGTTTCAGAGACACTGAATAATATGCAAAATTTCTGGGTCATACTTAAAGAGCTACAGTAACAGTCAGAGTATTAGCATTTGTCTTGGTTTCCTAAACTTCAATGCCTATTACGAAAAATGAAGCGGATCATATGATGCCAAAAGAGGAAGCTCAAAGGATTTCACATTGGTGTGTAAGTTTGAACAAACATACTGCCTTTACTCTGCTGAACTCTAAAAAAATTTGCATCTTTCAAAGTTGTCCACTATCCATGCACTCTCAAGATAGATAAAAAAAAGGCATCCAGAGTCATTATTAACAAGATATGAAGAAACACAAGAGACACATGAAGAACTATCTACCAATACTGACTATAGGAAGAAGCAAGCACTCTTTTTTTTCTGGATATGAATGAGGATGTATGTGATTACAGCTACTCTGGCAGCTCTTTTGTGACAATAATGGCAGAAAATTTAAGAGTGAGTGCAAAAACAAATTTGCTTAAAAATTCCAGATGAAAATACATATTAATACTCTATATTACTATTGTTTGGTACAATTTTTCTTTTTTTGTTTTGTGGAAAAACCTGACAGTGCTCAGATCTTATGCCTGGCTCTACACTCAGAATTTACTCCTGGTAGGTTTGGGGAACCATATGGGATGCTGGGGATCAAACCTGGGCCAGCTACATGCAAGGCAAATGCCCTGCCTGCTGTACTATCACTCCAGCCCCTACAGTTTGGTTTTTAAACCCGCAAATAGACAAATCAACGTATAAAGGGACCTCTTTTTATCTAGAACAAGGTAAGAGCTAAGCCTTAAAACCATAGCAGAATAAATGGTGTAACATTCTTCCTCCTCCCTTTACCTTATAGGCCTATTCAGACCAAACTGCTTTAAAAATAAAGAAGAGCAAGTAGGAAAAAAAAAAAAGGAGTATTAAACCTGACATCACTTCAAGAACTCACCTGTTCCAAACACTGATCTGAGGGATATATACAGGAACCTCAGGGACTCTTTCCATGCAAGCCTAATGAGGCAAAAAGCACTAGAGGGAACAAGCTATATGATGCTCAAACTAACTTTTCTACTTTTCTTTTGTTTTTAATCAAACCTAGGTCTCCTAGTCCCTCAATTTAGTATTCAGAATTTAATTAACTAAAGCAGCTGAATTCAAATATAAGTCAATAAATGGAAGAGGGAATTTTTAAAAATTCCATCATCAAAAAAAAAGAAAAAAGAAAAAATATTCTATTATCCAGGATATACCAATGTTTATATTCTTGGCTTATTTGTTGCTTTATTTTCTTTTTCATTTTTAAAATTCTTGATCTTTCTGCCATGTTTTTATTTTCTCTCAGTTTAAGGGGAGGACAAACTTCCCGAGTGATACTCAGCCAAATGGGATGATATTTCAATGTTACAGCCTGAACACATAGTGCTACTCAGGCCCTTTGGTACCAGAGGCTACCAGGGTAATCTGGGCAATTCTTGGGGCCCTCCAGGGCCAACTATGACAACACTCGGGGGCTGTATTATGCCAGGATTGAGCATGTAAGCCCTGTACTATATCACTGGCCCCTCTGGCTATACATATATATATATATATTTTTTTTAATGCTATATTGAGAAAAACTTGAAATTCTAAGCTTTATTCTTAATACCAAAGTATAAAATACATAAGAATTTAGGGAATGGAGAGATAGGTCCAAAGGCTAGAATGTATGTCTGATAAGCAGATGCCCCAACCTCAGGGGCCAGACAGACAGTACAGCAGGTAAGGTGCACGACTTGTACACGACTGACCCAGGTTTGAATATCCTCATATTGTGGCTGAGGAGATAGTACAGTGAGTAGAGTGCTTGCTTTGCATGCAGCTGCACCATATTCGATCCCCAGCATCCCATATGGTCCCCCAGGTAATGCCAGGAGTAATTCCTGAGCACAGAAGCAGAAGTAACTTCTGAGCATCACTGGGTCTGGCCCCAAACTAAAAACACAAACAAACCCAAATACTCCAAATATCCCCACACAGTTAACACATATACTGAGCATAATCTAGCAGCGCTACTGTCTGTGATCCAAGGCAGTGCAGCCGGGTATGTGTAACTAACACAGCAAAGGGATGAAATCCTCAATGAGCAGCACAACTGAAAGATATGCAAGTACCAAGGAAATACAACTCCTGACAAGCATTTTGACATAAAAGCGCCAATGGAATCCTTGGTGAGCACTCTAACCTGGTGAGCAAAATAATAAAGAGAATGCTCTTCTAAAAGCACTATATAAAAACCACAAATAAAAGAGTACAGCCCTTGGGGGAACATCCTAGTCTGATGTGTGACCCCTGGTGAGCACCACAACTAAATGTGCAAGCACCACAGCAAGACAGGGGGGGCCTCCATCACAACAAAGTGTGCACTCTCCAGGGCATGACTGGAGACATGCCAAGCACTGCAACCAAGCTTACGACCCCCCTCCAGAAAATACCACAGCAAGTAAGCACTAGACCCAAGTATGGTGATCTGCAGTCATTCTCACCGCTCAAATAATAATTCCGTATGATCCAGTGATACCGGCATATACTCAATGTTTTAAGAAACTCTAAAAAATATCTGCACCCCTGTATCGATAGCAGGATGTGCAATACCAAAACTAGAGAAACAACAAAAAATGCTATTGACACATCCAAATAAAGAAGCTGTGGTGGAGCCAAAGAGACAGTCAAGGAGGCAAGGAGCTTGCCCTGCATGCAGTCTGTAGAAAACATTAAAGCTAATTCCTAGCCTTATTGTGAAGACTTGATTGGTTACTGAAGAGAAAGGAAGGTTAGAAATAAGTAGAGACGTCTCTTGGTAATGGGCTGCACTGAAACTTTGTTGTGAATGTGAAGAGATATGAAGTTAACCCCCTGAAATTGTATAGCATTTAAATCAATAATAAGTAATGACAGTTAAGATTTTTATTTAGAAATATTTCTTTTTTTTATTTTACAGTTTTTAATCAAGTTGTATATAACGTTATTCCTGCATCTTCTCAAGTGTTTCTTCCTTATATTTGCCCTTCTCCTTTCCTACTTGGTGAGACTTGGCTTTGCGTTCAAGAATCTTTTTGCGATCTTTGTCCAATTTTAGTCTAGTGAAAAACACCTTACTGGGGTGAATGCCCACATGGACAGTTGTGCCATTTGCCTTCTCCCGCTGGACTCGTTTAATGTAGATAACATATTTCTTTCTGTAAACCTGGACTACCTTGCCAATCTGCTGACCTTTGTAGTGTCCTCTCACAACCTGAACCTCATCGTCCTTCCGGATGGGCATGGATCACACATTGTACTTCTGTCTCAGCTCTTTGGAAAGAGTGGAAGACATAATCTTTCTACAAATGTGGGAAGATGCATTGAAATGCCTCTTACGGTTCTTGCTCCGGTCACAAGTCACAAAAGGATTGAACTTCATTTTGGCAGTTACCACTTCAGCGATGGTCGCAGAAGGGAAAAGCTAGAAATATTTCCTGTGTTCACATTTTTTTCCTATTTCTGATACCTGAGCACAATGCTAACACTTTGTATTCAATTAGTTTGATTATGCGGGTGAAAAAAGGTAGGTAAGGGCTAGAGAGATAGCACATTGGTAAGGTGCTAGCCTTGATGTGTTCAACCTGGGTTTGATCCCTGGCATTCCAAATAGTCCCCCAGACACTGCCAGAATTGATTCCTGTGTACAGAGCTAGGGTTATCACCTGAGCATCACAGGGTGTGGCCTCCAAACAAACCAAAAAATAGGAGAGAGAATATAAAATCATTAATTATTAAAGTAACAAAAAAAGATTTTGAAAGAACAATTAAAGATAATTTTTCTGGGGCCAGGATTAGTGGCAGAAACTAATCAACCTTTGACTTATGAGGTCCTGAGTTCAATTCCTGGCAACACACACACACACACACACACACACACACACACACACCCCATACACAAAATAGTAATTTTCCTAAACTACACATATGAAAAATGTTTATACAGGCTAATAAACCAAGTGATGAATAACGCCTTCTAATTTATTATTTTTTAAAATCCTTTCAAAGGAAATCTTAATACTATATTTAGCCATAAGAATTAGCAGTAACCAATCATCTAGCTGACTTTCAAGCTTCTTTTTATCTTACAAAACAAATGCTAAAGCAAAATTATGAACATTTTTAGAAGTAGAAAAAAAGTGACAATGTATTATCATTTAGTTATCACACAATTCAGTTACCACATCCAAATATGTAAAATAATGTAAAAAATGGACAAACCTGTAAATTACCCCTTTCAATGAATCCTAGAAGCAACTGTACTTGAATCTGAGAAAGTTTTATCGACTCTGGACTTTCAGAATACCAAACTGACAGACTATCAAAGAGCAGATTCATATCCTCTAGAAGCTATCACAAAGGAAAAATTGGGAAATATAATTTTAAAAATTTATAATGAATTTTCTCAAAAAGTAAAGCAAGTCATAATTATCTTTAGGATTATCTTTTACTATTTACTGAAAATAATTTATATTCAGTAGGTATAAGTCAAAAGAATTTTCCAAGTAATGGCTAATAAAATCTATAACATTCACATCATATTCATGTTTATAGCATTTGATTAAGAACTAATGTTCTAAAAAGCTGTAGTATAAAATTGCTTTATTTGAAGTCCTTGATTACCCAAAAATTTATTTCAAGGAGGTATTACTATACCTTCTCAGTCCACATGTTTGAATTAACAAGTCCTTCTGACTGCAGAAAGTCCTGTATGACCAACATGAGTCGAAAGGCATTTTCAGCAGTTACTATATTGGCTTTTGCATCTCTGTTTTCTGTGACTGTCCATTCTAACATCTTCTGTAGCAAACTACGTGTAAAACAAAGTCCTCTTAAAATCATTTTAAGTATAGAAAAATGAAGAAATAATAAAAGAAAAACCAACTAATAGAATATAATCTTGTTTAGTAATAGAGCTTCATTTCCAAAAATCATTAACAGGTATCAGAAGACACTGAATGGAATTGAATAACATTAAACCTCTTGAAGTTTATCTTTAATCCCCTAATACTAAAAGGTAACTAAGTTTCTTGTTTTAATTCTTAAAAAGGCTATAAAAATAATTTCTATTCTACTCACCATGAGATATTTGAAAATGTCTTTAAAGTTGGAATAAATTTAAAAAATTCTTTAAAGTTAGATAAGAAAGCATTATTATGGTTTGCAGAGGGTTACTACCTTGTAGGAATCCCTGATGGCTTCAGGGAAGTAATTTTCATGAAAACACTATTCTTTTCCCCGAGCAAGGAAACACTCAAATTTTGCCAAAAATGTAGAATAGAATGCACAAATGTTCAGATATGTGCAGAAAACCATCTCAACAACATGGAAAATGCATTTGTTTAAGCCCCAATTCATTTCCAACTTAAATCTCCTCACAAAGGAAGTTACTCTTCTGGACTTCTCTCTATTTGTTTAAATGACAACAAATAGAAAATAGGCTGACCACATAGCTCCTCCTTTTATCTCATCACTAAATACTAAATATTCAATAACTAACATTTTCTTAGATTCTTGTCCATTCTAAAAGGGAAGGAAAATTACTAACTGAATACTTACACTAGTTTTATTTCATCTGATGGTTGAAGTAGCTCACTGGATATTCCTGGTTTAGATAGCGCTGAAAACACTTGACCCCGTTCAATCCAAGTTTCATCATCAGACTTTTCCAGCCCCTTGCACATTACATAATTCAAAATACTTGTCAGCAATTGAAGAAGCTCCTCTTCACATTTCTATAGTTATATATTTTAAAAAGAAGTATTATCAAACTGCTGGATGATGCTAAAAGCAAATAATAAAACTATTACATATACTACAGTCATTTGCTATATTTTTTAATGTGGTCTTATCAACCAGAAACTTTACTACATAGACCTTAGAGATACAAAGATAACAGAATTCTGGCTTTGCTCTCAAGACTTTCAATATTTATTTATCATACTCAAGGCTTCTAAAATCTTAGTGCATGAGAAATAAAAATGAATGTAATATGAAGTTAATGATTATTCATATTGCTAAGTATGTCACAGATATTTGAAAATAAAAACAGCATTTGGACAAGTAAGATATTTTACCTGTTGACATTCAAGTAAAGAGAAGTCATCACTAAGGTCCTTCTCATTTGCGCTGCTACTTTCCCTTTCACATTGCACAGAAAACGACTTAGTAGATTCCACTGGGGATGGAGTGCTAGGGAGGCTGTCTGGCATGTGACTTCCACTATCACTCATTTCACAGGAGTCAAATTCACTGAAATCTAAACTCAAATGTGAATGGTTATTATGCCAGAATTCATCTTGGTTCTCTGATTTGAAAGACAACTCTCCCCCTGAGCCTTCTTGAAATGGTACATTTGATTCTAAATAATGTCTGTCTTCCAAACTCCACTGATCTGAAGACATATGAATAGATGGGAATGAGTTTTTTTCATTTGTCTTGTCATCAAAGTTCTTCTTAGTATCTTCAGCTGATACGTTCTTATCATGATCTTTCATTAAAACAGCCCTACTGTGCTTTTGAAGCGCAGTGCCATTTTCAAAATTTTCTTTTAAAAAGAGTCTAACTAAAGTATCTTGCCAGCCCACTTGTTGGGATATCTGGTGTGCTGCATCTGGCTGGGACTGTAAAATCTGTAAAACCTGCAAAGATATTAAGAAAACAAAAATGTTCCAAAGTGTATCAAACATTACATCAGAAACAATTTTTCTCAGTTACTTTAATGACATGTAGATTTAATGAGAAACTGCAGGAGCATACTAGTTCAAAAACTATGTTCTTGGGGTTGGGGGAGCTGGGAATGGCACCCAGGAATGGAGAACATGCTTGGTGTAGAGGCCCAGGGTTCAATTCTGGGCACTTAAAGATTCCCTGAGCACCAGCAAGGAAGCCCCGGTGTCTCCCAGTACTGCAAAGTTCAAGCAGTGATGGACCTAATATAGTCAGGACTAGGCCCCATGTCCCTGACCCCCAAGCATGTTTAGGAGATCCCAAAATAGAAAACAATGCTTTGCTGGGCTTGGGATATAGCTCAACAATGGAGCACTTGCCTGATATGTGACAGGTCTTGGATTTAATATCTGGCACTATACAAAAAAAGTATGAAAAGTTATGTTCAGAACTGAATGGAAAACTATTTAGAGGGCAGGTATTATGGTATTTTTAAAATTAGTTTATTTCTTTTCATTTTTGGGGTCACACCTGATGGTGCTTAGGGGCTTCTCCTGATTTGGTGCTTGGGGTCACTTCTGGCAGTGTTTAAGGTTCCATATAGAGTTCAGGGGGTTGAATCCAGGTCTCCTGCATACAAGGCAAGTACTCCAGCATGCTGAGCTATCTGACTCCCATGCACTGTGTTTTTTGAACTTATAAGCATGTGAGTCACTACACAGACTAGAAATGTATTCAAGTATTTGCTGAGATATGAAAAAAAAGACAATGATTTTTCTAGTGTACATGCAAAGAGCATTGTTATTAGCTGAAATTGGTCAGAAATAAAAAAATAAACATATCTAAAATGTAATAAAAATTTATTCTCACAAATATATTCCAAGAGCACATTATATTTGTTTAAAACATACTGGACATCTACCATTTGAACATTATGCCAACTGAGTGAGGAAAGTAAGAAAGAAAAACAATACACTTTCATAAATCTAGATACCTCAAGAATAATGTTTTACAGTGACCAAGATAAAAAGAAAGCCTACAGAATGGGAAAGGTTATTCACACAAGACCCTTCTGACAAGGGATTAATATCAAAGACATACAAGGCACTGGTTGAATGCTACAAGAAAAAACATCCAACCCCATCAGAAAATGGGGCAATGAAGTAAACAGAAACTTTCTCAAGGAAGAAATTCAAATGGCTCACAAGTTCATTTTATAGTAATGCTATTTAAAAAATATTTTTAAAAGTTTACTAACCTTTCTGCAGATGAAAACTCTGACATTTACATGTGCTTTGTGAGCTATATAAATCACAGACAATAGATCTTTGAAATTAACAGCAGAATCTAGGGTGAGGAAAAAACAAAGTATTAAAGTTAAATTTTAATTAATACAATTTACTCTTTAATTGCATTGGTTTATTCATTTACTCATGACTTGTTTTTAAAGACATAAATCAAACATTGTTGAAATTTATATGGAATAATAAAACCCTCAGGATAGTCAAAGCAATCCTGGGGAAAAGAAGATCTGAAGCTTCTCCTTCCCCTATTTTAAATATACTATAAAGCTACAGTAATCAAAATAGGGTATGGGAGTAAGAACATTCCGAGACCAATGGAACAGAAGTGAAAGTCCAGATATAGATCTATATATCTGGACCAATATACTATAGGTATATTGAGAGTTAATCTTTGACAAAGAAACAAGGAAAGTTTCTTAAGCATATAGTTCTGAAAAACTGTCAGTCACATACAAAAAAAAAAAAAAAACCATACCATGCACAGAAGCCACTATCAAAGTGAATTAAAGACCTAAAGACCTTGATAATCACACTGGAATCCACAAATTGTACCAAAGAAAATGTCCTCCCCACCAAAAAAAGAAAAAGACTATTTTTCACTGGGTCATGGAGTTAGTTCAAAGAGCAGAGGCATATGCCTGGCATTCATAGGGCCCTGGTTTTGATACCTGGTACCACATGGCCTCCCTAGCACTGATGATGTAGCACACTGGGGAGCCCCATATAATAAATAAGAGTGTTTTATATAAATTCTACTGTGTTGGTCTTATTTTAAAATTTTAATTATTTAACAATAACTTAGTTAATAACTATTTACTATCAGTCTATTAATTAAAGCTTATATTATTCCTTGGAGAGTGAGAAACACAGAAGTACAGACGAAAAAAAGCACCCAAAGACAGTCCTGCTAAATCAACTAACATCAAGCTGAAGAAAGATGGGAAAATGTGTGCAAGAAAAATTTAAAAACCATAAAACGGAATCATGCAAATGTGAAAAACAGTTCTTAAGTATAACAGAACTATCAGCCTGCATTCTACCTGTATTGATGATTTGATGGATGAGGTTTTTAATAAGAGAGGCACTAACAGGTGATTCATTAAGAAGAAGTCCCAATCCTGAATAACCAACTTCTCTGAGTCGAATACGTTGTTTACTTCGTTCATAAACATTAGTGCATTTCAACATTTGCTCCAAAACCTGGTTACAACAGTGATAATGTAGATAACATACATACGAGAACTAAGGACAGTTTGTTACTCAGACTGAGACTGAATAAAATAATACTATACACTGTTTCTAAAGCATCATTTTATTTTATAAAGTATACAAAACCAAATCTCACAACAACTAGGAGGAACAGTCCATTTCATACCATAATTAAATACATATTTAGGAATAAAATTAAACTATATCTGTATTTAAAATTTTATCATGTTTATAAATATTTGGGGCACATAAAAACAGATCACGGTCCTCCCGTTCTTCATCAATTTGCTCGAGCGGGCCCAGTAACGTCTCCATCATGAGACTTGTTACTGTGTTTGGCATATCAATACATCATGGGTAGCTTGCCAGGCTTTGCTGTGCAGGCGAGATACTCTCGGTAACTTGCTGGGCCCTCCGAGAGGGGAGGAGGAATCAAACCCTGCTTGGCCAGGCTGGCTGCGTGCAAGGCAAACGCCCTACCGCTGTGCTATCATTCCAGCCCCATAAATGATTAAAAAATTTTGATGAATAAGATTTAAATCAAAACAAACCCAGAAAAACAAAGGCATGTTATGAATAAGAACAAAGATTTTATTTTATTTTTATTTATTTACTTATTTTTTGCTTTTTGGGTCACACCTGGCAATGCTCAGGGGTTTCTCCTGGCTCTGCACACAGGAATCACTCTCCTAGAGGTGCTCAGGAGACCATATGCGATGCTGGGGATCAAACACAGGTCGGTCGTGTGCAAGGCAAACTCCCTACCCTCTGTACTACCATTCTAGTCCCCAGAACAAAGATATTTTTAACACAGTCTAATAATCCATTTAAATAATAGTTATTAAAATAATTTCTAACAAGAAAACATTTTATGAAACAATTCATATGCCTTTTAAAGTGAGAGAATAAGTTAGTAACATCTTTTTTTCATTTATCATTTTATTACTGTATTTTAGATCATAATTTTAAAATATGTTGAAACCCAATACAAAATGGGTAACTTTGACAGTAATCATAAATAACTTCTATGAGGAATACATTTTTTGGATAATGTATTAACTGCACTGTCCTCCCATTGCTCATCGATTTGCTCAAGCGGGCCCAGTAATGTCTCCATTGTGAGACTTGTTATTGTGTTTGGCATATCTAATACACCACAGGTAGGTTGCCAGGCTTTGCCGTGCAGGTGAGATACTCTTGGTAGCTTGCCGGGCTCTCCGAGAGGGGTGGAGGAATTGAACTCAGCTCGGCCATGCCAGCTATGCAGCCCTACCGCTGTGCTATCACTCCAGGCCCCCAGAGCCTCCCAGGAATAATACCTGAGGCCAGAGCCAGAGTAAGCCTCAGGGTATCTCTGGCGATACAGAGCCCCCATTCCCCACCCCAAAAATAGCCCCCAAAGGAAACTATCACTGGCAAACCCCAGACACATGCAGATCCAGTGCCCCAGATGGCCCCAATAAAAATAAATAATAAATAATGTATTAACTGAATTCATTTCTTTCTCCAACAGAATCCTGGTACTTTAAAGGATGGCCTCAGGAGATACCATAATCAATATTCAAATGCGTCACATCATAGCATCACATAAAATTGGCCTCTCTCTTTTCCAAAATTTAAAGATTCCAAACATAGACAATCCTAGCATAACCCTATAACTAGACTGCAAAATGTAGCATTAATGATAAAGAAGAAATGACTGTCAGAGAAAAATGAATCAAAGAATAAATCACACGAAGAAAAATCAAGAGCAAAAGAAGTATGACTGACTTCTTTATTCTCAGTTAACAAAAAGGTGTAGTAGGAGACGTTAACTAAACTCAAAGCTTTGAATAAGCAAATAAACTAAATTCTGGGACAGGAAGACATCTGAGATGTCAGTGGCACATTATCAAGGTCCCAGGTCCTATACCTAGAACTGCACACTCCTCCTCCCCCCAGCACCACTAGTGTGACCTTGTAGTCCCCAGGATTGATCCATTCAGCCCAGTTGGCAAAGTATTTCCAAAGAGTGTCCCATAGATCCCCTAATCACAGTGTGGGAAACTCCCTCTAAAATAAAATAAAAATCCATTTCTAGGGGCCGGAACAATTGTACAGCGGGTAAGGATGCTTGTTAGATGAGGTCAATCCAGGTTCAATCCTTAACATCCCATATGGTGCCCAAGCACCACCAGGAGTAATTCCCAAGTGCAGTCGTGAGTATTCCTATAAACCCTGAGCATTGCTGGGTGTTACCCCCAAATTTAAAAATATAAAAAAAATAAATATTTATTTCTAAAACATCAATTTGTGTCAATTCTTAAACCACTCCAAAAAGTTTTGGTAAGCATTAATAAACTTAAGCTAGAGAGCCAAAGGTAGAGAGAACAGAGAGCTGGGATTTAAACCCCAGCACCATATGATCCACCAAGCACTTCTGGGAGCAACCTCTCATTAAGGAGCAGGGGTGAGTAGCTCCCAAGCACCTCTGGGTGTGATTCAAAATTTTTTTTTTTTAGAATGAGCTAAAGTGGAGCTTAAGAGTGGAGAGTGATCTCAGCATGGCTGTGGCTGATTCTGGAGGTCTTCGGCTGTCGGGGCTCTGCTTGGGCGGGGAGGGAAACTCAACCACTCTCCACACGTCCGGACAAACCTCATGCATGAAGGAACTGGCAGAGAAATCCAGGCATGCGGGTCCCGGGGCTGAGATCTCCAAACCTGCTCGGATCGGAGTTGAGCATCCTCCACCCAGATCCCCATCTTCCAGCAGACAGGAATCACACCCACCAACTGCCCCGGTGCCAGGTAATCCCATCAACGGCCAACACCAGAGACTATAAAACCCAGCTCCCGGAAGCGCTTGGTGGACCATGAGACATCTTATTATCTCGTTCTTACTCTGGACAACCCAGCAGGCTACCAAATGTATCCTGCCCGCACAGCAGAGTCTGGCAAACTCCCGTGGCATACTCAATATGTCAAATACTAGTAACAATGATGGGTCTCATTCTCCTAAACCTGAAAGAGCATTTCACAGGGCTAGGACGAAGGACATGTTACTGGTGCCTGCTCGAGGCAATCGACGAACAACAGGATGATCGTGATTGTGATCTAAGGTTAGCTATTATTAACTGCTAAAATGTCTGACGTGCAACATAGGTTTACCATGAGTCAAAAAGATGATGAGACATTTTATAGAGAATAGTATACAAAGGTAGATTTCCACTGAAATTATTAATCATATTACAACACAATTGTAGGCAAAAAATCAAAACAAAATATTAAAAGTAAAATATTTAAAAATGAAAATTTACATGTATAAAATTGATATTGCAAGTAAATTCCTATAAATGTTGCAAATATAAGAAAAGTTTATACCTTAAAAATGATTTCTCTTAGTCTGTCAGAGTACTTCTGATTTAAGAGCAATGCATAAAGTATGTCAGCATTTCCTGGTTCAAACAGCAGTAAGAAAAGCTGGCCTCTGGTTGGGCTAGTACGTAGGAGATTGAGAAGAATATCCAAAACTCCAAAGAGCTATTAAAATGAAACAAACAAAAAAATAAAACAGACACAAACTACAAAATATTTAACTAAACCATATAAAAATCTAATGTTCAGTTTAACTGAACTGTCTTCTATGCCAAAACTGCCTTTCCCTCAATTACAAATAAAATCAGAGTATTACATATATGAGGCTTGTGCATCGCCACTGAGCCACATCCCTGGTCCTTCTTTTTACCCTTTAGACTTATTCCATTTCCTTTTAGATCCTCTTCCTACTTAAATTCATGTACTAAACTGCACCTATCTATATCCTCTGTAAAGCCATTTCTAAATTCCTCAGCGCGTAGTACCTATAAAGAAAAATACAAAGGACTCTATTTCTCTTACAGAAATCATTATGGTTGCATTTTTTTTTTGTTTCAGAATTTAATTTTTTTTTTTGTTTGGGAGGCCATACCCAGAATACCCAGGGCCTACCATGTCTCTGCACTCAGAGATCACTCCTGGCAAAGTTCAGCGGTAACATATGGGATGCCAAGGATCAGATTTAGATTGGTTGCATGCAAGGCAAGTGCTCTATCCTCTGTACTACCTCTCCTCGAAATTTATCTCACCTATCCTCTCCTTCTTTCACTAAGCTAAAAGTAAGAATAATTATTTACCGATCATAATATACTAACAACAGGTAAAGGTAAGGTAAAGGCCCTCCCGTTGATCGTCGATTTGCTCGAGCGGGCCCAGTAACGTCTCCATTGGAGACTTTGTTGTTACTGTGTCTGGCATATCGAATACTCTCGGTAGCTTGCCGGGCTCTCCGAGAGGGGCGGAGGAATCGAACTCGGGTCGGCCATGTTGGCCGCTTGTAAGGCGAACGCCCTACCCGCTGTGCTATGTCTAGTATTATTCTTTGCTTATAGCAAACTTTTTGTCAATAACTTTGAACTGACCAGTTAATGAAAGAGGGGAAAATATGGAGGCCAAGGTGATAGTGCAGTGGGAAAGGCATTTGCCTTGCACACAACTGACCCAGGTTCAATCCTTGCATCCCATATGGTTCCCTGAGCACCACCAGAAGTGAGTCCTGAGTGCAGAGTCAGGAGTAACCCTGAGAATTGCTCGGTATGACCCAAAAAGCCAAAAAAAAAAAAAAAGGGAAGAATTTTAAATGAGTCAAGATAAATTAAGGCTACTCAAATTTGGTGGAGTGGTATATAAAAAGCAGTAAAATAGTACAAGTAAAATAACCTAGTAAATAATGGGCTACATTCCAGTTTTATCAGTTGTGTGACTTTTTTAAGTCCTACAATCTCTCTGAAAATATGTTTCCAAAGGTGCAAATAGGCAGAGTAACTCCTAGTCCATATATTTTATAGGCAACTTATAAATTTTACCATGGACTAGAATAGCTTAAAGCACTAAGTCCAACAGCATTTTTTGTATTTATGACAAGTTCCCTGGCAAAAATGATCAGAAACCAGATCTTAAGAACCACTGCCTTCAAGGACATTTTTTGAGGTATAAAACAAGAATGGAGGTAAAGATATTTTAAAAAGAAATATAGGGTTTCTAAAAATGCCTCAGATAACACATCTACAGAATGGAATACTACACCTCCACCAGGAAAAATGAAGTCATGAAATTTGCTTATAAATGGATGACATGTAGAGTATCATACTACGTGAAATGAGTCAGAAGGAGAGGGATAGACATAGAATGTCTGCACTCATTTGTGGGGGGGAAAAAAACATATTTTGTGACTATTATCCAAAGACAGTAGAAACAAGAGCCAGGAGGACTGGCCCACAATTGGAAGCTTGCCACAAGTGGTAGGGAGAGGACAGTTAGGATAGAGAAAGGACCACTATGATAATGGCAGTTGGAAATGATCACTCTGGACAAGATTGAGTGCTGAGGGGCTGGAACAATAGTACAGCGGCTAGCGCATTTGCCTTGCACACAGCCAACCCTGGACTGATTCCCAGTATCCCATATGGTCCCCTGAGCACCTCCAGGAGTAATTCCTGAGTGGAAAGCTAGGAGTAACCTCTGTGCATCACTGGGTGTGACCCAAGAAGCCAAAAAAAAAAAAAGAATTGAGTGCTGAAAATAGGTAAAGGGATATACATAATAACCTTTCAGTATCTGCATTGCAAACCGTAATGCCCGAAAGGAAGAGCAAGCGCACAGCAGGGGATGTGGCGGGGGGGGGGGGGGGGGGGGGGGGAGGGGGGGGGGAGAGAGAGAGAAAGAGAGAAGAAAAGTGCCTGCAGTAGAGGCAGACTGAGGTTAAGGGGTGTAAGAACGGACACTGGGGTTACTGGGTGGTAGGAAATGTACACTGGTGAAGAGACAGGTATTGGAACATTGTATGACTGAAACCCAATCACGAACAATTTTGTAACTGTGTATCTCACAGTGATTTAATATTAAAAGAAACCATTAAAAAAATAAACTTTCAGAAAAACTTGGAACAACCGCTCCCCACACCCCCACCCCCACGAAAAAAATTAATAACCACAAAAGATGGTGCAATGGCTTGAAGCACTTTTCTAACTAGTATAAGGCATCAAGTTCAAACCCCAGTACTACTCACAAATACTGAGATAATATCAATATCTCTGTTTTTTGAGGATCCTGGGCATCAAAGTGGCAAGAAGATGACTCAGTGGTTTAAAAAGTACTCAGTGCAAGTATAAGGACATAAACTTAGTCCCTACTACTGTTGGGATAAGAGAATTCATACAGCTCTATGTTCTGTGAGTCACTGTCTGGGGGGAGGCAGGGATTAGAAATATGAGCCGGAGCGATAGTTCATAGGACCAACGTGCATGTTTTGCACATGGGAGGTTTAAATTCAATTCCCAGTACTCTGAGCACCAACAGGAGTGACCCCTGAACAAGGTGCCAGGAATAGCTTCTGAGTGCCACTAAGTGTGGATCAAAAACAACAACAACACAATTAATTAGAAATACATTTACAATGCACTTTAAAAAGTTGTTATGAAAGTTACAATTTGGTAATGTTGGGAGGAAGTGTGTGTGTGTGTGGGGGGGGTAGTGTCAGGGATCAAACCTAGAGCCTCATACATTCAAAGCATATGCTTTACCACTTGAATCACATCCCTGGCATTCCAATGTACTTTTACAAAATTTTTATGAATCTGTTATCTGTTTTATGATTCTAAGAAATATGCCCAGTAACTGATGATCAGCAAATACACATTTTGTGATCTATGACAATATACTTCAGAGAAGCTAAAGTAACAATTTCCACACACTATCTTCTACATAATTAAAATTTTTATTACATTGCCATTTATTTTATTAAACTTTTGTTTGAGATAAAATCTACTTTTTAACTGCCTATATTGATTGTGACACTGTAAGCATTTTATTCTAAAAGATTCAGCATATGTAAAGTTTTTTTAAAAAGTCATCTTAAAGTTTAAAAAGTAAAATTAGATCTTGGGTATTATACCTGTTCTTCTTCATTGACAGCAGCAACATAACCCATAATACTTTGTATCTCTTCATGGGTTCCACCTTTGCACAGAAAATACTTAATTAATGCATACAAAGAAGTCCTTATTGTTCGAATATCATCTAGAGTCAGCTCACTGTATTTACAATCACTCCTGAAAGAGAAAGCAAAACAGAAGAACTCAAATAATTTTTTTGAAACCAAGACAGTTTTTATTGAAAAAAAATTAGAGAAATGTGAAGCGAGACAATGCGTTCATAATTAAAAAAAAAAACTACTTAGGCTAGAGAACCAGTATAGGTGGTAAAGCTCTTGCCTTGCACATAGCCACTTAAACCGAAACCCTTGTTAGATACATATATACATACAGTCCCTTGAACACTGCCATGGGTCACTTCTGAGCAGAATCAAGAAACACCCCTAAGTACCACAGGATGTGGTCCCAAAACTCCAAAATTTAATAGCACCGCGATAGGGCATTTGCCTTGCACGCAGCCAACATGGCCGACCCGAGTTCGATTCCTCCGCCCCTCTCAGAGAGCCCGGCAAGCAACTGAGAGTATTCGATATGCCAGACACAGTAACAACAAAGTCTCCAATGGAGACTTTACTGGGCCCGCTCGAGCAAATCGACGATCAACGGGAGGGCCTTTACTTTACTTGTTATTATATTAGAATTCATGATACTAGAATTAGAATTCATGGTACCCCAGGAGGGGTGTCTAAACCCTGAAACACTACAGTTACTTGGAGTTTGTGGCCCAGCAGCGCTAGACCCAGTACTGTTTGGAGGGCCTTGTGGTGACAAGAAATATTCCACTCGAGAGACATCCATAACTTGAATTCACGGTATCTTTGACTTCTTTCCTTTTTTCCCCACCAAGTTGGATCATTTGAAGCTTCAATGACAAAGATATAAATTGCTAAAAATAGTTTATTTCTGATGTAGCCCACATCATGTGGCAGACAGTTTTAAGGGGTCTTTGTCAAAATAATCACAGAATGTCATGTTTTATTAACTTCTCATTGCATATCAGTTACTTAAGTACAGAGAAATGGAGTTATTTGCTTCTACAGTTAAAAACTAATAAAACACAAGACAAGACTCAACATTATGTGATCTTCAATTGTTCATCATTTAAACTCAACATTATCATGCTCTTCTGAAATTATAAGATACTAAAATTTCTGAGGGAAAACAATTTACATGCCTCAATCAAGTAGCAGATAAAAATAATCAAAATGAGAAGGAGTGACATCATACCCATAATAAATCCTAAGTATATCTAGGAGAAACTGCACACCATACTTCTTTCGGAAAACTCTTCGGCTATCTTTGATGATGGTGGAGAGATATTGTATGTGACCTAAAACAGAAAAAATCACTTTTAAGTGATAAAGCTAAAAAAAGTGATAGTTACAAATTTCTAAAAACCAAGCAAAAAAATCTACAAAAATTTATTTAATAAGTAGATTGATCTTACCAATTCGAAAGGGAAAATCTCCATGGTTCCAAATTCGGAAGTCAAAAAGTAAATACTGATACATTTGTTGAAGGAGTTGAGTATTTTTCTCTAGTGATATCTGCTCAATCAGCAACTGAATTGCCATCAATACATTAACATCCATCAAGGTGCTCGGCACCTGAAGTTCAAACAGAAAAGTTTTCTGCAAAATTCATCTTAAATAATTGACAAACCATAATTTCTAATGACCAACTTAGAACATCCATTAAAACAAAAAGTTTGGCTATAAAAACATAAACAACTTTAACACTGAGCTTTCTGATATAACACTAGAACATTCCTAATATACATTCCTACTGTCACTCCTAAAATATCTTAAATTTACCAAGTACTGCTAATGTCAAAGCTAACAAACAAGGTCCTGCATATCAATGAAACACTACTAAGTAAGATCAATAATTCTTGTATAAACTTTTAAAAGCTGCTTGTAAGATAGATACATTAGATCAACTAGTACAGTCCAAACTCTAACAGAGAAATGTGAAAATATTTATTCATTAAGAAAAGATGTCACAACAAATTAGAATTCTAATTAGATATATTAATAATATCCACATGATGTTAGACTAACTCACCTTCTGCAGTAAGGCACCAAGAGTGGCAACTCCATGGGAGTGAATAAGATTATCCTGGTTAATAGGATGTCTTTGAATAAAGTGCTTCACAATCAAAATAAATGTTGCAATTAAATTCCGTTCTAATCTTGATTCTGTGGAATTGTGAACATGTCAGTAATTATCATATTTACTCTACTCACATTCCGTTCACATTTTCCTATTTTATTTATTTATTTATTTATTTATTTATTGGCTTCTTGGGTCACACCCAGCGATGCTCAGGGGTTATTCCTGGCTCTGTACTCAGGAATTACTCCTGGCACTGCTTGGGAGACCATATGGGATGCCAGGGATCAAACCTGAGTCAGCCGCATGCAAGGCAAACACCCTACCTGCTGTATTACTGCCCCAGCCCCACATATTCCTATTTTAACAACAAAGGAATTTAGTTCAGAAATTTGCCTCCAAAGACCATGTATAGAATGTAAATAATATAGAAAGTAACAACTGTATATTATATGCTTATAAGCATATAAACACTAATTAAATAACATGGTTATATTTCCACTAGGAGTAAAAATGAAGAACAGTCAAAAGCAAAAGCAACTTAAGGTTTTCAACCTAATTATTATGAATCTTATGGACACAAAAGTATAACCAGGGATGGGTAACCTGGCTTATAAATGGTTAAATGTCTTCCTAATAGTGGCAAGGCATTTTATATTTCTATGAATTCTTAAATTTCTTAGTAACTATTCTGGTTTAATTTCATCTTGATACCTGATGCCTTTGTGGAGGTCAACAGCACCCAATCTCCTTCTAAAGGTGCTATCGATTCAGAAACTGTGCTTTCATTTGTTTCTTCAGGAATACGTCCTTCACTGAAGTGGCTGATTTGAGTCAATAAAGGAAAGAGTACATTTAAACCACCTATGCAATTTATGGCGTCCTAAAAAATAAAATTAACATTTTTAGTCTTATAAAACAAGGTCAGTTTTATTATTCAATAGCAATAGAGCATAGATGACATCACAATTTGCTAAGCCTTAGGCAATGTATGGACTAACCTAAGCACAAAAAACCCTGTAAGAGGGAAGAATGATTACAAATTTACTGAGTATAATAAATAAGAGAATAAACTGTGAAAATAAAAGACAAAGTTTTGGGAGACAGAACAGCATATTCTGGATTGGTTATGTGGCACCACATGATCCCCCTGAGTATTGCCAGGTATAGCTCTGGAAGCCCCTAAGCAATGCTTACTGGCCCAGGTAACTTGGGCACTCTAGGGTCTGTGGGGCCCCTGGACTTCCTGAACACTGTTTGGGAGCACCCCCCAAACTACAAAATAAAATTAATTCAGAGTAGAAATATGAGTGACTCCTCTACCTTCAGTGATCGAAAAAAGGAAAATTCAACCAAAGTTCAGAGTTTCTACTTTGGACAGCCAAAGTAGCATTAAGTATCCTTTGACAAGTTACCAATCTCTTGACCCCAATTTCTTCATGTGTGAAATGAGGATACTAAATTTTCATTTTTCAAAATTGTTAAAGGGCTTAAGTAAACTAACATATGAGAAGATTAGTGCCTAACATATCCTGTGTAAGATGTTCTTTCTCATGCCCCCACCTTCTCTTTCTTTTATTGCTACTGTTAGGATAATATACAAGTGGCTTGAGGGGCACAGGGTATAATACACCCAGCAGTGCCTGGAGAGTCATATGGTGCTAAGAATCAAATTTGAGGCACTGTGCAAGCAAGGCATGTGCCTTTGTCCTCTGAGCTGTCTCCCAGCCCCAGTAGTCTTTTTCTTAATAATTTTATTATTTCTTTAATTCCATATAATAAATATGCCATGTTGACTGTCAAGTATGAAATGTGATATCACCAATTTTTTCATGTAAGTAGCACAAATAAACTAGTCTTGTAAATGCAATTTTACAATAATGGCAAAAATTAACCTACAAACTGTCAAATTTCATAAATCTTCCTACTTAAAATTTAAATTTTTAGTCTCAAAGAGAAAAAAGACTTTGTATCATATGAATAAGAAAAAGTTTTATGCCACATGAGTAAGAAAAAGTTTTATACCACATGAATTCTGTAAAAAGGAATCCCACACATCATTAATGTCAAACCCATCACTACTTACGAATGATTTCTTTTTTCATTGAAGCAATATACATATTTGGTGTTAGAAAAAAGTGTTTGCAGAAGGCTCAACCTTTAACATGTTATTAATCTCTTTTACAAGGGCTTAATGGCCCCAGAGTAAAATACAAAAATCTTCAAACATTTTCCTCTAAGGAAATTTTTTTGGATCATTTTTAGTGGATTATTCATAACAAGCAACACAAATTGAATAATTCAGGCCCTGATTTGGGGGTCAAGGTGGAAAATTTTGTAATATGGTGGTGGGTATGTGTAATGGTTGTGGAATTGGTGTTGGAATATTAAATGTAACAAATTATTGTGAAAAAGTTTAGAAAAATGAAATTTAAAAAAAGAAAAAAGTAGAAATAAAAAGAAAATTAGTGCTTTTTTAAAAATTTTTGCTGATTTACTAGCAGCAAGCTCCTTCTATTATTTGTATTTCAATTCCTTAGACAATAATTTCCATTTAATATATTAAGGACACACTGTAATTTAGAAGTAGTATACCTCCTGACTTTCCTATTAGCCCAAATAACCTTTAGTAATTTAATCACTGAATCAACAATGTTATTGTATATTCCTGTGGTAGGCACCAATGAGAAAAAAAAAACACAATGACTTAACCTTCAAAAAATTCTTAAGGACTACTCCTGGACTTTTAAGGAGCCAAGCAATCAGTTACTATTTACAAAGAAAAGTGGAGTGATAAAGTATTAAAAGTGTAAGTCAAGATAAGAACAGTTAACTCAGTCTTGGAAAATAAGCAGACTCTGTAGATCAAAACAAAAACCTATTCAGCCGATACATAACCAAGATACACATAAAAAGGCAAATGAGATACGCCAAGAGTTACATGAGGATGAGGAAAAGCTCCTCATCTTTAACCTCAGAAGGGTAAGATCTGAGTTTGTAGAAAGCTGATGGAGTGGAGATTAGACAGGACAAAGTGTGTGATTCAGGTAAAGGGATAATCAGTGACGTCTCTGAGATGTTTAGCAGGGTTGAGATCTGCCATTTAGTTTAAGGTATTTAATACCTTAAAAATGGAAAAACTACAAGGCAGAATGTTTTTCTTATGGAAGCTACTGGGTTCAAGGTATCTAAATGTCAACGAAATAAAAGTCTTTCAACTACCTGTTTACTTATGCTGCAAACTCTTTATCTTGGTTACAAACATTTAAAATCAGAACCTATTATTCAGATCAGTCTGGTAAACTCTTATAAAAGATTAGTAAACATACAAAGCATGCAAACAGTCAACTGATCATTAACTTACCTTAATGTCCCAATTTACTACTTTGTTTCCCGTTAACCTTCCATGCAAACAATTAGTAGATAAATCAAGACAGATTGAATTTTTGCATGCCTAAGAATAAAAGAAAGACATAGCAAATAGCTAAGCTAAATGAGGACAAAGCATAACTTAAACTATACATGGATCTTACAATTTAGAAAGGTATTTAACAGTCGATGAATAATTACTTATAAAATTAAATATTAATAGTCTGTAATTGCCATAGGTAGATCTGAGAGGAAGAAAAGGGAGAGGATATATAACCAAACAATATCAACAATCACCACTTATTTAATGTTTAACTTGATGCAAAAAATACATATTTTGGGGTTGGATTGGGGGCCACACCTCACAGTACTCAAGTATGGCCCCCACCTCCCCAGAGCTTGAGGGATATGTAGGGTTTTGGGCATGGAGCCCAGATCAGCTATGTGCAAAGCAAGGGCCCTACCCACTATATTTATCTCTCAAGCCTGAAAACGCTTTTTTTTTTTTAAGTGGGGGGAGGTTTTTGGTGTAGATATTGTTAGTATGTACTTTCTCCCTCTCAGATCTACCTTTGATCATTCCACCAACCCTTATGGACCTGAAGTACTTTTCATTACATAAATCCTTGAGGACAAAAGGATAGGACATGGAAAGTATATAGGTAGTTTCTTTATTCTCCTTAAGTAGTTGCACCTTAATTTTTACTGCTCCTAAACTTCTTTTGAAGATAAGTTATTTTTTAATGGCAATTCAAGTCTTCTTTTCTCAACCGCCCACAGAAATGACAAAGGGAATAAAGAGAAGACTTAAAGTTCACAGCAGTTACAACTAGACAGACAATTTGTGCATTTACTCTGACCTTTGCAGTGTAGTGGAGAAGGACATTACCAGGCACATCAGCCATGTCAGTGTCTTGGAATTTCCAAGGATTTAAACAGTTTGGTCCTGAAAATTATTTACACACACTTTCATTATTAAATATATAGGGTTTCAATATACGGAGGAAGTTCTATGTAACCAGTACAAAATTTTAAATTAAGGTTTTTCAAGCTACTCAAATAATAAAGTTAAAGCAAACAAACCAAATGTACTATTTTGATATCATTTCCAACGTGTCCAAAACAAACAAGTTTTGGATTGTACACTACTGAAAATAAGCAATGAAATATTATCATCAAATACAACAAAACTTTATTAAGGACCAGGGACATGGCTCATTGATAGAATACATGCCCTGCACACAGTAGGCACCAAGTCTGATGATTGGCATCAAAGTAATAAAAAGTTTATTACCCTAATGTAAATTAATTCAAATTTATAAAACAAACAAAACAATCAAATAAACATAAATATAAAAATAAAGAATAGACCCAGAGAGCTAGCTCAAAAGGATGGAGTATGTGCTCTATATGCAGATAACCACGCTTGATTCTTGGCATTACATGGTTCCTCAAGCACCATTAAGAGAATCTCCTGAGCAAAAGGCAGGAGCAGCCCATTTGTACCACTGGGCATGGACCAAAAATCAAAACTAAAGAAAAAAAAAGAATATAAAAGATCGATATCATACTACAAAAAAAAAATCAAAGAAATACAATCTATGGCTATGAATGTAGTTCAGAGATAGAGTAGTTGTCTTGCAATTGTGAGGCCTGGGGTTCAATATACACAACAAACTATAAAGAAATAAAAATTTAAAAGAAGTTCTAAGGACCTGAAAGATAATACAGGCGTTAAAAGGTGTGCCTTCTGCACAGCTAGGCTTTGTAAGATCCCCGGTACGACATATGGTTGCCCAAGCACTGCCAGGAGTGAACCCTGAGCACAGAACCAGGGGTAATCCCTGAGCATGGCTAGGTGAGCCCAAACTCTTCCCACAATAAATAAAAAAATATTTTAAATAAATAAAACAAGATTCGATTTTTACATTGAAATTCAGAGTAATCAGTTACTGACCATTCCATTTTAATGAGTATATGATGAATTTTGTATATTTTTTTATTACTGGTGGCATTAAGAATTAGTCTATCTCTTTTTTGAATCAGGGAAATTTAAGTAAATTACATTACTATAAGAAAAAAAATCTTAAACAAAACAGTTTTTGATGGCTAATAAATAAACACCTTAATAATATACATTATGAATATAATGGAAGTCATAAAAATGCCCTTAATACTTTATAATATTTAAGAGTAATCTCATAAGCAAAAAATAATTTAAAGAACAAAATATAAATCACAGATGTAATGACTACACTAAATGATTTAATTCTGAACTCAAAATTTGTTGAATTTTATGTAATGATAATGTTCTAGTATAAACAATACAAGTCTAGATAGTACTATTTATCTAAAAACTACCATGATTCTAAAAAAGGCATTCTGATAACATATCTCTTCTACAGGTTATATATATATATATATATCTCAAGAGTATCTTGCACACATGGTAAAGCCTGGCAAGCTACCCATGGCGTATTCGATATGCCAAACACAGTAACAAGTCTCACAATGTTGCTGGGTCCGCTTGAGCAAATCGATGAACAGGAGGACAGTGACAGATATATATCTGTACAAGAGATACATCTATCAGAATGCCTTTTTTAGAATCATGGTAGCAATTTTGAGATATAAAGGCTTAACAACTAACATCTTACTATACAACAGATACGATTTTAAAAATACCTCTAACAATCAGAATTTGATTTAGAGAGGGACTGGGTCTGAGCTACACCCAGTGGTGCTCAGGATTTAAGTATTGATAGTGCTCAATGCACCACATGTGTACCAGGGAGCAAACCAGGGTCAGCCCATACCTACAGTAGAATTTATTTATTTATTCATCAGTTGTTTGGTTCGTTCCAGCAATGCTCAGGGGTAACTCCTAGCTCTGGACTCAGGAATTACTCCTGGTGGTATTTAGGGGACTGTATGGGATGCCAGGGATTGAACCCAGGTTGGCTGCATACAAGGCAAAGCCCCTACTCTCTGTACTATTGTTCTAGCCCCCTAAAATTTATTTTTATTTTTAATTTTTTTTTAAGTTCTGGCTTTTGACCCTCAGCTTGCAATGTTCAGGACTTACTCCTGGCTTTGTGCTTAGGAATCACTGCTGGTGGTGCTCACAAGATCATATGCAGTGCTAGAGATCAAACCCAAGTGAGCTACTTGCAAGACAAGCATTTTACCAGGTCTACTATTTCTTCAGCTCATAGAACTTATTTTATAAAATATTCCTATAACTAAAGGTCCAAGCCTAGATTAGCTTTACTCTTTGCTTCTTATGAACTATTTAATGAAGATATAGAATCAATCTTATACAAACTTTCAGAAGTCATAAATACTTTAAAATTCTTTCATGTAGCTAGCACAAAACTAATAGAATACTTGAAAAAGACTGTATTAAAAAATTTCAGATCACCAGTTAATCTTTAATAAAGAAGTATAAAGTATTAAATAGAACAAGGAAAGTCTCTTCAACAAGTGGTTCTGGAAAAAATGGTCAGCTACGTGCAAAAAAATGAACTCAGAACTCTTTCTAATGCCACGTATAAAAATAAAATAGAAATAAATTAAAGATCTTGATACCAGAACTGAATCCATAAGGTACATAGAAAACAAAGGCAGAACCCTCCATGATGTTGAAGCTAAAAGCATTTTCAAGGATGAAACACCACTGGTCAAGAAAGTGGAAGCAAAGATAAACAAATGGAACCGCATTAAATTAAGAAGCTTCTGCACTTCAAAGGATTTGATGACCTTTGGGTATAAAGACATCCCACGAAATGGAAGAAATTATTTACCCAACAATCATCTGATAAGGGGTTACTATTAAAGATATATAAGGCACTGGTAGAACTTTACAAGAAAAAAAATTCAACCCCATCCAAAAAAAAAAAAGGCAAGAAGAGATGAACAGAAACTTTCTCAAAGCAAAATACAAATGGCCAAAAAACTCATGATTAAACACTCTAATCATCAGATGCAAATCAAAACAACAATGAGATATCATTCCACACCACAGACATAAAAATAACAGATACAACCAGTGCTGGTGTGGGTCCAAAGAGAAAAGACTCTTTTTTTTCCTTTCTTTTATTTTTATTTTTTTTTTATTTTTGCGTCACACCTGATGATGCATAGGGGTTACTCCTGGCTCATGCACTAAGGAATTACTCCTGGCGGTGCTCAGGGGACCATACTGGATGCTGGGAATCAAACCCAGGTCGGCCATGTGCAAGGCAAACGCCCTACCTGCTGTGCTATCACTCCAGACCCGAGAAAAGGACTCTTATCCACTGCTGATGGGAATGTCAACTGATCTAGCTTTTCTGGAAAACAATATGGACATGCCTGAAAAATCTAGGAATTGAGCTTCCATTCACCCAGCAACCACATCATCTTGAAATATATCCAAAGGTCATACAAACAAAATGTAGAAAAGAAATTTGCTCCCTTATGTTCCTTGCAGTGGGCTGGAGCGATAGCACAGTGGGTAGGGTGTTTGCCTTGCACGCAGCCAACCAGGGTTTGATTCCTACATCCCTCTCGGAGAGCCCTGCAAGCTACCAAGAGTATCCCACCCGCACAGCAGAGCCTGGCAAGCTCCCTGTGGCGTATTAGACATACCAAAAACAGTAACAACAAGTCTCACAATGGAGACATTACTGGTGCCCGCTCGAGCAAATCGATGAACAACAGGACAGTGCTACAGTGCTATGTTCCTTGCAGCATTATTCACAATAGCTAAAAGCTGGGCACAACCCAAGTGTCCAAGAATAGAAGACTGAATAAACTGTGTGTATAGTACATACACACAAAGGAATATTATTCAGTCATAAGAAAAAAATAAACTCATGAAATTTGCTGCTACATGTAGGGATCAGGAGAGTATCGTATTTAGAAGTTCTGCAGGTATAGAAAAAAATATGACAAGCTTTGAAATAACTTGATATTCAGACAGATGATTTTCTCAGAAGATAGGCTCACATTCTGTCTAATCAATTTATTAAAATCTGTTAGAAAAGACAAGTGGTATTAAGGACCAAATTATGTATTCTCCATCTGCTTAAATTTACTGAAGCTATTATTAAAGCTCCAATCTATTATTTGTGGAGTTTTTTTTTTTTTGCTTGTTTTTTTAAATCTCACTCAGGGGTTCTCAAGGCTTACTCCTGGCTCTGTGCTCAGGGATCACTCCTGGCAGGTTTGGACCAAATGGGATGCCAGAGATCAGACCCAGGTAAGCCACAGTAAGGCAAATGTCTTACCTACTGCACTATCGCTCCAGCCCCCATGTGGAAAGATTTTTAAAAGGAGGTAGTGAAGAAGGAGACAGAAGTGACATAAAAACTGTGATGGGCACTTGTTGGTGGTATGAGGTAACTATTCTAATGACCTATGTGGTTAATACTATACATCTTAAACTGCTATATGTGGTGAACTTTTTCTTTCAGCATAAACTGAAAAGATTTTCTTCAGATAAAACAAATTTAGGCAACAAAAGACTATGTGAGTTTAACTAAACGTTGGCCCATGCACACTCACCTGCTAAATATAATGCCTTCACCTGAGGAGGCTGTAGTGCTTCATGAAAAATGGTAACAGACCCAAGCTGACCCTCCAAAGATGTAGGACATCCCCATTCACTATCTTGGGTTCCAGCTGATATCAATTTGGTAACTGATTTTGATTTGTCAATTGTCCCACCCCAGGAAGCTGAAGACAGTATTCCACCAAATGAAGTCCGATGAGGGGTAATCGGAGAAGAAAATGGTGGATCTGGGATTTGGGATGGTGGAGGAGTGGTAGTTCTTTGCCCAGCAGAACCAATGCAACAGGAAATAAATGGCTAAAAGTTAAAAACAGACAAAATAAGCCACGTAATTTTAATTAGTGTATTTAAAATAAAACCACATAAAAGCAAGTACACTGAAAATATTTTTACTGGGTAATAATATGTGCAAGTGTATGATTCTTTACTACTGTTCCAATACAATGGAGATGGAAAAGTGCCATTAATGTCTATGTAAACATGGAGGGCTTCATTAAACATTCCCATCTTATTCAGTTCTATTCAATCTATTTAACTTTCCTAATATAAATTTTTTTAATCTTTTACTTGTATATTCCTCAAATTGATTTTCTACATTACATGTGGTATGATTTTATCTAAAGTGACAAGGTAATAGAATTAAAGACTAACTTACTATTTCTTAGAATCCAGGAACATTTAAAAATTTATGATTAAAAATTTATGAATATAGAATAAACAGAGCCTCTTATATTGTGTGTGTGGGGGGGTGCATAGGAGTGGGTTTTGGGGCATTTGGGCCACACCTAGCCATGTTCAGGGGGCTACAAAGCTCTTTGCTCAGGATTACTTCTGGTGGTGCTCAGGGAACCATGTAGTACTGTGGATATAACCTAGGGCTCCTGCATGTCAATTATGAGCTCCAATCCACTGAGACTGCTCTCTGAACGAGAATCTTCTACATTGAAAAGACAATTCTAAGAGTTCTCAATTACTTCAACGTAGAATAAATTAAACTCTTAAGAACTGAATGAAGATGAAAAGCATATATCCATCCTCCCAAGGAGCAGCTAATAGGCTAAGAAAAAAATTTCACTGTGATCAAACATTATGCATAAGTGACTAATCAAAAACTTAAAAATACCATAATTAAACAGGTTCACATTATTTTATGAAAGCATAACCATCAGTTGAAATTTTTTTAAAAAGTCAGAGGAAATAAGCATTTTAGTATCATGTTATTGTATGTCTTCTACTTCGGGGGAGCTTCCTCAGCAGTGCTGGGGGCTGCTTGTCTACACTCAGCAGTGGATAGAAGGCCAGGTGGTGCCTGGGAATAAACCTGGGATTCAGTGAATGCTAGGCATGCATTCTGGTCCTCTCAGCTACCTCCCTGGCCAAAGTCAGACATTTTAGACAGCAAAGACATGCAAAGATAGTGGCACTTTAGTGGTGGGCGTGGTGTGATAACATTGTACCTCAAGAATATATCGACATTTCGCCCTCTCCTCTCTGGAAAGAAAGATGGCGGCCACATGGGAGCCTTGTGGACAGCAGGTATGAGCCGGGGGAGTGGGGGCGACTAAAACCTCATGGGTCGGGGGGCGTTCCGGTCCGTCCTTCACGCCCTACCGAGGTCACAAGTCGCCCCCCGCGAGCGGCTCTCCAGCACGGCCATGGCCCCAGAAGCACAAGGACTTAATGCAGAACCCAGCAGCTTGGAGCAGAAAAGTGAACGGACTATGCGTTGATCCAGCCCATCAAGTCTGCCGGAGGGGAAAGGGTGTTGCCCCATTCGCCCTCTCCTCTCTGGAAAGAAAGATGGCGGCCACATGGGAGCCTTGTGGACAGCAGGTATGAGCCGGGAGTGTGGGGGCGACTAAAACCTCATGGGAAGGGGGGCGTTTCGCTCCGCCCTTCACGCCCTACCGAGGCCACCAGTTGCCCCCCACGAGCGGCTCTCCAGCACGGCCACGACTCCAAAACACAGAAACCAATTTCTTAACTATCTGACTTTCAGTAGAAATACTTCCAGGGTCAATAGGTAAAAGAGCAGAAATCCAAAACCAACATTTAATTCTTGAACCCAGCTGTAGAAAGCAAATCACTTCACAATGCTTTTTCAGCATGTCTGATTTGGGGGGGGGGGGGGGAAACTCTAAATAATAGTGGTGAATCTTTTATTGAAACAATCTAATCAAAGCGGATAGAGTGTTAACTAGAATTCATCTGCCTCACAGGGACGGGGAGGGGTGGGGGGTGGGGTTTTATTGGGGTTCTTCATGGGAAAAAATAAGTATTGGTAAAGGGAAATGTGTTTGATATTTGCATGACTGAGACATAAACCTGAAAGCTTTGTAACCTTTCCCACAGTGATTCAATAAATAAAAAAAAAAAAAAAAAAAAAAAAGAATATATCGACATTTATAGTCTTGTAAACCAGTTTTATCTCATTAAGTTAAAAAACATGTCTTAAAAATAAAAACTAAGTGAAGTAACAATAATGACAAAAAAGTGTGGATTGGGTGTGTGTTAAATAACCTAATATGTAACACTCACAGCACAGTCACCAATAAAAATAGAAAATGATCCCATTGCTTATAATAACCTTTACCTAGACAACGGAAAACAAAACTTTCTTCTATATCTTTAATGAAAGTCAGACTGGGACACGAGGGATAGTACGGTGAGTATGGTACTTGCCTTGCACATGGCCAACCCGGGGTCAATCCCTGCCATCCCATATGAGCATAGAGCCAGGAGTAACCCTAAGCATCTCTGGGTGTGGCCCAAAAGGCCAAAGTCAAAACAAGTCAGATTAAATCCTCAGACTACTATCTTTGTTTGTCTAAAATCTGAGAATGAACAAAACTTTCCACTCCCTGTCCCCTCCCCTGCCAAAAATAAGAGTAGGTTAAATGTGCTTACCTCGTTCATGGCAGGAAATCTGAGAGGGGCAGAGACCTTTTGCTGTCCATTGTCATAGATGTAAACAAGGCTCTGGCCAAAAGGTCTTTTTCCAGGCATGTGAACAATGGTTATATTATGCTGGTAAAGAAAAACATACATTTACAGATAAAGATTACATTAAACCTTCGAAATAGCCAATGTTTCCAGAGTATTACTCTATAACTACTTTGTTGAAGAGTAAGACATTAATATTAAGCATAATTTATGGCATAATTGGTGCTCTCAAAATGAATATCAACTTTTTCTGTAGTACCATAAAAGTATTGACATCTATTCTAGAAAATCTACACATATATTTTTCTGTATTTTCTAAGTCCAAGTATTCTTTAAAATTAACTTTTCTAATAAAGTTTTTTTTATTTCTAAAGCAATAGAAATTTGTTACTTTCATCAATTTATTATCTCATTTTATTTTTTCTGGCCTTTTTTAACAGAGGTAATACCTGGCAATACTTAGCCATGTGGTCCCAAGAACCAAACTCAGGTCAAGGTCTCAGACATACTAGGCATTTGCATTAACACTTGAGTTACAGCTCCAGCCCTAGTACTTCATTTTTAAATAAAATTAAAAGTTTATTCTAAATTTTTTTTTAAATCATAAAAATTTGTCTAAATTTTCAACACAGAAAAATCATCACTGCTGATTTTATGCTGGTAATGAGTGGTATTAATTCTCTAGAAATAAATTTCAAAATAAATAGAACTTTTAAACATTTTTGGGGCAGAACTTTAAAGAAAAATATGAATCCACCCTTAAAAAGCAGATAAGAGGGCCAGAGCAACAGAACAGCAGTTTGGGTGCTTACTTTGCATGTGGCCAACTCAGGTTCAATCCCTGGCACCCCATATGGTCCCAAGCCCACCAGGAGTGCTCTCTGAGCGCAAAGCCAGGAATAAGTTCCGTGCACCACCCAGTGTGGCCCCAACACAAACAGAAGTAAATGACAATACTTAATGGGTAGATGTACCAAATATGTGGTTTTTAAACAAAGAAGTTGGGACCAGGGACGTAGTTTAGTGGTAGGAGGCAAGCTTTGCTTGTATAAGCCTGGGTTTTATTTCCAGCACCATTAAAAAAGAAAGAAAAAACAAATTAAATGTGAGCCCTAAAGACCTTACCCAAAGGGAATCACAAAAACTGTGGTCAGGTAACATAACTGTTGCATATTCTCTTTTTGTGCACACGGCCACAACCAGCATACCTGCATAGGTAACAAAAGCTTCAAAACCCATGCCACTCCCTGTAAAAAAGCTAACAAAAATACATTATCAGAACTTTTCAAGTCATTTTATTCAATTTTATCACCACTGAAACACACAAAACCACAACTTAATCATTAATTTCTTTATCAAGCATGCTACAATTTATTTTTCAAGCTTTTACTTATTAAAGAATCACAGCATATATTGTTATGACAGTAATCACTTATATTATATAACTTGTAACAGTACCTGTATAATTGTTTTCTTTTTCCTCCTTTGTTACCATTGCCAAGAGTCAATTGATCCTGATCTAAACAAAACCAGGCACTGAAAGAAAAGGCCGACCCTGGCCATTTCTGTATCGAAGGCACAGAAATTCCTGCCATACTATGTGACAAATTAAAATACTGTAGTGCACTCTCTAGGCTTTGTTTTCGGGCCATCATCAGGATTGCTCGAGTCACAGAAATGGTATAAGGGTGAATAAACTCAGATTCATCCACTCTTAGTAATCGTAGTAATCGATGAATTTCTTCTGCACTGATTGACTGACTTCCCAGGGAACCATGAAGTGCAATCAAGTTCTCAGCACAAGTTCGATGGAGGGAAGACTGGGAATCGAGGGCTTCTATAATTTGAATACCCATGTTTGCATTGACACAAGTAGTTCGACTTTGTCTATTGATACAACAAATTCTTCTCAGCCAGTCAGAGATGAAGATTTGCAGGTCATGGGATTCTAGCTCTGGAATCCATTGGATAAGAAGCAGAAGAGGCTGGACATTACCAATGCCCAAAATCCCAACTGAAGTGTGATCACCCTCTACAGCCTATAAAGCAAAACAAAAGACAAAAGATTTAGCATCTTTGATATAGAGGTAACAGAACTTCTTTGAAGTAATAGAACTTCTTCTAAAGCTAAAATAAGGGGAAAAAAACTCACCATATTCATAAGTTCTTTTAGTAGTTCCAATGGTGGCTGACCCAGGGATTTTAATACATCCAATAAATGTCTATAACCAATTCTTTCTTTAAATACTTCCTAGGAGAGAGAAATAAATATATCAAGCACATTTTCAAAGGCTGAACTGTTTAGGAAACTAAAAATGTTAAGTATTCATTTACGTTAATTAGCCTAATGTTAAAAAGACTGACTTCTGGGGCTGGCAAGATAGTATAGCAGGTAGAGTGCTTGCCTTGCACGTGGCTGACCTAGTTCCATCCCATATGGTCTTCTAAGCACTGCCAGAAGTAATTCTTGAGTGCAGAGTATCAGGAGTAAGCCCCAAGTATCACTATCGCTTGGTGTGGTCCCAAAACCAAAACAACAACAAAAAAAGACATTTTTAAAAAAGTAAAGACAGGAGTTTTGAGGCAGGTGTGTGAGTTGGTGGAGAGAGGGAAAGAGAGAAAGAAGTAGAGAAAGGGAGAGAGAGGGAGAAAGGGAGGAAAAAAGAGATGGAGAAAGGGAAGAAAAAAGGGAGGGAGAACGGGAGGACGAGAGGGAGGGAAGGAGGGGGAAGAAGAAAACATGGGCTTTTCCACTTTGCCAGAGTGGAGAGAGCCCAGTATAGGCCGCCATTAAAGTCTGAAGGTACGAAAGTCCACATCTCAAGAGGGGAGATGCGGCAACATATGCTCGGGTACCACATGTGCTCGGCAGTGACACGTGTGCTCAAGCAGCATCTGCGCACCAGACTGAGCTCCTCTGAAATCACAGGTTCATCTTGGAACAGATTCAACATAGGTTCTAGAATACAGTGTTTTAGTATTCACCCACACTGTTAAAATAAAGAAAATTAGAAAAAAAATTGCTATGAAAATTAATGTATTAATTACAGATTAGGACATATTTGATTTCCTTTATTTAACTTCATTTAAGTTGTAATTAGTTACACAGAATCACAATTACCATTTTAAAAAGTATGGAAAGACTGAAGACTTTGGGGTAACAAAAATCAGATAGTAGCTTCAACTAACTAGACAAAAGTATGAATAATTCTTAGTGGCAAGGAAAATACTGGGTAGAGTTATCTCTCTGCTCTTTGTATTTGAATGGGCTGAATGATGGGGAGCATCAAATCTATTTGTGTAAACAGCAACCCCACCATCAAAGTAAAAAGCTCACTTGAATGAGCTTTCATTCAAATAAAAGTTTATTTGAGTAAGCTCTCAGTCATAAGTATTTGGGTGGGGTGAGTTCAGGCAGCTCCCGCAAAGTGCTTAAGAGGCCTGAGGGCCAATCCCATGATATTTGGACCAGCTGTGTGACCAGATGGCTCAATGTTAGAGTCCAGAAATGCCACACTACAAGTGGTGCTGGAAGTGACCATAGCTACACTTGGAAGTGGTCACAGGCCATTCAGGTAATACGTGCAGTACCTCAGGATCACACAGTGATGGGGATGGAGCACACAGTCTCCAGCTGGCAGGCTTGCATTCTAGCCATTTGAGGTATCTTGCCAACCCACATGTATTTTGGAATTAGTGGGCACCAAAGCTCGAAAGTAAAATATAAACACAACTGAAACACCAAACAATACTAAATTTATGTCATAAATCTGACAGAAATATATAGACTTATAAAAACAAGAACAAAAGATTTAAACAAAATGAGTAAAATTGGTTGTCCCTGGGGTGGGGCCACTACTTGACTATGTGCCAAGGTAGGAAGAAAATCTTTTTTCAAAAGGGATTTAAAAAAGTAGTATTTTATAACAAATGGCCAAAGACAACAGAGGATGAGAACTGGTCTACAGAACCGAGCTTTTCCAGAATGGAAGATGAAGGAAGTGAGGAGGTAGTTTGGAAGTCGGAGAAGAGGAACACTGGCTGAAGTGTAGTTCTATAATATTATGCATAAAACCCTATCATATCATTAATAGTATTGAATACCATGGTGCAAAACTTTTTTAAAAATATTTTTAATTTTACATAATTATAAAAATTTATACTTTGAAAAAGAGTCAAACATTTTAGGTTTGGATTCATGCATATTCCTAAACTAATTACTTGGAGCTTAAACTAATTTCTTTCATACAAAAATCATAATAAATGATTAGATTCCCAAAATAACTTGTGAAAGCAAGTTTTTAGTAGAAATGTAACCCTAAATAACAAACAGCAACATTTGGAACATGAAAGTTAGTCTAACAAAAACCAACTGAAAGTAAGGAAATGAACTGAGGGCAATATAATTTATTCATTTATTTCTGGTAAGGCATGAAATGCATCAGAAGTGGTGGATAAGAAGGCAAATTAATAATGACAATCATAATAACAATCACAGTGCCAGGTACATGAATACTTAACAAGTACCTGGCACTATGCTTATCATTTTAGATCAGGAGTGGGGCATTTTTATTTTTTTGCCAAAGGCCATTTGAATATTTATAAAATCATTCACAGACTCAAACAATAGAGGCAGATGGGCTCTGGGCAGTGAATGAAAAGCCTATCTGGCTGTCCTATCATATACCCACGCCAGATAACATAATACCCTGCAGGGCGGGATATTGCCCACTCCTGCTTTGATCTCACTCATTCTAAAAAATACTCAGGAACAAACTACTATCACCATAAATTGGCAGCACAACACAGTGGTAGCAAATGAGAAAGAAAATCATAATAAGGATTAGTGGCTACAAAGAAGCAGATTTTCTAGAACTGGAAAATCCAAAATGGATAGGATTGTTCCTATGTGAAATAAGAAAATAACTGACCAAACAAAAAGTCATTATTAATGAAGAATAGCTAGGAAATAAAAATAAATAAAAATTTTTAAACTTCATAATCAGAGAATCCCTTAAAATGATCATTTCAACACCCATTACTCTTACCCATCTATTAATTTACACTATGATATGCATTAGCATATCATTTTTAGTCATTGTTGTTTTAAATAATCCCAAAACAGTGTCCATAGGCTTCTGTGCTTGAAATAATCAATAAAATCATTCTTATACAAGGGGCTGGAGTGATAGCACAGCAGGTAGGGTGTTTGCCTTGCACACGGCCAACCCGGGTTCGCTTCCCAGCATTCTATATGGTCCTCCGAGCACCGCCAGGAGTAATACCTGAGTGCATGAACCAGGAGTAACCCCTGTGCATAGCCTGGTGTGACCCAACAAGGCAAAAAAAAAAATCATTCTTATAGCACAGCAAGTAGGGCATTTGCCTTGCACGTGGCCAACCAGGTCGACCTGAGTTCAATTCCTCCGCCCCTCTTGGAGAGCCCGGCAAGCTAGTGAGAGTATCTCGCCCGCACAGCAAACCTGGCAAGCTACCCATGATGTATTTGATATGCCAAACATAGTAACAAGTCTCACAATGTTACTGGGCCCACTTGAGCAAATTGATGAACAATGGAGGACAGTGACAGTGATACAAAAATGATATATTTTATGACCTACTTCAGGAGTGAAACCAAATGTACTATATAACACCACACATTACTTTGGAAACTATATGTATAGTGCAAATTGGCAAATTTAAGATTAGCATTTTCAGGGCTAGATAGGGTATTTGCTTTGCACATGACTGACCACATTCAATCCCCAGCACCCCATATAGTTCCCTGAGTACCGCTAGGAGTCATCCTGAACACAGAGCCAGGAGAAAGCTCTGAACACTGTTGGGTATGATTCCCCGTCCCCTCCCCCCCCCCTCAAAAATCATCATTTTTGAGTTTAAGGAATATGTTTCACCTTAGCAGCTGGAGATTTGTGCATCAATGCTGTCAAAGCCTGAATGGTTGATACAGCCAAGCAATCCAACCGTCCCTGCAACACCTAGGAGGGGCAGGAAGGGGGCGGGAAAAATTAACAAATATATTTGAGAGGTTTATTCAGTTAGGATACCTGTGCTCTGAAAACCTGAAAAGATAACTACTAACATGCATGACATCACTCTTCTAATGAAATGGCCTCCTCAAATACTACAACCTGCAAACTTGATAGAAAATGAACCACTGGTCAAGAATAAGGATATACTTGCTACATTCAAGTGTTTTGTAAAACAAAACAAAAAACACCAAGCTTAATACATGCTTTTTTTTAAAAAAAAAAAATGGACAATCTCAAGAGGAAGGGAGGGAGGTCTACCATTGGAAATTCTATCATCTTTTAAGATTCCTTCAAAAGTACATTTGAACTTCCCAGGTTTAAATTTCAACAGAGTGTAAAATACGACGACAAAAGATTTCTACTTATTTCACAAGCCCTTTATTAGAATTGAAACATTCTGCACCAATCCCATTTGCAAACAATAAAGTGTGTCTATTTTTATATAAGATGAATAATTTAAGGGAGAACAAAAATGAAATATGCCTCTATAAGCATTAAGTTTTTAATGAAGCAACCCTACTGCCAAAATTTAAAAAAAGAAAAATCAGTTCTATTTTGTCTATTTCTCCTTCAGCTTCCTTATAAAGAAATACGTTAAATTCCAGGGTAGAATTTGTGTAGCAAAAATAAAAATAAAAGCAAAATATAACAGCAAACAAAAAAAGTAAGATTATTACATTGTTGGGCTTAAGTCAACCATAATAGCATAGTATGAAACTAGAAATCTGTAAAAACTAACAATCCCAAAAATCTTCTTTCAGGAATATATTCATTCTATATATAGGATTTTCCTTTCTTTCACTAAAAAAAGACAAGTAAAAGAAGATAAATTAGATTTGAAGTTAAAAAAGCCCTATCAATTTCAAACTACTTAAATTGCTATATTGGCTTTGTGTTATTTAATAAACATTTTGTCAGAAAATATCATATATACATAATAAGCATATGCAGGGCTGGAGAGATAGTACAGCAAGAAGGGAACTTGTCTTACATGAGCCCTATCCAGGTTCAGTCCCTGGCATTCCATATGGTCCCCTGAGAGTGCCAGAAGTAATTTCTGAGTGCAAAACCAGGAGTAACCCCTGAGCATCACCATTTAAAAAGAAACAAATTCAAAAAGAAGGCATATGCATAAAATATTCTGCACAAAATTTCACACAAGTACAGTATTTTTAAAACTTTATCCAAGGGGACTAACAGCGCAATACCTGAAATCAAGAAACTAACAGGAACCTCCAATAATGTTATTGTAAGTGCTTTATTCATCTGGAGGGACTAATCTATATCCAGAAATCAAGATATACAGAAGTCTAAAAGTGTACTCTTCCAGATATTTCACATCCCATAGCAGAAAATAAGATTGTGTCTCTTTTAATATAGCACTAAAAAGTAATCCAGATATTAAAATAATAAATAAAATATCAAACAAGTTTTTCCACAAACATTTTAGGGAAAAAATTAATTTTATTAGTGTTTTTCTGAGCTAAATTATGTAATGTATTACAAAATGTAACATATCTGCCTTACATCCATAGACAGCTGAATCTTTAGAGAAAAAAAAAAGAAAAAGTTTAGTCTTGTGCTAAATTAAAACTAAAAGACTTTGGTATCTTCTTCCCTTCCTCCAAGATTCAAGTTGTCCATTGAATTATGATTATCGTCAACAAGAAGCAAAGAATCAAGATATAAAACTGATCATATCACAAACAGAGAATCCCAATTATATCACCATGCTTAGAAAAAGATGCCCCCAAAATTCGAAGTCAGTACCAGGTGGAGAGCATTGACATTGGGATTGAATTCCTGTACTTTCTATCTCCTCAAACTGACAGGAACACACACATAAGAAAGAAAACTTGATGTTTATATATTTTAGAGAAAAGCAATTTAAAATGTTTTACAATTTTCAAAAATAATTAACCAAAATCAGATTAGATAAATATTTGTGCACTTTAAAGCATAAGGGAAAAAAAGTACAGGAATAGTTGTTCCCACTGACTGATTTTTTTTGGATTTCAGCTGAAACAAGATGCAGGCTTTGTAGATACCTGGTCCTCATTCATTTCTGTCAGTAATTTGTTGGCAAGGTCTTTCTCGTTCTTGTCTGCCACCTTATTGTTAGCATTTAAAAACAGCTGTTAAAAACAGAGACAAGAATAATGGAGAAGAACATTAAATTGTTAACTACATGCAGAAATGAAGCTTAAGTGGATTTCCTTGTATCTCAAAAATATATGTGAGAACCTACTTCTGAAGTATACCGCTGTAAAATTCTTCATTTTTTGGATTACAATTATTAGTTCACATACAGTATAATTATTTTATTCCATGGAACTCATGGTTACTAACATAAAATATAGCAGTAATTAAATTGTTGATATTCTTGAGTTTTTTAAGAATTAGCAAAGAATGCCTCACAGAAAAGAGGAAAATAAGCTAGAGAAAGATTAAAGATAGTGCAGTAAACAAAGAAACTTTCTGCAGCCAAGCAGGTTTGTGAGATGCCATCAAACTAATCTTAAATACTGTTCAGGAATAATTCTCACAGCTTGAAATACACTGATGTGTACCTTGAGATCAGTACATATGTTTTTCCAAATTTACCTGACCACAACTTTGGTTAGTTTCCTGGGTGGGGCGGGGGGTAGTGGGGTGGAGTACATGCAGCTGTTCTTAGGGCTTACTCCTAGGTCTGCAGTCAGAGCTCACTGTGCTTGGGGACCACATCAGCACAGGAATTGAACCCAGGTCAACCACGTGCAAGGCAAGCACCTTACCTGCTATACTATCTCTTCAACCCCTGATCACACATTTTGTTAAGTCTTTTAACAATATTCTGTACAATTATCAAGAGTTGAGCATTACTTATAGCAGTTGGAATACTAGAAAGGCAGTACAGGATTATCTCTGGCATTCAGAATTACTTGCCCTTTTCTGAAAGAAAATAAAGAATATATTTTAGTTTGGTTTAAGGATATAAAACCTGGAAGTGGGGGGCAAAGAGCTTGCCTTATAGGCAGTTGACGGCAGTTGACCTGGATTCAATCCCTGGCACCTCATACAGTCCCCAAGCCCTATCAGAAGTGATCCCAGAGCACAGAGACAGCAGTAAGCCCTGAGGCCCTGAGTACTTGTAGGTGTGCCCCGACCACCCCCTCAATTAAAAAAAATACAACAACAAAAACTTAGTGTCTCAAAAGACCTGTCACAGATTGAATAAAGAGAAAGATACATAAAGTCAGATTTAGAGAGGAAGATAAAGATTTATAAAGAGTGGGCCAGAGATATAATACAGCAGTTAAGGCACTTGTCTTGCACATGGCTGATCTGGTTCAATCCATAAAATTTTATATTGTCTCCCTAAGTCTGACAGGAGTGATCCCTGAACTCAGAGCCCAGAGGAAGGCCTGGGCACAGCCAGTTGTGACCCAAAAACCAAAGGGGGAAAATTTTTTTAAAAGAAAAGATTTATAGAGATCTATCAAGAGCATAATCTAAGTATAAAATTAAGAAGTTCATTCATATAAACTTTGAAATCAGAAACCTGGGTGAGAATCTTGTTTCCACTTCTAAATTAAACTGTCCAGCAGCTTGGGTTTGTTGTGTTGGTTGGTTTGCTGGTTGATGGGGCTGGTGGGTGGGTTGGTTAGTTGGTAGGTTCTCATAGCAGCCATAGTAGCCAGGACTAAAATTCAGGACTCTCACACATGCAGAGCAAATGGCTGTTTCTCTGGTACATCTCCAGTTCTGACTTTTCACTCAGAACCAGAGATGTTTTCTGGTACATTTCCAGTTTTGAGTTTTCACTCTTCCTTTCCCTCCTGTTGCTACTACTGTTGGGATGACAGGGGTCAATACATATTTGTGGTGCTTTTATGCTCTGATTGCTGGAGTTTGTACACTTTAGCAAAGTTTGTGTTCACACAAATTTTCTTGCACTCTACTAAAAACTGTATGCTTATTGTGATATTAAGGATTCAAATGGCAATGCTGTCTGTATCCTGTTGGATAGATAAATACCTGGAAGAGAACTCAAGATGTCACATCTGCAATGCAGGGGCACTAACCCTGAGAATCCAAAGTGGCCTAGTTTTTAAAAATACTACCTATGGGTCCAAAGTAATAGTACAGGGGCCACAGTGATAGTACAGAAGGTAGGACATTTGCCTTGCGTGTGGCCAACTTAAGTTTGATCTCTGACACCACACATGTTCTCCCAAGCATTGAGTAATTCCTGAGTTCAAAGCCATGAGTAAACATCACTGGGTGTACCTCCCTGCCACCCCCATCCTCCACAAAAACCAACAAAGGAATAGTACAGTAGCTTAGAGATTCTATTTTTGGAACCATGAGTGGGTATAGTCATGAGTTCAAATCCCTGATGTTCCACATGTGCTGAGTGCAATTCTGGCAGGTCTGCTATTTGAGCTAGCAGACTTGGTTTTTGCAGTCTCTGACTCTGCAAGAAGTTTCTGAAGGCTTTGCAATTAGGTATGTGTGAGTGCTGTAAAAATGGGTATAAACCCAGAGAGTCCCACAAACGGAAAAGATGGGCAATCACCACCACTAGGATGTGCAACCTCTGCTGAGCACATGTGTGAACTCCAGCAACCCTTGGCAAGACAAGCACAAACATAAATCATGTGCCTCAACTAAAGAGTGATCCCGAGAGCAATACGTGTGCAATCACCACAGCTAAAAAAGTGCAAGCCTCAGAAGCAACACAGTCAAATGGGCTGCAACTTGATGTGCAACTTCTGTTGAGCATCATAATTAAAAATGAGGGGCCAGAACAAAAGTACAGCAGGAAAGGCCTTGAAGTCAACAACCTAGATTTGATTCCCAGCACCACATATGGTCCCCTAGGCACCACCAGGAGTGATTCCTGAGTGCAGAGCCAGGAATAAGCCCTGAGAATGGCCAGGTGAGTCCTCAAAACAAAACAAATTACAACAACAAAAGAATTAACCTCCTTATTTTAAGACAGTTTCAACAAATCAGAATAAAATCTTTAATTTTTTTTTCAGCTGGTAATCCATGAAAGGAATATCTCAGTAGAAATGTAAGGGCTCTTTGAAACTGTTTTGCTTTCCATTGTATGTCTCAAACTCAACCATGAATAACTCGTAAATCATGGTACCTTAATAAAAAAAATAATGCTGTTTTGTTTTCAAGGATTTCTTAAGGAGCTCTCTAAAAAAAAATTCTGATCATGGGGCTGGAGTGATAATAATACAGTGAGTAAAGTACTTGCCTTGCACACAGGAAACCCATGTTCAATCCCCAGAACCCCAAATGGTCCCCTGAGCACTGATTCCTGAGCAGAAAGCCAGAAGTAAGTCCTGAGCACTCACTGCTGAGTGTATCCCCAAAACAAACAAAGAAAAGTAAAAAACAAAAATAAGTACCCTCCTCCCCCCCAAAAAAACCTAAAAAAATTTTTACTTAGTTTGAAATGAACATAAGTGAGATAAGGAGAAATATTTGTTATTATATACTCACACAAATGTTACAAGTATACATTAAAAGTTTCAGAAAAATAAGCAAATTGATAGCACATATCAAGAGCCACAACAGTATTTCTATTTTTCTACTTTCCTATATTTTTAAGTAACTATAACTAGATTTTATGTAATGCTCACCAATAATAAAAGCTTTTGTTTTTTGACAGAAATTTTATAAAAATTTTTATCAATGAATCTTTAAAGTGTAAAGTAATAGCAAAATAACGTAACAAATCAAGCATCTACCAGTAACTATAGTACATTCACTAAATCTAATATTGTTTATATTCTAAATTATAACCTTCCATATTTTACACAGCTTCCATAATCACACAGCTTTTTTTGACATTATTTTTAAATTAAGGCAATGTGATTTACATAGTTATTCACAGTTGAGTTATAGGAGCATAACATTAATATCAATCCCTCAACCAATGTCTCAAAGTTCTCTTGCACTTTGTCTTTAATATAAGCAGAATTTTAAAAAGCTTCAGGGCAAGAGAGACAGCTCAGGAGGCTTTGTATCTGCTTTGCATGCAAGAAGCCTGACTTCAATTTCTGGAACTACATGGTCCCCTGAGCACCACCAGGAACAACCCCTACGCAAAGAACTGGGAGTAGTTCCCTGACCCCAGCACCATGGGGTGTGGCTCCAAAACAAAACAAAGGTTCATAAAATGGTCATATCCCATTTTTTAGCCAAAAAAATTGGTGTAAAATTTTGTAGTGAGATGTGGTATAGAAATGCTAAAAAAATTATCTGAAATGAAACAAGAGTGAGCCCATACATACTGAATGCACACACCAAAATTCAAAAACAAAAAATAAACACTTCAATTTAAAATATAGGCAAAGAAACTGAATAAAACGTTTTCCAAAGACAGACAGTTAACAAGCACAAGTAGAGATGTTCCTCTTTCAAGATAAGAGAAAATAAGAAAAAATTATAATAGCAACCCCATTTCTGACATACACTCAAAAGAACTGAAAACAGGGTCTTGAAGAATTGTTTATAAGTACACATTCACAGCAGCACTATCCCCAATAGTCAATGGCAAACTCAACAAAAGAATCCATAAATCAATGAATGAAGAAAATGTCATAAATGCATGTAGCACCGTAGCACTGTTCATCAATTTGCTCGAGCAGGCACTGGTAATGATTCCGTTGTGAGACTTGTTACTGTTTTTGGCATGTTGAATACGCCATGGGAAGCTGCCAGGCTCTGCCATGCGGGTAGGACACTCTCAGTAGCTTGCTGGGCTCTCAGAGAGGGACGGAGGAATCGAACCTGGTTCAACTGCGGGCAAGGCAAACGCCATACCCACTGTGCTATTGCTCCAGCTCATCATAAATACATAAAATTAAGTATCACTAGTAGTTTTGAAAAGGAAATCTATGGTGAGGAGATAGCTCAGGGGACAGAAACACATATCTAGATACACAAATCCCTGTATCTAATCCCCTACAGGCATGGCCCCCAGAGCCACACAAGGTGTACTTTGGAGGACCCCACCATCAGACCACTCAGTTGGCCAAGTTAGCATGGAGTGCCCTCCAGAGCGCTTTAGTGCTGCTTGGAAGCATCCTCTGCTCCAATAGAGAAAATTCTGCAATATATTACAACATAGATGAGTCTTGAATACGTAGTGCAATATGAAATAAGTCCACTTTGTACAGTTCCACTAATATGTGGTCCTTTGAAGAGTCAAAATCATAGGGACATTACATAGAATGGAGACTGCCAGGGGCTATGAAGAAGGGAAAATGTGCAATTAGTTCATGAGTACGGAGTTCAATTTTACACAAAGTAATGGAAACAGGTGTTGGTGTTTATTGCATAACAATGTAAATGTAATTAATATCACTGAAAGAAATTTGATGGTAAATTTTATGCTATTATCCATGTATATCTCCATAAAAAATACAACATTTTAGTAGTAATAATATTCTCAAATGTATACCAAGATACAAATACAATGATAGTTATTTTTAAATCAAAGATAATAATAATAATAATAATAATAATAGTAAAATACCTTGCAGTTCTGTAGTAATCGTATGAGATGTTCAAAGCAATTGCTGTTAAGGAAAATGGCCTGAAGAACAGGTCTATCCATACAATCTAACATGGCTGTGATGGTATCTACAAAAAATAAAAACAAAACCATTCACTTATAAAGTGAAATACCAGGGTCACAGAAATACTTACTTTAGGGCTGGAGCGATAGCACAGCGGGTAGGGCGTTTGCCTTGCACGCGGCCAACATGGCCGACCCGAGTTTGATTCCTCTGCCCCTCTCGGAGAGCCTGGCAAGCTACCGAGAGTATTCGATATGCCAGACACAGTAACAACAAAGTCTCCAATGGAGACGTTACTGGGCCCGCTCGAGCAAATCGATGATCAACGGGAGGGAAAAAAGTTATAGATTAAAGTTGGATTTTTCAGTTGTCATACTAAATTATTTAGGAAATAACAGGAGGAAGCACTGTACCACTATAGCACTGTCCTCCCACTGTTCATCAATTTGCTCGAGAAGGCCCAGTAATGTTTCCAGTTTGAGACTTGTTGTTACTGTGTTTGGCATATTGAAAACGTCACGGGGAGCTTGCCAGGCTTTGCTGTGCAGGCGAGATATTCTCAGTAGCTTGCCAGGCTCTCCGAGAAGGGCGGAGGAATTGAACCTGGCTAGGCCGGGCTGGCTGCACATAAGGCAAACGCCCTACCACTGTGCTATCGCTCCAGCTCCAAGTGGAAATAGTAGATGTCAAATAATTTACTATCGACAAATCTGTGACTGCCAACAGGTTTCCATTCTACTAATGGTTTTTAAAAAAATGTACCTGTAAAATCATACTGTGAAAGACAAGTGCTAAGATTTAATTTTTTTTATAGGAGGATATAGAGTAGAAAACAAAATTTATACTTAGCACTTTGAGAGAAAATGAAATTTAATTCTTTATTAAAAATATTTAACATTTTACATGTAAGAGTGATAAACACTTCCAATATATTTACTACTTTCTTTACAATTATCATGCTCAGATAAAGCCAGCCTACCAAAGTAATATCTGCATTCAAAAATCAAGATACATTAGAAAAATCAAGACACACAAAAAAAATCAAGATACATTTGTCATAGGTAATATAACAGTGTTTAAAAGAAAAAAAGGCCAAGGGCTACAGTGCCACCCAGCAGGTCAACCTCTGCCTGCTGTACCTGCGGGGGGAGTACATCAGCAGCCTGATGGTGCCTTCGGATTTCCTGATAGGCAAAAATTGCTGCTGTGCCTCTGGCCAGACCCCAATAACTTGGGATTAAGTTTCCCGATAAATTCAACAGTCAAAAGTACGTGGGAGTCAGCTCAGCTATACAAGCTCATTTATTGGTCTTGCTTCAGAGACCCATAAATAAATCTCGAAAGAGATCAAAAGCAGGTCATTTAAGCACATTAATTAATAACCATGATTCAGAGACACACAAATGAATCTTGGAAGAGAGCAGCAAGCCACAGAGATGCGTCTGGACCCCTAATATTTGAAAATTTTAGAATTCCAGGAGTGCACGGCCATTTTTGCAGCCTCATGACACCTCATACTATGCACAGCAAGCAATACAAAGTAAATTATTTAGCATCTACCTAAGAAGCAGACTGGGGGGGTGGTGGTAAGATTCTAAGTAGTGGTGGTGGGAAGGTGCAATGATGGTGGGATTGGTGTTGAAATACTGAATGTAAACAATTGTGAACAACTTTATGAAAATAAAATAAATTTTTTTTAAATTAAAAAATAAAGTAATGCGGAGTTCATGCCTGCTTCAATCAGCTTTAACAGTGGCTGAATAAACAACAGTACTCCTACATAGACCTTGTGCTGCACTGGATGAGAATAAAAAAGAAAGAACCATAAAAAGGAAAAAAAAATTTTTAACATACATACACTAGCAATACAGCCTTACATCAGGAAACAATAAAAGTCTTAAAACATTAGGAGTAAGTTCTGAGTGCAGAGCTAGGAATAACACCTGAGCATCTCCAGGTCTGATCCCTCCACAAAAAGCCAAAAAATCAACCAACAAACAAACTCAGCCTAATCCCTCAATGAGTGAAGTGAGTCAGAGGGAGAGGGAGAGGAAGAGGGGCAGATACAGGATGATCATATTCATTTGCAGGATAAAAAAACATAGTAGGAGACTAATGCTCAAAGTCAATAGAAATGAAAGGCAGAATAACTGGTCTTTTGTCGGAAGCTTGCCACAGAGGAGGAAGGGGAATAGGACAGGGAAGGGACCACTACAATAATGATAGGGGAAAGTGGTCACTTTGGATGAGAGCTGGGTACTGAAATAAGTTAAAGTGCTATGTTTGCAGTAACAGTATCGCAAACCTGTTGGGAACTAAAAAGATAAAGGAGAAGGATGGACGGGATAGGTAGTTTAGGGAACCAATCAAGCCAGAATGCTGGCACCAGAGGCGGAATGCTGCCCCAGTGGGCATCCTGTAACTGCACTATCTCTGCTTCCTCTCCTGGAACAATCTTTCTGCAAGAGAAAGCCCAGCACAAAGATCTTTGTCCTGATAAACTAAGGCCTCAGGATGTGTAAAAGTCTAGACTGGATAAATTTAGACAGGCACCTGACCAAAGACTATTGTTCTTCTGAAGATTACTGGTTTCTAAGCAATAAATATTGTACATAGAGGACAGACAAGGTTCTTAGTCTATGCTTTTTCTCTCTTCTGTCTTTTTAATTCTCAAAGTTTCCCTGCTTCAGGCCTGTTCACCTGGGGCTGGTCCCCAGCACAAACCACAGTGCCTAAAAGGAAAGGAGGTGAGGGAGCAGGAGCAAAGCTAGGGATATTGGTGGAGGGAACAGAACACTGGTGAAGGAACTGGTGTTCAAACATGTGAAAAAAAAAAAAGTTGCCCAGGGTTGAGGAGTGAAGGTACAGATATGCAAGAGGCCTAAAGTTTCCCAGCAAAAACAGACCCAATCAGAAAAACTCCAAGACAATATAATCAGAACATAAAAACCATAGAGCAAGACTGTAAGATCAGATTATTTATAACAAGCAATATAAAATAAATTATTGAGGGCCTGCGATGGGGGCAGGCTTAAGGGGTAATTGGGAAAATTGGATATAATGGTGGTGGGACAGTACAGTGGTGGTGGGCATGGTGTTGGAATATTGAATGTCTGCAACAAAATCATGAGCAACTTTATAAACCACAGTGTTTATATATAGTGTAAGGGGAAAATAAAATTTTAAAAATAAATAAATAAAAGCTGCAAGATCAAAGAAGGAACTTAAATACAAAGGAATTCCGGTAAGATTCATAGCAGATCTGTCAAATGAGATCCTACAGGCCAGAAGAGAATGGTGGGATATAGTTTAAAATAAAAACAACAAAAAACAAGGGAAAAAAAACCCCTCACAACTCAATGAAATGAACACCTCATCAAGATAGATTACCATTCAGATTTGAAGATATGCAAAACTTCATGAACAAACAACACTTCATAGCATTGATAATAGTTTTATAAGAAATATTAAAGCAGCTTCTTTAAAAGGCAAAGCAAGCATCTCAACATTTCACCATTAAGTATTGCATCCACTCATGATACTAATGGTCGATCGCTATTAGATGAAGAAAGCTCTATTTATTTCTAGCTAGCTAAGGATTTTATACTCTTTAAATAATAAATTAACATTTGAGTAATTTTGACTGTTCTTTCTGCATCTATTCACGTGATTTTCTGGGGGAACAGATATAAAAACTTTTTAATTTTACCCAATGCAGATACCTAAGTATTACCTATAATATAATATTAACATAAACTCAACATTTCCTTCTAGGTTAAAACACACTTTTATACTTTTATACGACTATTCAGATTTTCCTTTAATTAAAAAAAATTGGAGGGGTTAGGGGCCACACCTAGTGGTGTTCAGGACTAACTCCTGGCTCTGCGCTCAGGGATCACTGCTGGTGATACTCAGGAGACAATATGGGATGCTAGGGATCAAATGGGGTCAGTTGCATTCAATGCAAAAGCCCTACAGACCATACTATTTCTCCAGCACTTCCTTTAAATTTTTTAATTTCTCCCCTCTTCACTATTGCTAAAAAGTATAATTAATATAATCCTCCCAGGATGAGAGATGTATGCTGAAAGTATAAGATCGAACATGATTGCCACTCAATGCCTCTTTTGCAAACCACAGCACCCAAAAGGAGAAAAAGAACAAAAGGGAATACCCTGCCACAGAGGCAGGGAGGAACGGGGTGAAAGGGGGATGGGAGAGATACTGGGATCAGTGGTGGAGAATGGGCACTGGTGGAGGGATGGGTACTCGATCATTGTATAATTGAAACCCAAGCACAAAAATTTGTAAGTCTACAACTGTACCTCATGGTGTTTCAATAATAAAATTTTTTTTAAAAAATGATTTAAAAAAAAAACTTTGGGGGCTAAAGCAATAGCACAGCAGGTAGGGCATTTGCCTTGCATGCAGCCAACCCGGGTTCGATTCCCAGCATCCCATATGGTCCCCTGAGCACTGCTAGGGGGGATTCCTGAGTGCAGAGCCAGGAGTAAACCCTTTGCATCGCTGGGTGTGACCCAAAAAGCAAAACAACAACAAAAACCAACTTATTCTAGTTCATGTAATTTTTAAATGTATTAGCATAGAATTTTATATATGTATATATTAAATTATATAAATTATGGACTGGAGCAATAGCACAGCGGTAGGGCGTTTGCCTTCCACGCAGCCAGCCCGGCAAGCCGGGTTTGATTCCTCCACCCCTCTCGGAGATCCCAGCAAGCTACCAAGAGTATCTCGCCCACACGGCAAAGCCTGGCAAGCTACCCGTGATGTATTCAATATGCCAAACACAGTAACAAGTCTCACTATATGGAGACGTTACTTGGCCCACTCGAGCAAATTGATGAACAATGGGAGGACAGTGACAGTGATACAAATTATATGTTAGGGGCTGGAGCGATAGCACAGCGGGTAGGGCGTTAGCCTTACAAGCGGCCAACATGGCTGACCCGAGTTGGATTCCTCCGCCCCTCTCGGAGAGCCCGGCAAGCTACCGAGAGTACTCATATGCCAGACACAGTAACAACAAAGTCTCCAATGGAGACGTTACTGGGCCCGCTCGAGCAAATCGACGATCAACGGGAGGGCCTTTACCTTTTTTACCTTATAATTATATAATTTATCTCATTCCCCAGACCCTGAAAAAGCCTCCAATACGGCAGCGTTGGTAAAGACGAGTAAGGAGAGGCTGCTAAAATCTCAGGGCTGGTCGACCGGTTCAGCCCTTTTGGAAAGCAATATGGGCCATTCTCAAAAAATTAGAAATTAAACTCCCATTTGACTCAGCTACTGAGAATATCTCGCCTGCATGGCAAAGCCTGGGAATATATCCTGGAGAGACAAAAGAGTATAGTAGAAAATACATCTGCACTCATATGTTCATTGCTGCACTGTTTACAATAGCCAAAATCCGGGAAAAACCCGAGTGTCCCCAGAACAGATGACTGGTTAAAGAAACTTTGGTACATCTACATAATGGAATACTATGCAGCTGTTAGAAAAGATAAAGTCAAGAAATTTGCATATAAGTGGATCAACATGGAAAGTATCATGTTAAGTGAAATGAGTCAGAAAGAGAGAGAGAGACATAGAAAGATTGCACTCATCTGTGGAATATAAAGTAACAGAATGGGAGACTAACACCCAAGCATAGTACAGATGAGAACCAGGAGGTTTACTCCACGGCTTGGAAGCCAGCCTCATATGCTGGGAGAAAAGGCAGCTCAGACAGAAAAGGGAATACCAAGTAAAGGGTATTTGGTGGACCAGCCTGGGTTGGGATATGCGAGCCAAATGTAGACTAGAGATCGAACACAATGGCCACTCAATGCCTCTAGTGCAAACTACAACACCCAAAAGGAAAGAGAGAACAGAAGGGAAAGCCCTGCACAGAGGCAGGATGGGGTGGGGGGGATGGGGTAGGGGTGGTGAGAAGGATATTGGGATCATTGGTGGTGGAGAATGGTCACTGGTAGAGGGATGGGTATTCGATCATTGTATGACTGAAACGCAAGCACAAAAGTGTGTAAGTCTGTAACCGTACCCCATGGTGATTCACTAATAAAAAAATTTTTTTTAATTATAAAATAAAATGAAATAAAATCTCAGGGCTGGTATGAATGGCACCTGCTTGAGTAAATCAATGAACAGTGGGATGACAGTGATATAGTAATACAGTGATTAGCATAGACTTATCTTCACTACTTTTTAATTTGTAATATCTGGTCTGGAGCGATAGCACAGCGGGTAGGGCGTTCGCCTTACAAGCGGCCAACATGGCCGACCCGAGTTCGATTCCTCTGCCCCTCTCGGAGAGCCTGGCAAGCTACCGAGAGTATTCGATATGCCAGACACAGTAACAACAAAGTCTCCAATGGAGACGTTACTGGGCCCGCTCGAGCAAATCGACGATCAACGGGAGGGCCTTTACTTTTAATATCTGTAAAGAAACAATTTTCAAAAAAAGATCAACTTATGATTTACAAGTCTGTTGGATTTCAGAAGTTTAGCTTTATTTATCTATAATATGTAGTCATCAAGACCTCCAGAATGAAAAAAAATTATTTCTCTCAAATGTTGGATACAAAGAATCAGAGGGAGGAAAAAAAATAGCTAAGGCTATTAGAGAACTAAGCTTATGATGTGGAGGTTAGAAGGAAGAAAACGTAGGGCACTCTGGTGGTGGGAACTGTGCTAGAACAGTGTATAAATGAAACTATCATTAACAGTATTTTTTTCTTATTTTAATGTAGGAGTATTGCTATTTATTCAGCCATTGATTAGGCTGATTGAATTGGGCATGAACTTCACTATCATCAACAGTATTATAAATCACAGTACCTCAATAAAAACTGGCGGGATCAGTTAAAATGACTTCTTTCTAAAAGGGAAACTACAGGTGGCGGAAAAATCACACAAACAACTGAAGGAGCTTGCAGACAGAGACAGATATATATATGTCCAGAATGGCACAAAATACGGTAAGACAGAGCACTAGGAAACCCAAGTAGTATTACAGGAAATAACTGTGACTTTGTAGCCACTGAAAATGTATACCTTTTCATATATATTTATTGCAGTGTCTTGAAATAACTTGTTCTCATCTTTCCCTTGAAAATATATTAGCTACAATAGTTGGGCTCTTTTTATTTAATGAATTAAAGTACACATAACAAGAGTTTCAGTAGCACTGTCCTCCCATTGTTCATCAATTTGCTCGAGCGGGCACCAGTAACATCTCCATTGTGAGACTTGTTACTGTTTTTGGCGTATCGAATATGCCATGGAGAGCTTGCCAGGCTCTGCCGTGCCGGTGGGGTACTCTCAGAGGGGCGGAGAAATCGAACTGGCTGGGCCGTGTGCAAGGCAAATGCCCTACCCACTGTGCTATCGCTCCAGCCTTTTTTTCTTAGATGCTTTTTTTCAGATAAAAAAGGGAGAGAAAACTGAAGGAATATTTACCTTTAAATTAGGTCAGACAGAGACAATCCAAGACTTGCTAAATGTAGTAAAGTATTGTGAACGACTTTATAAAATACAGTTAAATTTAAATAAAGAAAGAAAGTAGGGTGGACAAATGCTCAAGGGACCATAGGTGGCACCAGGGATCAAATAAAACTGGAATCAGCCACATTAAAGGCAATCAACTTAACCCCTGTACGATCTCCAGCCCCTGGATTTCTTTGAAGGTTGATGCTTCAAATTGATTAAAACATTCCAAAAAAAGGTGCAGAAAGACTCAATTTTGTTATTAAGGCAAAGATACTGTAGACAAAAAAAATTCTGTAGGTCAGCATTATGACTAAAGTGGTAAAGCACATGACTTGTATGAGCAATGCCATAGGTTCAAACGCCAGGACCACATGCCCCCTCTAAATAGCCCTGGCACTTACTAAGTATGACCTTGGTAGCTACCAAGCAATATGCCTTTAGCATCACCAGGTGTGGACCCCCAAATCAAACAAAACCAAAAAACAAATTTTATTTAATTAAAGTAAAAATCTAAATGGTTATAGTGTCTGAATCAATCAATATCTGGCCTTGTATTTAAAATAATAGACTTGCATTTCAAACCTAAGTTGGAAATATGAAAGGGAAAAAAAGACGCAGAAAACAAAATATAATACATATATGTAATACTTACTCAGCATTTTTATCTGTAGGGCTATGAACCGGTTTTCCCACTGCCTTGACCTCTTTTGATTAGGTAAAGCAGAATGGTCTGAATTTAGCAATTTAAAAAAGTTCTCCAGAATAGTGCTGGTTTCCACTTGGCGCTGGTCAGAGCTGCTAGTGAGAAGGATATGTACGACTTCTGTAAGGCACTTCAGAGTAAGTTCTACCTTCCTACTCACTTCTTCAGGATTTCCATCCTCCCATGAATCACAATCTGCCAAAACTCTCATAAGAACTTCCATGGTGGCAGGAGAAATTGCTTGCAGAGCATTCCTCTGAAATACAAAACAATAAAATCGAAACCAAATTGAAATTGTTTGCAAAAAATAAAGAGAATAACCTGAAAAGACAACTTTTTCCTTAAATGAATCAAATTTGACAGAGGCTGTTGGTGACCTTTCTTCCCTCTTTTTGTTTTTTTGGCCATACCTGGCAGTGTTTAAGGTTTACTCCAGGCTTAGCACTCAGGGTTCACTCTTGGCGGGGATCAGGAGATGATAACTGGTTCCAAGGATCAAACCCAGGTTGGCCGCATGAAAGGCAAGTGTCTCACCCACTGTACTGTTCCAGCCCTTGAAGTTGCTACTGTCTTAACAAATATTAAATATACATTTCCTCACTACTAACAGAACCCTAATTTTATTCATATAATCTTCACCCTTTGCAGACAATGTATTCCCTTGACACAATTCTGACCAAAAATACATGGCAGTACACTAATAAATGAATTATCACTATGCAAATAAAAAGAGAAGAATCTTTTGTCACTGACCCTTTCATCTTTTCCTATCATCACTCTGACATGATGCTTAATATCAATCATGAGGAGTCCAAGAATTAAAATGGCCTACTAAAAATACCAGAACAGGAATACCAAGATATCTTAGCCTTTCATACCACAGGGTTAGTATACTAAGAATTAGATCTCCATTAGATTTCTTATGCAACAATTAAAAACAAAAGCACAAAAAACCAAAACTACCTCAATTTGGGTAAGCCTCTTTCAGCCTTTCTGTTGGATATAGCAAATCCATCCCAAAGATGCAGCTCTGATTGTACAAATACTTTTCTAAAATCTCATACACTATAAATAGTAACTCTCTCATGCGAAACATTAAAGAGAAAAAGGCAAACTTAAAACTTAAGCTATTGGGACCGGTATTATAGTACAGTGGGTAGGGCATTTGCCTTGCATGCGGTCGACCCGGGTTCAATCCCCTGCATCCCATATGGTCCCCTGATGACCGCCAGGAGTGATTCCTGAGTGCAGAGTCAGGAGTAACCCCTGAGCACTGCTGGATGTGACCACCCCCCCCAAAAAAAAGATATTATAATTTAAGTATTTACTACTACTTACAACAAACATAACCATAATGACCTGTAATTTACTAAGTTCTTATAAGCATGGGCATACTGTTATATAACATGCAATATTTGTCATTCTGCCCTTACAGCTCTTCTTCTTTTTTTTTTTTTTAATAATTTATTTATTTATTGAATCACTGTGGGAAAAGTTACAGAGCTTTCGGGTTTAGTTCTCAGTCATGTAGATACCAAACACATTTCCCTTTACCAATACTCATTTTTAGTCCCGAACCCCAATAGACCCCCACCTCCCACCCCTCCCAATTCTTGTGAGGCAGATGAGTTCTAGTTAATACTCTACATACTTTGACTAGATAGATTATTTCGATAGAAGATGCACAATTATTGTTTAGAGTTTACGACCCACCCCCCACAATCAGACATGCTGAAACAGCGTTGTGAAATGATTTGCTTTCTACAACTTGGTTTAAGAATAAAATGATGGTTTTGCCTCATGGGAAGGGGGGCGTTCCGGTCCATCCTTCACGCCCTACCGAGGTCACCAGTCACCCCCCACGAGCGGCTCTCCAGCACAGCCACGGCCCCAGAAGCACAAGGACTTAATGCAGAACCCAGCAGCTTGGAGCAGAAAAGTGAACGGACTATGCATTGACCCAGGCCATCAAGTCTGCCGGAGGGGAAAGGGTGTTGCCCCATTCGCCCTCTCCTCTCTGGAAAGAAAGATGGCGGCCACATGGGAGCCTTGTGGACAGCAGGTATGAGCCGGGGGTGTGGGGGCGACTAAAACCTCATGGGAAGGGGGGCGTTCCGGTCCGTCCTTCACGCCCTACCGAGGTCACCAGTTGCCCCCCACGAGCGGCTCTCCAGCACGGCCACAGCCCCAGAAGCACAAGGGCTTAATGCAGAACCCAGCAGCTTGGAGCAGAAAAGTGAAAGGACTATGCGTTAATCCAGGCAATCATTTCTGCCCAGAGGGGAAAGGGTGTTGCTCCCTTCCGCCCTCCTCCCTCTGGAAAGAAAGATGGCGGCCACATGGGAGCCTTGTGGACAGCAGGTATGAGCCGGGGGTGTGGGGGCGACTAAAACTTCATGGGAAGGGGGGCGTTCCGGTCCGTCCTTCACGCCCTACCGAGGTCGCCAGTTGCCCCCCATGAGCGGCTCTCCAGCACGGCCACGGCCCCAGAAGCACAAGGACTTAATGCAGAACCCAGCAGCTTGGAGCAGAAAAGTGAACGGACTATGCATTGATCCAGGCCATCAAGTCTGCCGGAGGGGAAAGGGTGTTGCCCCATTTGCCCTCTCCTCTCTGGAAAGAAAGATGGCGGCCACATGGGAGCCTTGTGGACAGCAGGTATGAGCCGGGGGAGTGGGGGCGACTAAAACCTCATGGGTCGGGGGGCGTTCCGGTCCGTCCTTCACGCCCTACCGAGGTCACCAGTTGCCCCCCACGAGCGGCTCTCCAGCACGGCCATGGCCCCAGAAGCACAAGGACTTAATGCAGAACCCAGCAGCTTGGAGCAGAAAAGTGAATGGACTATGCATTGATCCAGCCCATCAAGTCTGCCGGAGGGGAAAGGGTGTTGCCCCATTCGCCCTCTCCTCTCTGGAAAGAAAGATGGCGGCCACATGGGAGCCTTGTGGACAGCAGGTATGAGCCGGGGGTGTGGGGGCGACTAAAACTTCATGGGAAGGGGGGCGTTCCGGTCCGTCCTTCACGCCCTACCGAGGTCGCCAGTTGCCCCCCACGAGCGGCTCTCCAGCACGGCCACGGCCCCAGAAGCACAAGGACTTAATGCAGAACCCAGCAGCTTGGAGCAGAAAAGTGAACGGACTATGCATTGATCCAGGCCATCAAGTCTGCCGGAGGGGAAAGGGTGTTGCCCCATTTGCCCTCTCCTCTCTGGAAAGAAAGATGGCGGCCACATGGGAGCCTTGTGGACAGCAGGTATGAGCCGGGGGAGTGGGGGCGACTAAAACCTCATGGGTCGGGGGGCGTTCCGGTCCGTCCTTCACGCCCTACCGAGGTCACCAGTTGCCCCCCACGAGCGGCTCTCCAGCACGGCCATGGCCCCAGAAGCACAAGGACTTAATGCAGAACCCAGCAGCTTGGAGCAGAAAAGTGAATGGACTATGCATTGATCCAGCCCATCAAGTCTGCCGGAGGGGAAAGGGTGTTGCCCCATTCGCCCTCTCCTCTCTGGAAAGAAAGATGGCGGCCACATGGGAGCCTTGTGGACAGCAGGTATGAGCCGGGAGTGTGGGGGCGACTAAAACCTCATGGGAAGGGGGGCGTTTCGCTCCGCCCTTCACGCCCTACCGAGGCCACCAGTTGCCCCCCACGAGCGGCTCTCCAGCACGGCCACGACTCCAGAACACAGAAACCAATTTCTTAACTATCTGACTTTCAGTAGAAATACTTCCAGGGTCAATAAGTAAAATAGCAGAAATCCAAAACCAACATTTAATTCTTGAACCCAGCTGGAGAAAGCAAATCACTTCACAATGCTTTTTCAGCATGTCTGATTTGGGGGGGGGGGGTAAACTCTAAATAATAGTGGTGAATCTTTTATTGAAACAATCTAATCAAAGCGGATAGAGTGTTAACTAGAATTCATCTGCCTCACAGGGACGGGGAGGGGTGGGGGGTGGGGTTTTATTGGGGTTCTTCATGGGAAAAAATAAGTATTGGTAAAGGGAAATGTGTTTGATATTTGCATGACTGAGACATAAACCTGAAAGCTTTGTAACCTTTCCCACAGTGATTCAATAAATAAATAAATAAATAAAAAAAAAAAAAAAAAAAAGAAAAAAAAAAAAAATGATGGTTTTGAATTTCTGCTATTTTACTTATTGACCCTGGAAGAATTTCTATCAAAAGTTAGCTAGTTAAGAGATTGGTTTCTGTGCCCTGGAGTCGTGGCCGTGCTGGAGAGCCGCTCGTGGGGGGCAGCTGGCGACCTCGGTGGGGCGTGGGGGACGGCCCACAAAGCCCCCCTTCCCATGAGGTCCCCGCCGCTCCCCCGAGCCCGGCTCAAACCCGCTTTCCACAAGGCTCCCGTGCGGCCGCCATCTTTCTTTCCAGAGAGGAGCGGGCGGGCTGGTCAACGCCCTTCCCCCTCCGGGCAGCTTGGTGGCGCGGTTTAACACATAGTCCATTTGCTTTTCTGCTCCAAGCGGCTGGTTCTCTGTGCTAAGTCCTTGTGCCTCTGGGGCCGTGGCCGTGCCGGAGAGCCGCTCGTGGGGGGCAGCTGGCGACCCCGGTGGGGCGTGGGGGACGGCCCACAAAGCCCCCCTTCCCATGAGGTCCCCGCCGCTCCCCCGAGCCCGGCTCAAACCTGCTTTCCACAAGGCTCCCGTGCGGCCGCCATCTTTCTTTCCAGAGAGGAGCGGGCGGGCCGCTACAGCTCTTCTTTAAGTGATATCATTTCCATATTACAAACAAAAATAGATGTGAATAACATGTTTGAGGTTACACAACTAGTTAGAAACATACACGCTTTTCAAATTAGTTCCAAATGTCTCTGCTTAATACAAAATAAAATAAATAGCATGGCATTGTGAAATAAACAAACACCAAGCACAATGCTATGGAAAGAAAACCAGCCATTGAACTTTTTCTGATCTTTATAATTACTGGGCTGAAGCGATAGCACAGTGGGTAGGGCGTCTGCCTTGCACACGGCTGACCTAGCCGACCCAGGTTCGATTCCTCCGCCCCTCTCGGAGAGCCCAGGAAGCTACCGAGAGTATCTCGCCCATACGGCAAAGCCTGGCAAGCCACCCATGACATATTTGATATGCCAAACACAGTAACAAGTGTCACAATGGAGACGTTACTGGGCCCGGGGCTCGGGCAAATAGATGAACAACGTGAGTGACAATGACAGTGATCTAACAACCACTATCACCTAATTACAGGGGTTTGAGTTTTCAGTACATGAAATAATAACTGTGCTTGCTAGTATTTACTTGATTTTGTGTGAATTTTAATGATATCTGAGGCTTGCTTACACTGAGTAATAGCCAGAATAAAATCTCTGATGTTTCTGGTGTTTCTGTTTGTTTAGTTTGTTTGTTTTGCTATTTTGGGTCACACCTGGCGATGCACAGGGGTTACTCCTAGCTTTGCACTCAGGAATTACTCTTGGGGATCACCTGGGATGCTGAGAATCGAACCCAGGTTGGCCGCGTGCAAGGCAAACGCTCTACCCACTATACTATCACTCCAGCCCCTCTCTGATGTCCTTAAAGATAACAGAAGCCAAAGAACTTCTTCATTCATCAAAAACAATGTTGTCTGCAACTGTATTCATGCATACTCATTAATACAACTATTATTAGTAGTAAAGAAATGAAATTGGATAATAAAGCAAAAGAAAATATCCGGTCACAAGTTAATGGGAAAAAACAAAGAGGTGGAAAATAAGATTATCATCACTATTCTTCTCAGTAGGAAGAGATTCGTACTTTCAACTAGGGTGAAAATATGGCAAGAGAGAGCACTAGGAAATCCAAGTAGTATTATAGGAAATACCTGTGACTTTGTAGTCAGTGAAAATGTATACCTTTTCATATATATTTATTGCAGTGTCTTGAAATAATCCTCATCTTTCCCTTGAAAATATATTAGCTACTAACTTGGGCTCTTTTTAGTTAATTAATTAAAGCACACATAACAAGAGTCTCAATAGCACTGTCCTCCCGTTGTTCATCGAGTTGCTCGAACAGGCACCAGTAACATTTCCATTGTGAGACTTCTTGTTACTGTTTTTGGCATATCGAATATGTCACGGGTAGCTTGCCAGGCTTTGCCATGTGGGCGGGATACTCTTGGTAGCTTGCCAGGCTCTCCAAGAGGGGCGGAGGAATCAAACCCAGCTTGGCCGTGTGGAAGGCAAACGTCCTACCCGCTGTGCTATTGCTCCAGCCATAATAAAAGTATACTTCATTAATATTCTAATAACTGAAAAATTAGCATCATTAATTTCCTGTGATTACATACATATTTTTAAATTCTATGTACTGAAAAAATTCTGACAAGAAGCTTTTTTGGGGGCGGTGTGAGGGGGGTTCTGGAATATACCAGGCAGTGCTTAGGGGACCAAAGGGGATACTGGGGAATCGAACCCAAGTTTGCCACATGCAAGGCAGCACTCTGTAAGCTGTACTATCACTCCAGCTCCTATGAGAAGAAATTGTAACAGTCCGTCAAAGAAGTATGCAGTACATACACCCTAATCAATGTAGTGAAGAAAACATAGAATGTTTTTTTTCCAAATTCTAATCCTACTCTCTTTTTTATTTTAAGAAGTTTTATTGGATCACCATATTTACAAACTTGTATAATTACATTTCAGTCACATAATGCTTGAGCAACCATTCCTCCAACCAGTGCACATTTTCTACTACCATTGTTCTCAGTGTCCCCTGCCACCTGCCACTCCCACCCCACTCCACTCCTGGCCTCTGTGCAGGTACAATCCTTCTGACTCCCTCTCTAGTTTTGGGCATTATGATTTGCAATACAGATACTAAGAGGTCATTGTGTTTGGTTCTTGATCTACTTTCAGCACATAACTCCCATCACAGGCAATCACTACAATCATCATTTACTTAGTGGTTCCTTCTCCATCCCAACTGCCTTTTCCCCCAGCACATGGGGCCAGCTTCCAAACCATGGTGTGATCCTCCTGGCCCTTATCTCTACTGTCCTTAGGTGTTAGTCTCATATTATGCTACTTTATATCCCACAAATGAGTGAAGTCATTCTTTGTCTGTCCCTCTCTTTCTGACTAATTTTACTTAGCATGATACTCTAATCCTACTTTCAACTAGTAGTTATACTCAAAAGTTTGCCACAGGGGCTGCAGAGCAAATACAGTGGGTAAGGTGCTTGCTTTATACTCTATTTGGTCACCTGACCTCAGTCAGGAGTATGTCCTGAGCAGAGCCAGAGGTAATCTAAAAATAAACAAACAAAAATTGCCACAGACAGCTATAAAGACACGCAACTTAAATAAAAAGAACTCATAATAAGAATTTCTTGTAAATAACAACAGTTGAGTTTGTTGAGGAAATTTATATATAAGCCTTGATATATGTACTATTCCCTAAAATAGTAACTTTTTGGGGGTGGAGTGATAGTACATCAGGTAACGAGCTTGTCTCACATGTGGCAAACCAATTCCAGACATCCCCCGGTCCTCTGAGCACCACCAGGAGTGATCCTGAGTGCAAAGCAAAGAGCAACACCTTAGCATTGCCAAGTATAGTCCCATAAAAGTGAGATAAATAAAATAAAGAACTATAGTTGAGAGTGAATACGATTCAGAACTTATTATACCAAAATGTGTTTTATTTAGTCATTTAATGTAATTTTAATGCTAAAGTTAATCATTTTTCAAATTCTACAAAAGTTAAAAAAATAAGCAATTTGGTTAGTTTAAAATAAGAAAGATTGCATTCATCTGGGGAACATAAAGTAACAAAATAGGAGACTAACACCCAAGAGTGGCCGAGATAAGTACCAGGAGGTTTGCTCCATGGCTTGGAGGCCAGCCACACATGCTAAGGGAAAAGGAAGCTCAGATAGAGAAGGGAGCACCAAATAAAGGGTATTGGGAGGATCCTCCCAGGATGGGAGAAGCATGCTGAAAGTAGACTACAGACCTACTATAGGCATGATTGTCACTCAATGCCTCTTTTGCAAACCACAACATCCAAAAGGAGAAAGAGAACAAAAGGGAATGCCCTGCCACAGAGGCAGGGTGGGATGCAGGGGATGGGGGGTATATTGGGACCCGTGGTGGTAGAAAATGGGCACTGGTGGAGGGATGGGTATTTGATCATTGTATAATTGAAACCCAAGCATAAAAATTTGTAAGTCTACAACTGTACCTCATGGTGTTTCACTAATAAAAATTAAAAATAAATAAATAAATAAAATAAAGTAAGACAAGCTAAATATTTTGTTTTTGCCCACTTGAGCAAATCGATGAACAACAGGAAGACAGTGACAGATCAAATATCAAAATATTTTATCAAATAATAAAAATGAATGATACATTCAATTCATTAAAGCACTGTTAACTATCAGTTTATGCATTAACTTTGAACACTTTTCTCACCTGCCCACCGGCCACGATAGCTCCAAAGAGATGCAATAAGCAACATTTAAGACTTTCCTTGAGATGTTCACTTTCCTGAAAACATTCTGTAAATATAATACACAAACAAAATGTAAGATTTCCCTTTCATGATGTGATTTATCTCAAGTACTGTCTAGCAATGAAACATTAGAAATAAGTTTGTGAAAAGGTTAAATTTTGCTAAGAAAACAAAGTTACTAAGCAGTTTTTCATAGGAAAGGAAACAAGAAATCATGTATCAGGTAGTAGTTTTTATAAATTTTATTTGAGGCATCATTATTTATAATACCGTTAATAGCATTTCATGCATACAAAATACCAAAACCCCCTCTCCCCGGAATCCATTTCCCTCACCATTATTTCAGTATGCCCTGTCTCTACCAGTTCCTTCTCCATGATAAACTCAGTTCTGTCAACCAGTTCTCACCTTGCTGCCTTTGACCACTAGTTACTATTACTAACTAGTAATTACGAGTTCTCTCTCAGCTTCTTGCTACCATTTTTAAAAGAATAAATAGGAAGTCACAAGGCTATTGATAGAAGATAACCCAAGACAAACATATGCTCAGAAGTCTTCTTTTTGATATATTTTTGCTTTGGGGCCACACCCAGGAGTGCTCAGGGTTTACTCCTGGCTCTGATCTCAGAGAACACTCCTGGTAGGCTCAGGAAACCATATGTAGTTGCAAGGGTTTGGGTCCATAACACTACAATGATGCATCATAATTTACTAAATCAGTTCTCTACTGATAATTTTATATGCTTTTACCATTTTTATGATTCTAATAGTTGAGCACCCACTTTTATATGTTTGTTTTTGCTTAATACAATCCCAGTGTGTTGGATTGCAGTTCCAAACATTTTTGACTTAACATTAGGCTGTCACTGGAAGGACACAAAGAGCTTAGGTTAACTGAATAACACCCACCACAGTGCTCCCCAGGCACACCCAAATTCCACTGGGGCACTCCCAATTCTCCATGTTTATCTTTGACCTCTCCTTTGTGCACTTCTTCTATCTATAAGTCACAAATATCTCCAAATCAGACTTGGTAACTTGTAAAGTCAAACCTTTTGATGGCTCTGAATTTTGCATATATAAGTGAAATACTGCTTTTCTCTTTCCTTTATATCCTTTGCATAGTGCTTTTTGTATAGACACAAAGAGACAGATAATGCTACGCTTTTGTACTATGGGAATTAACGGACTCCGAATAATACTTATTCCTAGGGATCTGTCATATTTACTTAAGTCTCAGTTGCCCTTAGACCAACCTTAGTTCCTATTGAGGGACTTGGATGGGACTGAGACAAGCCCTAAGCTACCATTGCTTTGACATGGGACAACCTAAGCACCATAAGAAGTATAATAAGAGCATGGTCATGGAACAAACTCTGACATGACTCAAAAAGAAGTAATTGAATAAGGATCCTACCGAGGTTAGGAAAAACAAACCTGACCTGAGGACTGCAGTCTGAGAAATATAGCAAGATGTCCTCAGGAAAAGCCAACCCTTACCATGAATCCAGAGAGATATTTTAAGCTTAATCTAGGGTATAGATAAAAGTCAGTATCTCTTACTTACTGTGTTTATACAAAATGACTAGAAATATTATTAAGAAGAAAATTTAATGTGATTGTTTAAATGGATTACTAGTAAAGGAACAAAGAAAGCAATATGCCCTTAGATAAAATTCCACCCTTGGGCAGTTCTTATAGAAGGAATCTAGAGTAATGGAGCCCTTAGATGAAATTCTGTCCTTGGGTGAACATCCTAGAAGAATGTCCTCTGAAGGAGGGGCTTTACAGCTATTCATTGTTTATGTTAATGTTTAACTACACTTATTTCTGTAACTGCTGTCCTCCGACCCCTCAAGATTTCTCTATAATAATCCCGCATTTGAATAAAGTGCCACTGATTACCAGCCCATAACCTCCTTCCTTCATCCATTGGCCAGGGGGTCATTCATCAACCCTGAATGTACCCGGGTCCCCCATCACCACTGGATGGTGACAACACCACTGGGTGTTCAGAGGTTACTCCTTGCTCTGCACTCCAGAAACACTCCTGGCAGTGTTTGGGGGACCATATGCAATGCTGGTGAACTAACCCTGGTCTGACACATGCAAGGCAAATGCTCTACCTCCAGTACTATCTATCACTCCAGCCCCGTGAGGAACATTTTTTATACATCATTACACACCAAAACAAAACCATTACAACAGAATTCAGTACAGTGAGTTGACATAAACTAACAATTAAAAATCAAATTCATTTCAGCTATACTACACACGAGATTTCATTAAACATAAGATCTCTCTTTAAAACAACTAAAAATATGTGCAAGGTAGATTCTAAAATTGTCCTAGAACTGTGATATACAAGAAAAGCAAAGTGAGCTCATGGATCACCTTCACTTCCCATTTATGAGCAACTGCACAGGTGGGAGTAATCCTCAAAAGGAAAAAAAAAAAACAAAATAACTTCTTTCTTTTTCAAATATTAATATAATTAGAATTAACATAATAGAGGTAGAAGACTGAAAGAGGTTTGGAAAGGTTGAGGCAGATGCAATTTATGAAAGCATCACTGAAAATTAAGGAAGTTATGTGGAAAAATCTCTTCAAGAATATGCACAGGGCTCAGTTTAAGAATCAATCTACAGGCGCTGGAGCAATAGCACAGCGGGTAGGGCATTCACCTTGCACGCAGCCAACCGGGGTTCGATTCCCAGCATCCCATATGGTCCCCCGAGCACCGCCAGGAGTGACTGCTGAGTGCAAAGCCAGGAGTGAAAATAAATAAATAAATAAAACAAACCAAAAAAAGAGGCTGGAGCGATAGCACAGCGGGTAGGACGTTTGCCTTAACACAGCCGACCTGGGTTTGATTCCCAGCATCCCATATGGTCCCCCAGCACCACCAGGAGTAATTCCTGAGTGAAGAGCCAGGAGTAACCCCTGTGCATCGCCAGGTGTGACCCAAAAAGCAAAAAAAAAAAAAAAAAAAAAGCCAGGAGTAATCTCTGAGCATCGCCAGGTGTGACCCAAAACAAACACACACACACACACACACACACACACACACAGAATCAATCTACATAATGATAGTGAAAAATTATAAAATAGGAAAAAGTATAAAGAGAAGCCATTAGTTGAATAACTCAGATTTTATAGTGATGGATGATGACTGTTCTGTTGAACTACACACATAGAAAACATATACTAAAAAAATAAAAATATATACAACATAAATGAATAAGATTGGAGTCATTATATTAATATTTGAAAAAGAAAGCAAGATATATTAAACAAAGGGTGCTGGAGAGATTGTACAGGAGGTAAGGCAGTTTAAATCCCTTGCACTGCACATGTTCCTCTAGGTACCAAAGCTCAGTCCTAGACCATGAACATTACCTAGCATGCCTCAGAACACCTACCCCACACACATACAAATAGAAAGAGTGAAAGAAAGAAATATTAATTAGGCAAGGCAAAAGTGCAATGGGCCAGAGTGATAGTACAGTGGGTAAAATGCTTGGTTTACACATGGTGGGGATTCAATCAATCAATTAAATACTTTGGGTGAAAGTATTTGGGATAAAGTATAAAGTACCAAAATATGTACAAAACTTTATGTTGAAAGCAAAAAAAAAAAATAGAGGCAGGCATACTCAGAGATGTTCAGGGATTACTTCTGGCTCTGCACTCAGCAATCACCCCAGGCAATATTCGGGGGGATCATATGGGATATTGGGGATGGAACATGCAAAGCAAATGCCCTACCTGCTGTACAACTGTCCCAGCCCCAAATTTCTTACAGAAATAAATAATATAAACAATGATATGCTAGACTGAAGAAATAAATAACATAATCAATGTCATTAGATTCATGAATTTGAAGTCTCAATGTTCTTAAAATGAGAATTTTCTTCAAATCCCAACTAAAATTCCAGGACTCCTTCTATAGAAATTGAAATATGTATTCTTAAATGTAGCAGAGCCTGGCATGCTCCCCGTGGTGCATTCAATATGCCAAAAACAGAAACAACAAGTCTCACAATGGAAACGTTTACTGGTGCCCATTCGAGCAAATTGATGAACAATGGGAGGACAGTGCTACAGTGCTATTCTAAAATGTATAACAAAATATAAAGAGGAGTAAGAGAGTATACAGGTAGTAAGGCATATGTCTTGCATGCAGTGGACCTGGTTTGAGTCCCAACACTCTATGTGGTCCCCAAGAGCCCAACCAGGAGTGATCCCTGAGTGCAGAGCCAGGAGCTCTGAGCATGTATTCAGCATGTATCTGAAATAACCAAAGCAATCTGAAAATGAACCAAGTTGAAGGAATGAACCAAGATTTAAAGACTCTAAACATTGCCACTCAATGCCTCTCTTGCAAACCACAGGACCCAAAAGGAGAGAGAGAGAGCAAAAGGGAATGCCCTGCCACAGAGGCAGGGTGAAATGGGGGGATAGGGGGTGAGAGGGATGCTGGGACCCCTGGTGGTGGAGGATGGGCACTGGTGGAGGGATGGATACTTGATCATTGTATAACTGAAACCCAAGCACAAAAATTTGTAAGTCTATAACTGTACCTCATGGTGTTTCAATAATAAAAAAAAATTTTTTTAAAGAAATAAAAGTAAAACATTGAAAAAAATAATAAAGACTCTAAACAGCATAAGTTGTGTGTAAAAGGAATTCTGAAATCAATCCATATTACAATGCTGACTGACTTTTTATAAAAGTCCCAAGGTAATTCAGTAAGAGGAAAAAGTCTTTTCAACAAGTGTTGTTACAGAACACTGTATAATTAAAATCTAATCATGAACAGGTTTGTAAGGGTCTATCTGAAAAAGCAATTTTTTTCTAAACGTTGGTACAATAATAACAAAAAACTTATTTTGGATGGAAAATACTATCTCAAAATGTATTAAGTAAGCTAAACGTAAAAGTTCATAAAAGAAAAAACACAGGAAAAACTGCATGACCTTCAGGCAAGCAAGATTTCTGATTAAGTACAAAAACTACAGCTCATTAAAAAAAGAATGTTTAAATTAGATTCCACCTAAGCTGGAAACTTCTGTGCCTTAAAAGATTCCACTAATTAAATGAAAAGGCAAACTTAACAGGATGCAATTCTCCCAGTGGCCAAGTATGGAACAATTTCAGCATTAAAAAGAGTGACCAGGGTTAAGGGCTTGTGCATGCCTTGCATACAAAGGCCTAAAGTTGTATTCCCAGCACCACAAGGTGTCCCGAACACTGCTTGGTGTAATCGTGGTAACCCTTAGCACCACTGGGCCTGAGCAGCACCTTACTACTTATCCAAGACCTAAATCTTCAGGCCCACACAGTTAGTTCAAGTAATACTGGGGTGACCCCCAAGGCCCCTGAGCACTACTTCAGAGGCTCCTGCCTCCTCAAAATGGAGGGACTACAACTGACTATAAAATATAATCCAGTGAAGGTTGGGAATGTGACCCAGTGGAAGAGCCCTGCTTTGTAATCCCTGGTGGTACACATAATTCTTATTGAATGCATGCTGACCATATGAAGCTGATGTCTTTTGAAGGATTGCCCAAAGGGTCAACACATACATAAGAAGTGACTATTATTTTAAATTCATTTCAAAAACTGAGAGTAAAAGAACAAGATTTAAGCATGTAAGTATTTTTAGGAACATCTGTAGTTTATCTCCAGTTATGTAGTTAATAATTTTGTAGAATACCTTCAGAACATAGTAGCTGGTGAGTGGATAAGGACAACAAAATTTTGAAAACACACAATTTAGGGCCAAAAAGATGGTACAGGGGTTAAGACACTTGCCTTGCAAACAGTCAACACTTCAACACTGGTTTAATTCCAAGAGTCCTATGAGTCCCTAAGAGTTGCCCAATACTGCCCCAGGGCCCCTGAGCACCACAGACTATGGTCCTGGAGGTGCAAGTACTATTGAAGTGGCCAGATAATTCCCAGCACCACAAGTCATTTGCATTGAACCAATGTCCTGGTTATTCAAGCGCACGCACAACACACACATACACACACTGCCATGACTAGAAAATTCAATTCTTAGGAAAAAATTTAAAACTTTTTTTAAAAGTACATCATAGAAAACAAATCACAGCAAAATACCAGAATTAGAAATAGGCAAAGTAACATCAAAATAAAGTAAAAATCCAAGTTTTTACTTACGATAAAAGAAAGGTACAAACTCTACTGTGAGAGAAGCTGGTTTATATTTCTGTCTGCTCCTTTCCACAGTACTAAGTGTCCGTCTATGATTTAAAAAAAAAAGTTGATTAAAAAATCATAATAGTTACAAAAACAATTTTGAACAAATTTAATATTTTACTTTTGATTTGTGTACTGAACAACATATCTCCGGGATTTATATAATCTTCAAAAAAAAGTTGAGCTAATAACTTAAATACTAATCAATGAAAGGATTTATTCTTTGGAATTAAGTAAAAACTTTCTAATCACATTAACAGTGTAGCAGAGCATCAGATTAAGTCTCCAAACAAGTGGAAATTTAAGAAAAACCTCCTGCTGGAAATTTAAAATATTCTATCTATGATAGAACTTGTCCAACAGTAGTGCAAATCTGACAGCTAACATAGTAGTTTATTACCATAGTGAAACTAAAATTAACCAGCAATTTTTTAAAATTTCAGCCAGACACAGTGTCAGTACTGGTGACTTCTTTCATTTTAAATGTTGTAGATTCAGTATTGATGGATTAAAAGTAGTTTTGATGACTAAAATACATAAGGCAGTGACAGAACTTTATAAGAAAAAACCCTCCAACCCCATCTAAAAAAGGGGGAGAAGAAATGAACAGAAACTTCCTCAGAGAAGAACAAGAAAACTAGTGCTGGCATGAATCTGGGGAGAAAGGGACTCTCATTTATTGTTGGTGGGAATGCTGGAAGATCCAGCCTTCTCGGAAAACAATATGAGTATTCCTCAAGAAACTAGAAGTTGTGTTTCCATATGAACCCGTGATATCACTTTTGGGAATTACTTCCAGGTGCAAAAACACAAGAAGAAATGACATCTGCACTTGTATGTTCATTGTAGCACTGTTCACAATACCCAGAATCTGGAAACAACCCAAATGCCCAAGAACAGACGACTGATTAAAGAAACTATGGTACAACTATACAATGAAATACTATTATAAAGGTATTAGAAAAAAAATGAAGTTATAAAATTCGCTTATAAATGGATGAACATGGAGAGTATTATGCTGAGTAAAGTAAGTCAGAATGAGAAGGATAGACATGGAATGATCGCACTCATTTGTGGAATATAAAAAAAAAACATAGTATGAGACTAACAACCAATGACAGTAGAAATAAGGGCCAGGACTAATGGTCGATGGTTCAAAATCTGACTCAATGGCTAGGGGAGAAGTCAACTAGGATAGAGTAGGGAACATTTGACAATGATGGTTGGAAGGGATCACTCTGGATAGGAGATGCGTATTGAAAATAGACTAAGGACCAAACATGATGGCCTCTTAGCATCTGTATTGCAAACCATAATGGCCAAAAGGAGAGAAAAGTAAGAAAGAAGGTGCTTGCTGCAGAGACAGGGGCTTGGATGGGGTGAGGGTGGCAGGAGGGATAATGGGAACATTGGTGGTGGAAAATGTGAACTGGTGGAGCAATGGGTGCTCAATCATTGTATAACTGAAAATCATAAAAGTTTGTAACTATATATCACGGTGATTCAATAAGAAAAAATATAAAAATGATAGCTATGTAAAAAATTGTTTAAAAAAGAATCCTATTCAAATTCTCACATTTTTTCATTAAAATGTTTTCCATTTGCATTTACTTGATGCTTTCTCACAAGTACATTCAGGTCATTCAATTCTGGCTGAAATACTACATAAACAAAGTGTTCTAAGAAAATCACAGAAGGAGGTACATGATGTCCATCTGCTTCTTACTAATGCTAAGTTTGCTCATCTAGTCATTGTACTATCCAGTACTGTACAAAATGACTGCTAATTTTTATTTGCAATAAATAATCGGTAAAGAAATATTTTTTCATGAGAAATATTTTAAGACCACATAAAAATCATACTCCTTATCAAAAAAACTTCTCCCTATGACCACAATGGCAAAGACAATAAAAACAGCAAATGGGACTATATCAAATTAAAAAGACCCTACACAGTGAAAGAAACTCAAGCCATAATAAAAGTCTCACTACTGAATTGTAAAAATATTTGCACACAACACATCAGCCAAAGGGTTGATATCCAAGATCTATAAAGTACTCACAAAACTCAACAACAAAAAACCCAGTGACTCATCCAAAAATGGAATAAGAAGATGAATAGATGCTTTCCCAAAGAAGACATAAGGACAGTCAACAGGCATATGAAAAAGTGTTCATAACTCATTGTTAGGGAAATAAAAATCAAAACAATACTTGATAAAGGTATTAGAAAAAAATGAGGTCATGAAATTCGCTTATAAATGGATGGACATGGAGAGTATTAGGCTGAGTAAAGTAAGTTAGAATGAGAAGGAAAGACACAGAATGATTGCATTCATGCCAGTGAGAACAGCACGTATCAAAAAGTCTGGAAACTACCAAAGTTGGTGGGGTTGTGGTGAGAAAGGAACCCTCAACCATTATTGGTAGGAACATCATCTCGTTTAGCTGCAATAGAAAGAAATATGGAGATCTATCCAAAAGATTGTATAGAAATAGAACTCTCATATGATGCAGCAATATCATTTCTTGGCATCTATCTCTAAAACACTAACATGTTAATTAGAATGACTAAAGGCACAACTATATTCATCACAACACAGTATAACAGCCAAGATATGGAAACAAGCCAAAATGCCCACCTACAGATGAATGAAGAAGCTGTGAGATTATATATATATATACATATATATATAACTTATATAGACAATATAATTTTTATATATTACATATAATTATACTGTTCTCAGAAGAACAAAGTCATGCAAATTTTAACAACATGAATGGGAGAAGAAGACCTCACATTTAGTGAAGTCAGTCAGAAAGGGACAAAGATAGAATGATCTCATACCTGAGACTTAAAAGCACACAACAAGATAACAACAAATGCCCAAAGGAAACACAATGAGAACACAACTAAGCTGATGGGAAAGTGGAGGGTGAGAGGTTGTTGTGGTCCTTGGGAGAGAGAGGTGGGTATACTGATGATGGTTGTAGTATTGGAATTATGTGCATGAGAAACCATCACTAACAGTATTGTAAATGGCAGAATCTCAATAAAAAAGTAACTAATAACAAAAAAATTCTCCCTAGATTCAATATCCTAATGAAACCTTTACTACAATGTATACAAAATGTTAATTTGCCCCCCAACATTAGCATCCCCAGTATACTTACTAATTACTGTAAGCAAAAGCCCTCTCTTTTCTTTGATATATCTATCTAATCACTAGTATGTACTCATGAATTCTCTCTTTTCCCCAATGTTTATGATTCTTTATTATAATTAAATATTTTAGTGTATAGAGAGCACCATATTTGGTAAGCAGCAGCCCTAGGACATAACAATATGATTATGTTTTTCTGGGCAGACAATGAGTCCTGCTGAACTTGCACTGGGCAAAAGTATAAAGGCAATAGACTTTTTTTTTTTAGGAAAATAAATACTTGAATAAAATCATTTTGAGAGGTTCCCCCCCCCCGCCCTCCATACTTACTTTAGTTCCACTTGAGGAATTTTTTCTAGACATCTGAGATTCTATGCATAGTAGCAAAACTGAGGAATTATATTATATTAATTTTAATAAAATCTGTGTTAATCTGTTTTAGCTCTATGGTAATCAAAGAGCATGAACAATAAATTTAGTATGTTCAAAATTTCCATTTAACTTCAGAATCATCTTCCTGTTCCATCTATCCAGTCACAGTAAATTTGAGAGGAGCCTCCCAAGCAGTGCTCTGGGCAATATTCAACAAACCCAGCAAGTAGGTCAGTGTTAGGATCTAAGGATGCAAAGCTACTTGCACCCTGTCATGCCTGAGGGAACCCTAGTGGTGCTTGGGGTCCTCCAGGGCTGCAACTGAAAACCCAGGTAGTGCCAGGGTTCAAATCTGGTTCATTTCACACTAACCACTGTACCATGTCTGTAGCCCCAGTGAGAGTTAATTTTATGTGGCAACATGGGGCACTGTTTTAGAAGATGTTAACACTTAATAAATTCTGAGTAAGGGATATGGCTCTCCAGAAAGTGCCTCATCCAAACAGTTGAAAGTCGATTAAAACTTTCAGTAAAACCAAAAGAACTGGCCTCTCCAAGTAAGAGGAACTTCTCAAGCAGATTGTCTTTGCACAACCACTTCTGAGTCTCAGTCTGATATTCAGACTGACTAGATCAATTTTCCACCTGTCAACCTTTGGACTAGAATGACACTATTGTCTTTCTTAGATTGCAAGCATGCCCACCCATACAGCAAATATGGATTTTCCAGTCTCTCTAATCATGTGAGCTAATGGTTATAATAAAACTCTTACACACACCTTGTTATGTTTCTATGGAGAGCCCTGACTAATAAAGACAACTCTCAAGGATACAGGAAAGCAAATAAGGAAATAGAACTACTATTTTAATAATATTTTTCCTGTATTTCTTTGTAATCCTTTAAAATACACACACAACACACACACACACACACACACACACACACACACACACACACACCTCATCAGCAATGCTCTAAGAAGAGTGGAAGTTACTCCTGGTGAAAGCCTGCCCATGTGTGCAGGTCTGACAGTTTAGTCTCTGGTAGCCACACCTGACAGGGCTTATTCAATGCTAAGAGGACAAACACAGGGCCCCATACATGTAAAGAATACCCTATTAACCTTTTTTTAAATATATACTTTAATGAATCACCATGAGATAGTTACAGACTTACAAACTTTCATGATTATGTTTCAGTCATACAATAACTGAGTACCCATCCCTCCACCAGTGCCCATTCTCCATCACCAATGTTCCCAGTATTCCTCCCGCCACCCCTCTCCCCCGCCTTTGTGGCATGCACATTCTCTTTTACTCTCTCTCCTTTTGGGTATTATGGTTTGCAATACAGGTAGTAAGTGGCCATCATGTTTGGTCTATAGTTTACTTTTAGAACACATCTCCCATCCCGAGCGAGCCCTCCAAGCATCATTCACTTAGTGGTCCCTTCTCTATTCCAGCTGCCTTGTTCCCCAGCATGTGAGGTCGGCTTCCAAGCCGTGGAACCCTATTAACCTTCAAGTCAATCCACTTTCCTCATCCCACCCCTCCCCCCTTTTTTTCCACACCCAGCTATGCACAGAAGCTTACTCCCAGTTCTATGCTCAGAAATCACTCCTGGATGGCTTGGGAACCATATGTGGTACCAGGGATTAAACCTGAGTCAGCAGCATGCAGGACAAGAGCCTTACACACTGTACAATGTCTCTGGCCTGCTTACTCTTGTACTTCTATTTCTTCTGCTTTGATTAAAGGATACTTTCTGATTTTAATAAAGTATCACCATATATGAACTGGGACATGGCTTAAAGGGCTAAAATGCATCCTTAATTGGCAGGAGCTCCAAGTTAAATACTCAGCACCACATGGTCTCCAAGGACTGACCTGGGTAGCAATCCCTGAGCATTGCTGGGTATGATCCAAGAACACAACAAACCATCACTATACAGAGCATACAAAACACTACTAACATTAATGTTCTCTCTGTTATTCATCACTCTCTATTAAAGAAGGCTGTCCTCTGGCAGTCAAACACAGCAGTAACAAAATTATTTAAAGTGGTAATTGCTTGTAAGTGGGTCAGATTGAAATAAAATGGAATGGAAAAATCTCAAAGTTGAAATTATAACAGATTTCAGGGTTCTAAAAAGGAGGTCGAATTGTGAAAGATGATAAACTCATTTTATCCTGTGCTTACAGGTAAAAATAGATATGTAGGTTTCAATTCTCTTCTATTTCAGCTCTGGTATTTATTCTACTGTCACTCTAAATCCTTCAACTAATATTCTATCTGACTGGTGATGCTTGGGAGAGGTATCCTGCAAGCTATTTTCCTGCTCTTCAACTGTCGGGGCTCTGCTAATAGTGGTACTAAGAGTAGGAAGAAGGAAAGTTAAAAAAAAAAAAAAGACTTAGTCTTTTATTTTCTTTAACCAATCAGAACTTTTATCTTTCCAGTCACAGTTTTTGACTCTTTAGTTTAGTACTGGTCTCCTCAAGCTTGTTTGGCATTACTCCTTCCTCAAAAGAGCTAAGCAATGCTCCCTCCTCAAAGTCAGAGTCCCAGCACTCCATTCCTTCTCTAAACTTCTAGCTTCTCCAGTCTCTTCTCTTTGTACCCACAGTCCCAGGGAAGTAGCAGTTTTCTGAAATCATCACATTTCGATTATTTCAATGTCCCGTTTGTCTTTTGAATTCTTCAATGTCAATTTTTTTTATAGGTTTATTTATTGAATCACCGTGAGAACAGTTACAATGCTTTTGGGTTTAAGTCTCAGTCATATGACGATCAAACACCCACCCCTTTACCAGCGCACACTTTCCACCACCAAAAACCCCAGTATACCCCCCATCCCACCACTACTCCTACCTGTGTGGCAGATATTTTCCTCATTACTCTCTATTTGGGGCTAGAGCGATAGCACAGTGGTAGGGCGTTTGCATTGCAAGTGGCCGACATGGCCGACCCGAGTTCGATTTCCTCTGCGCCTCTCGGAGAGCCCGGCAAGCTACCAAGAGTATCTCGCCTGCACAGCAAAGCCTGGCAAGTTACCTGTGATGTATTCGATATGCCAAACACAGTAACAATTGTCACAATGGAGATGTTACTGGGTCCGCTGGAGCAAACTGATAAACAACGGGAGGACAGTGACAGTGACTCTCTATTTTGATTACCTTCAATATTTCAGTATCAGTCCTATCATAATTATTTGGAATTTTCCCCCAACACTCAGACCTACCAAAAAGGCAACATTAGACAATTTGTTTTCTATTGCTGATTATGAATACCATATGATGTCTCACAGCCACACGATTTTGGAATTCTGAAATTTTAATAATTAAATCTGGAGAGATTTCTGCCCAAAGCCACTGGGTTCCAAGATTCGTTTGTCTCTGGGACCATGACCAATAATTAGCCGAAGGGGCCACTCATGGGCAGCATCTCAGGGTCTGGACGGGGCAGGGAAGGAGAAGGACTGGCTCCACCCCTATCCTGTGAGGACCTGCATGTCTCGTCACTGCTGGCCTGTACCTGGAATGTCCAATGGGATCTGGAAGATGGCGGCCGCCGAGCTTCCTGGGAAATAGGTGGAGGGACAACACCTTTTCCCACCTGGGGTGGCCTGGCACCCATGGCCTATTGCAAAGTCCAGATGCATTTCTGCCAAAAGCTGCTGGGTTCCAAGATCTGTTTGTGTGTCTCTCTCCAATATCAATTTTAACAACTTCCTTGTATTATAGGCTTTTTTTTTCAATAATTCATACAGTTTCTGTTAACTTAACCAAAGCAAGGACCACAACTAAAACAAACAAATACACAGCTAAATATCTTTTTTCAGAGAGCCAGGAAGACAGATCCAAAGACTGAACCACATATCCTGCAAAGTCCCAACATGTCCCACATGTTCTCATCCCAGCACTGCTGGAAGTTGCTTTGTATCTAACAATACTGGACCCAAGCAGCATCACACTGTCTGGTCCAAGCACTGACCTATCAGTTCTGCACCACTGTGCCAAGTATCACAAATAAATAATAACCAGAATAAAAAGATATCTCACAGAATGGGAGAGAATGTTTGTCAACCACTCATCTGAAAAATGGTTAATACCTAAGATATATAGAACACCTGTAAAACTTAACAACAGTGAAACATATGAACAGAGAGAAGAGATGAACAAATATTTCCTGAAAGAAGACATCCAGATGGCTAACAGTTATATGAAAAAATGCTCTCCCATCACTCATCAGAGAAATGCGTACCAAAACAACAATGAGATATTATACCCTCACACCAGTAAGACTGATACTTTTTTTTTAAATGGTATTGGTGGGGATGTAGGGAAAAAGGAAAGCTCATCTACTGCTGGTGGGAAGTCAACTAGTTCAATCTCTTGGAAAACAACATGGATACTTCTAAAAATATGTTCACTTTACTTGATACTATTGTGCTTCAGAAATGTCCTCTCCACTTAGCACTGAACTGCACTTCAAAATAAAATTTCAAAGTGTTAAAAACCAAACCAACCCCTAAGTAGAGTCACTTATGCTATGCCTCATCATCAAGTCCAAACCTTAATTCAATTAGTAAATACAGTTGACTTCTCCTAGAAGCAGAATATTAATCTATCATATACTCACTGGCTAAGTGCTAGTAATTTACCTAACATACATCTATCATTCCCTAAAGAAAAGTCATCTTGCTTCAACAAATTTGCATTTTTTCAGTAGAGTCTCAGTGATATTTTGGGATATGGGGGCCATTACCCAAGATGACTGCTACTTGGTCTGCTGGTGCACATTCACCTCTTTGAATCATCTTCGTGGCCCACAGACAAGTCCCATTTTTCACTAATTTAACTTCCTTGCTCCCTTTGCCTATAAAAGTCATTTGCAGAGCCAGAGAAATAGCAATAGTGCTTATCTGCATCTGTGAAGCCCTGGGCTAGATTTCCAAGCCACACACACAAAAAGTCTCATTCTGCATAGATAAGGGGTTTCTTTTCTTTCTTTTCTCCCTCCCTACCCTTCCTCTCCCTTTCCTTTCCCCCTTCTCTTATTTTTTGGCTACACTAAGAAGTGTTCAGGGGCTACTCCCAGCTCTGTGCTGTGCTCCTGGTGGTGCTCAGGAGACCATGTAGTTCCAGGAACCAAACCCTCCTGCATGTGCTGCAGCCATTGAGTTGTCTCTCCTGGTCCAAGTGACATCCTTTCTAACTGCAAGATGGAATCCTGCCGACTCATGAATTGTTAAAGACAGGAAGATCGTTAAATTTACTCAGTTGAATTTTGTTTTACCACAAAGATAAATTATCTGGAACTGGGCATTCTTTAGCTCACCTTTCTTTAGTTTAAAGGTAAATTATCTGGAACTGACCTGTAACATGGTTCCCTACCTCATAAATAGAGATAGGGGTCATTTATACATATTACAAACTGTGTTTTCACAACAAGGAAGAAGAATGGCACATATTGTAATATTCAAATACTAAATAAATGTGATTGAAAATATAAATCAATATACATAAGTTATCTGATCAAAAACAAATAAGCATGATTTACAAGACATACCCTGAAATTCTGTGCCTCCAGTTCCTATAAGGATCATATAAACTTTCACAAAATGCCAAAGCATGGATCACAAATTCTTCAATGGAAGTTTGATCTGCCAATTCTTTCTCTTTTGTTTTGCTTTTCAGCTAAGAATGAAGTTAAAGTTATAATTACTTAGTTATATAAATTGTATAACATCCTTATCTACCATTACTAAACCCTACATATTTCATTTAACATACAATAATAGATCACTTTTATTCAAATAAGTTTAAGTTTCACTTGAGTCTAACGAGTCAGATAATCATATGAAGTAGACGAACCTCCTAAATTTTAAATATTTCCTAAAAAAGGCTGCAAATGTCTTTTATAAACATCCTTTCCAAAATAAAATGTTTCAATTAGAAGTTTGATCTATACACTAAGAAGTGAGAAACTGTCATTTTAAACAGTCATTAATAAAACAAATTATAAACTAAAATTTAAAACTGCTTATCTAAGTAACATATAAAATATAACATATATAACATATATAAAATAATATTCAATGATAATTCTCAGTTATTACTTCCTCAGAAAGTATTTACACTGTATATAAAATTAACAATATTAATAATATATATAAAACAATGCTAAAAATGTATTAAAAATATAAATATATATACGTACATGTATACAGACAAATTTTAGTTTTTAGACCACAAGCATCAGTACTCAGAGGCTACACACAATTAGTGCTCAAGGGACATCAGCGGTATTCAAGTTCAAAGAATCATGCGGTGCTGGGGAATGAACTCAGGCCTCCTACATCAAAGCAAGCACTCCATCCAATCTTTTGAACTATCTTCTTAGTCCCACCAAATATACAGATAACTAGATATATAAATATATACTTGGTACCATTAAGAATAAACACACACATACACACACACCATACAATTTTGGGTTTGTTTTTTTTTTGGCCACACTTAACAGTGCTTACTGGCTCTACACACAGGATTTACTTTTGGCAGTGCTCAGGGGATCATACAGGATGCCAGGGATCGAATCCAGGTCAGCCACATGCAAGGCAAGCACCCTATTCACTGTACTATCTTCCCCACCAATTTTATTTTAAAGAGTAAAACCTTGGACTGGAGGGATAGTACAGCAGTTAAGGCACTTGCTTTGCACAGAACTGACCAGGGTTCCAATTCTCAGCACTGCTTATGGTCTCCCCATGGCTGCCGGATGTGATCCCCGAGGACAGAGCCAGGAGCCAGGAGTAACGCCACATACTACCACGTGTAGTCTCAAAATAAAATGTAAAGATTAAAACCTTACTTTTGTAAGTTAAACAACTAAAGGAATGCATTAATTCAACTTACTTGCTGAATATAGAGTGTTGTCATAGTGATGACATGATTAATGTACGAACAAGTCCCAATCTCTTCAACGTTAGATAGATTTCTGTAAAAAAATACACTTATTTATATATTTATGATATATGAATAGCAAGAAGAATGCATTTCCATATATTTAAGTTTAATTTTGAATGGATATATTAGTAAATAAAATACAAGTGATATTGATTTTTTTAAAAAAAATTTTAAAATCAATCTATGTCATCTTTTTCTTGGCATAATATACTTAATTTTCTGTTTGAAGATACTGTGACCTTGAAAAGACCTTTGAAATTCCATAGAAAACATAAAAACCAATTGAATTAAGAGACATGCTAATGTAAGAACTTTACCTGGCATGACATCTTTCAGAGAAAAAATTAAGAAGTAGACAGAAGGACAGACATAGAATGACTGAACTCATTTGTGGAATATAAAATAACAATGGGAGACTAACACCCAAGGACAGTAGAAATAAGGGCCAGGAGGATAGCTCCATGGCTTGGAAGTCTGCCTCACATGATGAGGGAAAAGGCAGCTGAGATAGAGAAGGGACCACCAAGTGAGAGTTTGGAAGGCTCACTCAGGATGGGGACTGTGTGCTGAAAGTAGACTATGATGACCATGTAGTAACCGTATTGCAAACTATAACACCCAAAAGGAGAGAGAGAGTAAAAGAGAATGTGCCTGCCACATGGGGGGGGGGCTTGGGGGATGGGGGAGTGGTGAGAGGGATATTGGGAACATTGGTGGTGAAGAATGGGCACTGGTGGAGGGATGGGTACTCGATCACTGTATGACTAGAACATAATCATGAGTAAATAAGTCTGTAACTGTACCTCATGTTGACTCATTAAGAATAAAAATTAAAGAAAAAATAAAGAAAATAAATATTGAAAATGAAAAATGAAGAAGTAAAATTTGAAGAACACAGAGAGGATTCTGGGAAGATGGCAAAATAAGTATTGGGAATCAGTCTCTAAACCTACAAACTGCACTGGCAGAAAAGGTCTAATATTTTGGAATCCAAGAGTCTTAAACTTGCAACTTTCAGGGCAAGAACTAAATAGTAAATTTAATTTACTGTGATCAGCCAATGTCAGTTATCAGCATAGTAGCAGCTACCTATCACTAATTCCTAGCCTGGTGGATGACAACTATGAACATGCTCCTCAAACAGGGGCTGAAGAGACAGAACAGCGGGTAGGAGTTTGCCTTGTGCATGCCCAACCTGGGTTTGATCCCTGTCATCCTATATGGTCCCCTGAACAATGCCAGGAGTAATTACTGAGTACAGAGCAGGGAGAGTAACCTATAAGCATAGCCAAGGATGACCCAAAGACTGAAATCAAACAAACAAACAAACAAACAAACAAAATCCTGTTCCTAAAGCAGCCTGCTAACAGAACAAAGCACTCAAGAGTATTCAAGAAGAACTCTAATTCCAAACATAGGGAGTCTCTGCTCTGATCACTTGATGCTACTTCAACTCAGAGAGGTGCTGTTAAAATGTGTGCAATCACAGTTGCACCCACTCCTCCCACATGTGTTACAAACCCCTCCCGAGCTCTCTGAAGAAAATTCTCATTGATCATTCATTCCCTGACCCTTAATCTTTTGCTTTTTCAAATTTCAGGAGTCAGATCTTGAATATTAAGATATACAAAAACAACTGCACATACAAAAAAAAAACTGAAAACTGACTACATATGCCAAGGGAAAGAATCAGAGATATGCCTATGGTTCTGACAGATACTAAATCAAAGGAGAAATACTAAAACATTTTAGCAATTACTGGTCATTTTTCCATTCTATCTGCAATGCAGAATTAGAGCCAGAGGGACATGTAAGGTAATTGCCTTGAACTCTGCAAACCCAGGTTCAATCCCCAGCATCCCATATGGTCCCACGAGCACCACCAGGAACGACTTCTGAGTGCAGAGCCAGAAGTAATCCTTGACCATCACCTTTTACTCCCCCCATAAAAAAATACAGAATCCACTGAAAGATAAATAAGTTCTAAGTTTAAATATTTCTGATTAAAAAAATTAAAAGGCAAGTAATATATACTATAGAAAATGGCTATAAAAAAGACAGACTTCAAGATTGTACCTCTAGTCCAATAGATCTCAAAGAATATGTGTGTGTGTGTGTGTGTGTGTGTGTGTCTGTGTGTTCCTGTGCCTGTCTGTCTGTCTGTCTACCTGTCTGTCTCTGTCTGTGTCTGTGTAAAGCCAGGGACCGAATCTGACAATGCCTAAATCTGACTTGATGCATCACAATTTGAGGTATATTCTCTGTCACTGAACTACATTCTCAAGTCATCTCAAAATTTTTACTATTAACATGGAATGTGCACAGAAGTAAAATGTCTGAGCTCGGGGATGGAGTGATAGCACAGCGGTTAGGGCATTTGCCTTGCACGTGGCCAACTCAGGTTCGATTCCCAGCATCCCATATGGTCCCCTGAGCACCACCAGGAGTAATTCCCGAGTGCGTGAGCCAGGAGTAACCCCTCTGCATCGCCAGGTGTGACCCAAGAAGCAAAAAAAAATAATAATAAAAAAAAAGTCTGAGGTCTTTAAAAATTACAATTTTCATTAAGTTAGGCTCAAGCTATGTGTTACTACTGAGCTTCCTGATCCTTATACAAACCAAAAGTTTAAGGATTATAAACCTAAGCAACCTGGAAATGTAATAATAAACCTAATATCCTGGAAAACAAAGTATAAAGTAATTTTACTTTCTTAGTAAAGGATGAAATAAAGACTGATAAAAGTAATACAATAAAAATGTTCATGTTTACAGATGAGGGTAATAAAAAAAAGAGTACAATAGATTCTAGGCTAGCTAAAACCTACTGTTAATTTTCTTTAAAGCAATTTTTTTCAACTTGGCTGAGTCACTAGGTTTAGTGACTAAAAGGTTTTCCAATATAACAACAAATTACAAATCTACAAAAACCAAACTGCTACTGCAAAAGATGTGATTTATCTTGGGGCTGGAGCAATAGCACAGCGGGTAGGGCATTTGCCTTGCACACGACAAACCCGGGTTCAAATTGGCAAACCCGGGTTCGAATTCCAGCATCCCATATAGTCCCCTGAGCACCGTAAGAGTAATTCCTGAGTGCAGAGCCAGGAGTAAGCCCTGTGCATCGCCGGGTGTGACCCAAAAAGAAAAAAAAAGTGATTTATCTTTAAAATACATTATAAAAGAATAGAGACCATTAATAAATGTATTTTAAGTTTGGTAACTACTTAAAGCACGTCATTAATTTGTACCAGATACCTGCAAAGAATAATGAAAAACTTGACAAGCAAAATTGATAAAGCCTGTTGTTCTTCCTCTAAGCCATCTGCCATTTTCTGAACACAATGAAGCAGCTGGATCCTCAGAACCTGAAGGATATTATCAGGAAGCAGAGATATTCCTGGAGGCACATCATCCACTCTAAAATACAAGGGAAACAAAAAAAAAAAAAAAGAAATAGAGTTAAATATAAAAAAAAAAGTCATTGATACTTTATTTTAAACTTATTTATTTTTTTAGTCATTGATACTTGAAAAGAATTGTGAGGCCTGAGAGAGATATTATAGTGGGTTGGGCACTAGCCTTACACATGTCCCATATGTGTTCAAATCCCAGCACCCACCCCTTATGTTCAAATCCCAGCACCCTTTAGGTTTTCCTAAGACCTGCGAAAGAGTGAGCCCTTTTAGGATAACATTGCCACAGGGAGCTTAGGTTTATAGGGTCACATCCATCACAGTGCTCCCAGTCACTCCAATTCTTCTGTTTATCTGTAAACTCTTCTCTGTACTCTCCTCACCAGCCAGTTAATCACCTTTTCTCCCTAATCAGATTCTGTTAGCTTCTTAGATCAGATCCTTCTAAGGACACTGAACTTGATGTAAGTTATGTCTTTTGCATAGTTAACCTTAAAGCAATGTCCTTTCTGTATAGACACAGGAAGGCAGTTAATATTATGCTTTGTAACTTGGGAGTTAATCAACTCTGAATAATATTTACTCCTGGGCATCTGTTTTCTTGACTCAGTTGACCTTAGTTCCTAGCACCCCAAAGGCAGGGTCCCGACGAGGGACTGAATGGACCCAGGGCAAGCTGTGAGGTACCCTGACATCAAAATGGGCCAGGCCAAAGCGCCACGATACTCAACTATAAGTTGAGGGCATGATCATGGACAAATGCTGTCATGATCCAAAAGTAAGTAACAAAGAGACTAGGACCCTGCTGGGGCTAGGAAGACTAATCTGGCTTGAGGACTGCAGAATAGATAGTAAGATATCCTCAGGAAGAACCAAATTGTAAGTTTATATCTCTTACTGTGCTCATACAGAATGACATTGCTAGAAATATTGAAAGTAGATTTACTACAACTAATTAAGTAGATTACTAGCTGAGGAAAGAACACACCCTAGTTAGGATCCCACCCTTGAGCGGATCTCCTAGTAATCCAGAATAATGTCTTTAGATGAGATTTTTATCCTTGAGTTAAGGAGTGGTCTTACCTCTCTTTGCTGATTTGTCAATGTTCAACCCACCTTTGTGTCGCTGCCTTACATGACTGCTATATAAACTAAGACTGTAAGCTTGGTCGGGCGAGAAGGCTCAGGCTGAGGAAGAGCCTGAAGCTCAGACTCAGGCTCAGGCCCGGGCTCAGGCTCGGGCTCAGACTCCAGAGGGTAGAGTCAGAGGTGAGAGGGGCTCAGGCTTGAGAGACAGAAGCAGAAGGGGAGTGAAGATTGGAATAAACTATAATTGATACCGACCAGCATGGCCCTCGTTAGTTCCTTCGCCTGCACATTGCCATCGACCTCCCTGGGGTGGGGAAAGCAACACGAGACTACCAAATGCAGGCCGTGGGAGAAATAGAGCGCCGCCAGATTTTTGAAAACACACAATCCCTGAGCACAGCATAAGTAGAAAGCCCTGAGCACCACTGGGTGTGGCACCCAGAACAATAAATGAAGCTAGCTCTAGACATTCAGAAGATGCTCACCCAGAGCCATGGAATCAACCAACATCAGAGCTGACAACAGCAGCCAGAGTTGGCAAGAATGTGAGGCAAAAGGGAATTTTATTCACTGGCAGGAATGTTGACTGCAACAGCCTTTGTCAAAGACAAAAAGGACATTCCTCAAAAGAACCAAAGAATTGAACTTTCATAGGACATAATAATTCCCCTCCTGGGACTATACCCTAAGGGCCAAAAGGCACTGTGTAGGAAAGACATCTGCACCACCATGTTCACTGCAGCACCATTCACAATAGCCAAAACCGGCAACAACCCAAGTGCCCAAGAACAGAGGACTGGTTAAAGAAACTATTATAAAGGGACTGGAGAGACAGTACAGAAGATATGGCATTGACTTTGCATGTGGTCAACCCAGTTTGAGCCCTGGTATCCCACATGGTCCACTGAGTACTGCCAGGAAAAATTCCTGAGTGCAGAGCCAGGAGTAAACCCTGAGCATTGCAGGGTGTGGCCACACACACACACACACACACACACACACACACAAAGAAACTATGATACATAAAAACAACAGGAAACTACTAGGCTGTAAGAAAAAATTACCTCATGCATTTTGCTGCTACATGCATGGATCTGGAGAATATCATGTTGAGGGAAGTAATCAGAAAAAGAGGGACCAACTCAGAATGGTTCCCTTAATATACGGGATTTAAGAAACTTCAAAGGGGAATATCAATTCCCAAAGGAAATAGAAATATTACTTTGAGCAAGAGAAGTAGTCTTTAATAAGAAGCATATCACTGGGGTGGGGGCTTGGCAGGGTTAAGTTAGGGAAGAGAATACTAGGACTAGGGGGGAGGGAAAATGTGCCAGCCACACAAGTGAAGGGGTGGGTAGTAGAAGGGAAATGGGGGACACTGATGGAGGGTAGTGACATCAGTAAGAGGACTGGTGTTGGAACACTATGCCTGAATCTCAATCATGAATATTTTTGTAAGTTTGTAATTCACGGTGATTCAATTTTTAAAAATTTGCATTTTCAGTTCAAATCCTGAAGATCCTTTATTCCAGGAGGGTGAAAACAAAAAACAACAACAAAAAAGTCTTGGGGGCTGGAAAGATAGTACAGTGATCAGGGCATTTGCATCGTACACTGTTGACCTGGATTTGATCGCCAGCACTCCATGGTCCCCCAAGCTGACTAGAGTAATTCCTGAGCACATAACCAGGAGTAACCCGAGTATCACCAGGTATGATCCAAAAACATAAAAATTTTTTAAAAATTTTAAAAGGAGGGGCAAGCACATATGCTGCCTGAGCACATGTGTCGCCCGCATCACCCCTCTTGAGATGAGTACTTTCATGTTTTCATGTCTAATGCTGGGATGTGTGTAAGGGCTCTCTCCGCCCTTGGAGAAGGCCGGGTTCCCTTTTGGGTAGGTTACTCTCTACTCTCTCTCACTTTCACTCCCTCCTTCCCTACAAAACCTCCAAATAAAAACTATGTAATTTCAAAAAAAAATTAAAAAATTAAAAAAATAAAATAAAAAGAGGGGCAAGAACGATAGCACTGCGAGTAGGGCATTTGCCTTGCATGCAGCTGACATGGCCAACCTGAGTTTGATTCCTCCGCCCCTCTCGGAGAGCCCGGCAAGCTACCAAGAGTATCTCGCCCATGTGGCAAAGCCTGGCAAACTACCCGTGGCATATTCAATATGCCAAACACAGTAACAAGTTTCACAACGTTACTGGGCCCGCTCGAGTAAATCAATGAACAACGGGTGGACAGTGACAGTGACAGTGATCATTTCTAAAAGAAAAACTAGAGAGAGGCTGAAGAGATACCTTGGGGTCAAGGAAAATACATGTCTTGCATGCAAGAGAAGTTGGGCCTTAGAAGTTTACGCTGTCCCAAGCATTACCAGGCACAGCTCTGGAGGAGCCCAGAGCACCAGCAGGTGTTGATCTGATATTCTAACACATTAGCCAAAAAGTGCCATATCCAGGCCTTAGCAAAAAAATGGCCAAGTACTACTGCTAGAAGCACTCAGGTCCACCAAACACTGTTTGGAAAAAAAACAACTACCTCCCTATCCCCCCAAAAGAAGTAGCTAGCAACCAGAAAATAAAAATAAAAGCTCCTATGCCTAAATCAGTTTTTAGTTTCTGGGTCATCCTTGGTGGTGCTCACGGCTTATACTTGGCTCTGTACTCAGGGATCAGTCCTGGTAGAGTTGGGGGACAATATGGAATTCTGGGGATTGAACGCAGATTGGCCATATGCAAAGCAAACTCCCTACCTGCCATGCTGTTGCTCTGGCCCCAATTGTCTGAACATCTTAATCAATAAAAAAAAAAAAAAAACACGTATTATCTGTCCTATTCCACAAAGCTCTGAAATCAGAAAATTGCTGTGTATTTTAGCTTCAAAATGTCAAGATAAGAGGCCAGATAGTCTAGTAGTGGGGTGCTTGTCTTGCACGCGGCTGACCTACGCTCAATCCCTGGCTTCCCATCTGGTTACCCCAAGCACCACCAGGAGTAATTCTTGAATGCAAAGTCAGGATTAACTCCTGACCATCATCAGTTGTAGCTCAAAAACAAATTTAAAAATAAAATAAATGTCAAGATAATAACATAATATTACAGGGCTAGAGAGAGTGATAGCCTTGCATACAGCTAACCTGGATTCAATCTCCAGCACACCAAATGATCACCAGAGTCCCTCCAAGAACTATCCCAGAGCACAGAGCCAGGAGCCCAGAGAACCACTGGGTAGGCCCCAAAACCAAAAAACTATGCAAAAAAAAAAAAAAGGCAATGGACTATGTTAAATATGGCCATCACTAAAATCTAAGAATCTTTCTATAAAACCCTATGGAGACCCCGGCAAACACCTCCACACCCCACAGCCACCAGCAACAAATTACAAACAGCCCAACTTCACTGCTTCCCAACTAATCTCTGCAGAGAAACCAAGCTGACAAAAATTCCAGGTATACCAGCTGGGGGCTAAAAACTCTGGGGTCTTCTCATAGTGGGGTTGGGCAACCTCCCCCAAACCCTCAGTACCTTCAGTAGCCCCAGCAGCCACACCCCCACTGCCAAGGCCATGTAAACAATGGCCCAGCTTCACAACTTCACAACTAATCTCAGAAAAGATACAAACCATGCCAAGGCGCTGAAACTCATCAGCCAAGTTCTACAGATCCTGGAGTGACACCTCCAAATTCTACAATACAGATAACCCAGGAGCACACCAAATTAAATGAGAAAGTCACAAAAGAAGCCAACTAAGTTCAGTAAACAAAAGCAGTAACACAGGAGGCCTAACTAGCAGTAAACAGCTTAGTAAACCCTCAGACAATGACTTTAATGACCATACTGTGAGATGTAATGTTCACAACTATTATTTTACTGAAGTATTTTTTGATAATTCCCTTAGCCATTTAGT